ATTGAGCCATTTTAAGTCATTATATTACTGGTTAAATAATTAACAGTCATAAGTAAAAGTGCAGTTGACAGATTTATATGGGACACAGACACGAGTATCAGTCTAATCATACAATGTATATTGATCCACTTACATGTGATTAGCTTTCGTACAAGCTCTTGTCATAGTGTAAGCTTATTTAATCACGAAGTAAGGAGGAGAAAAGATGTTTAAAGAATATTAAACTGACGTAAATCTGTCTCTTAGTATTGTGGAGGTATATTTTTAGCAAATAACAAAGGACCTTGCACCCAATAAACTTTACTTAGCAATATTTGTCAACCAAAAAAGTCAGAAACATGTGCTCAGAAATTGACATGTACTGGAGATACATGTAGCTGATAGTTTGAAATATTAAAATAAAAATTTCAAGAGACTTACATGTAGTCATGTGCGTTTATTATGGTTGTATTTCATTATAGTCCGATTGCATAATGTGGTGTAGACATGTTCAATTTTTTTATTCAACATTGTAAAGATATGCAAGTATGTTAGATTTTTTAAGGACACAAGTTACCTTATTTGTACAGTAAAGTTGTGCGTGGGTTGACTAGTTTAATATTTGTATAAAACACTGATTGTGTAACAACCTTATATTGATTAATCTTTCCAGAGTACATGTACTTCATTGAGTTTCTGGAATTTAGTATGCATAGGAATAACAATAATTCAACAAAAGCCATCCAAAAATGGGCTTGTTTTAATGAAATTGATTATTTGCCTGTATTTCTGTCGTTATAGTGCTAATATTCTACTTGTTATTTTCAGTAGTGCCTTCTATAGTGATTACAGAATACTAGTTGTATCTGTTCACTCTTGTTAAATTATTCTAACACATCAGTCTCGCCTCAATCTTACAATATCTCATCTCCTCTTATACTACCTATTCACCCACATGTACATGTACTATAACAATGCACCAGTATTCAGAGATTAAAAAGAGGATGAAAAAGCATTCTACAAGAGAGAACAATATGTACAATTATAACTATGGTTTAATACAACATACCTTTATTTGTAGTCCCAGATAAAGACCTTCCGAAATGGTGGGTTTAATATTAGTAATGAATTGTATTGCCTAAAAAACACGTTTTTTTATTCAGTACCATTATTGACAGATGGTCTAAATAAAAAGCTCCATTAAATTGTACTTTGTTTTATTGATGTTCTCAGTTATAAAAGCTTGTAAAATGCTTTGATATCAATAAAATATAGTAAATAAACCTATTTTATTGGATAATTCATCAATTGGAATTTAGTTATCTTTAGGTTAAATGTTGTTAGAGCCACCAGGTTCCGTCCAGTGATTTTCAATTAGTAAATTAAACTGTATTTTATTAATTACTAGCGGATGAGCCCGCGCTACACAGGTTGAAAGGAGTATAACTCTGGAAGCGGTAACCGAACATCACCTAGCCCATGTTACTCCCTTGTCCAAACTACCCCTGTACACCAAATTCCATCCTCCGAACAGCCCTAGTGTACATGTAGCTGCCAACCCTGAACAGTCAGATAAACAACAGTCACAAATATTGGTATACATGTACATGCATGATGCATTTCTGGTGTCGAAGACACATTTATTCTACACTATAACAACAATTTGAAGATAGAATATATTTTATAAACATATTTTGCATTGAATGATCAGTGTGTACATTTACATGTAAATAATATTATAATTCAGTAGATCTATAGAACCTTTACCCCAACTACATGTACATGTAGAAACAGAGAATATGTAATTATAAATGTAGAATATTATTATACACACTTTAATGATGATGAGCATAAATAGTAGAAACAAACGATCGACTTTGATAAATACATGTAGTCACTCAATGTCTGCTTGTGCTTAGTACTGTGATATACAGAGTAAAGGTGTTTTTAGCCTTGGGCCTATTTTCAGCAAATTGTTCTGACAAGATCTGTTATGTTTGTTATATCTCCTTGAATCCGATTATTACTATACTATTGTTTTACTACTACAAGTGTATAGTTTTAAGCTGTAGCGTGGTTTATAAACCGGTATAGTCAGATATATATATACATGTATACACCTACATGTACATGTATAGTGTATGTGAACATCTGGTGGTGTGAGTCTATCTACTCCACCTAAAGGCCTTCACCACATACCAGTCATTCCTAACTCATTGATTATAACCACCATATTGATGGCCGATCTTAACAACAATTACTTTTCTTAACAAACTCGTCTTGTACTGTGTTGATTAATTTCACTGATTAATCTGATAATGAATACCAGAGATATTTTCTGTTTTTGCACACACCGGGTTATAATTAGGAGCCAGCTATATTTAGAATAGAATAAGATAAACTGGTGTAGAATATTAATCAAATTTTGTGCAATTAATATAAAGTAATATACAATTTTTTTTTATATTTGTAATTTGTTGTTTTAGAAAGTCATAAACCTAGTCTAAATGCATGTTGAATTGATGCAGGTCTTTGTGGAAGCCCATGCTCAATATCTGTATTTTTATCAATTGTTCGAGTTTTGTTTCTGAAGGAAGAATTCATAATTTGTACTAGATGTACATGTATAGGTTAGCTGTTCGCTTAACATTAAGACTTCATGTTCATGTAGGACCACATTAGCAATGTCTCTAGGCACCAAACTAAACATATCTTTCTGAAAATGATGGTACAAAGTCAAAAGAACAAATATTCTTTTTTAATTACACCTCAATTGAAATTTGTGTAATGTACATTATGTCATATGTACTGAATGTACAGGTATATGTTCTGTGTGGAAGGTGTTAGAAAGTTAGAATAGTGTTTGATATGTAGAATGTCAAAGGTATTATTGTTAAAGGTTATCCACTTTTATAACCATCTTCATCATATATCTCCTTTACACCATTTCTTCTATATATAGCTACTTGAGTAAATACGTGTAGATCAAATGGCCTTTTAATTTTGAAAGATACAACATAGATTTAATACATATGGTATACTATAATCAAACTGGTATGGATGGACGCACACATTAAATTGGCTGTAAACTTCTCACCATTAAGGTTCATTGGATGCACATCTCTCCGGTAGTCTTTATCATGCATAATGAAGATGTTGGAATTCAGTAAACAAGTATGAGCGTACTATGGTCCAAGAACTGAGCAAGACATTCTTGCAGGCATCTTGAAATTATGACATATTAAAAATCAAAGTGTGTCAATCGACTAGCACTTGTTCAAGGAACAAGTATGCCAAATTTCATTTTGATTGTACTTGAATTGGCGGAGCCTTGGGCTTTTTGCGAAAGAGCATCACCCCCAAGAACAACAACAACAACAAGATGAGTGCAGCTACCCATTGAAGAAACCAAGTCAAAAGTCTTGCTGTGCATGTACTAATATGACCCGAATAAAGGGAAGTCAAGTAGACTTCCTGATATTTTAGTCATAATATCTATATAAGCATAGATATAAGCTATATAAATTGAATTGTAAAATTGTTATTTTATATATAGAATATTTGTTTATATTGAAAGCGTATGTGGATGAGTCATCTAGCTGTAAGAGTATTAATCAATAATTTAGACTGGGTGAAAATAGAAATATAATTTCTCTAATACTTCATATACCGGTAGTTAGACAGACATATTGATATATTACTTTATTACTTCTTATATTCTACCTATATTCTACCTAGTACTTAAAATATAATTACTTACATTTCTATCATGCAATGTACGTAAATTACTAGCTGATGAATAGGCACTGCCCGGGTTGTGCCTATAAACTCTGAAACCGGAAGCAGTGGGCCAATGCCAATGCCACCTAGCCCATGTTACTCCCCGGTCCAGGCTACCTCTATACACCAAATTTTAGCCTCAGGACACCCCTAGTGTAGCCGCCAACCTTGAACAGACAAACAACAGTCACAAATATTGGTATAGATCTCCTCTAGAACTATTTCAATGTTATGTTGACATAAAATATAGGACTACTTAGTGCAATAGGAATAAACCATATTTGACTAGACACAGTTATTTTTAAATAATCATTTCATATTAAGTCTGTCTGCAAGTTATTTTGGTAGAAAAATGTTCATTATAAGTACTGTAGACAGTTATTATATGTATACATGTGATATAAATAGTAATTGCAGCAGACATCTTGTTAAGACATAATATAAGCTGGATAAAGAAGGAGTAATTAACGATGTCTGTGTAATTCTGTAGGTAACAATATCAAATTCAAATCCATTGATCCCTCATGAAAAACCTACAAGCAATTAACCTTTAACCTGCACATATTGTGCATTATTTATTAATGTATAAGACTTACAGATACATGTATGATAACATGAAGCTGTTTAATAACCTCATTATCATTAACCTTTCCCAGTCTTTCTTAGTCCTTAAGCTATTCGCCCTTTTGATAACTCAAAACATTCCTTTAACACATTTATTGCCAATGTTTTGATGATATTTTTTAACAAAAAAAGAAATACAAACAATGTAAAGTTTAAATAATCAACCCAGGAACAAATATATCACAGTGTAATCAGATAAACATTGACTCAAGTTGAATTTTTTAAAGTTCATTTAAAGTAATTGTCAAGCAGGAATTTGAATTGTTTTAAGATTGCAAGTGGGAGGAAGAGATATAAATTTACTTAGCACACAGTCAGATTATTTGCTGAATATTAATACTCTGAATTTAATCATAAAATTTTGATAAAACAGTAATCCTATATCAAGAGTTTTTTAAGTGCTAACTGTTGCTGCAGTTCTACTCAGTATTATTGTAGAAAAACAATAATAAATGTGTTGTAGTATACATGTATGTCGTGCCCCCAGTTCCTGAATCAAAACTTTGCAAAGCTACAGTATGTAATACTACCTCATCTGATTAACATTATCAATTTGGGGACACAGGTTTTAAATTAATTAAGTTATTAAAGTTTATGCATTCTCTTTTATTTTGCAGAAAGACACAATCGGACAATGGCTACTCGAAAGGGTCTGCGAAAAACTGAACATAGTAGAAAAGGATTACTTTGGTCTGAGATATGTAGATTCAGAAAAACAGAGAGTAAGTTTTTGTCTATCCATCATAGAATTTGTTTTTTCTACTATATTGTCATTGTTTTTTTCTACTATATGGCTGTATATTGTCGTCATGCCTTCATGTCATCTATCTGTCATCCACAATTGCTTGTGAATGCTCTAGATGCTAAAATAGTCATCAACTATTCATCAGCGATTTCTGATAATTAATGTTCGAGTTATGACTCTCGAACTTGCATAAAAATCTTGTGGACACTTTTGAGGCAGAATATTTCATACATTTGACTTGAAATTTCATGTGGGGAAGAAAAAACCTACTGAAAACCTAATTACCTATGGGAGTTACATGTATATTCATTAATTACTTACAAAAATGTGCTGTAGGAATTATTGCTCTTGATTGCTTAGAAAAATGTTGTGGACACTCTATAGACTTAATATTCTTATATTGACTTCAAAGTTACAGTACGTACAGTGTTTATGATCGTGTGATGACAAAGCCTATTGATAGTAAACAACAAAAAGTCTGTCGGTCCGGCGTCCACAATTGCTAAGGCTAAAGTTAATATCCGAATGACTTTAAATTTATACACAGTGTTTAAGGTCATGAGACAAAGAATCCTATAGATTTTCAGCCCTTGATTATTTTGAAAAATCTACAGGCTAAAATTAACATTTGATTGGCTTTCAATTTATACACAGTCTTTAAGGTCATAAGACAAAGAAGCCTATATATTTTCAACGATTTCCAATAACTACATTACTGCCAGAGTTATGGCCCATGATCACTTTGAAATATCTTGTTGACGTTCTTGGGGCCAAAATTTAATATTCGATTGACTTTAAATTTATACACAGTGTTTAGGGTTATGAGACGAAGAAACCTATCTTTTTAAGAATTCTGATAATTCATCTGATTACTGCTACAAGTTTTGTTTACTATATAGCATTAGGTAGAACGAGAAGCCTATCAAATTTGTTGCCCTTGATCAGTGTTAAGTGTCCTTTAAAGGGAACAATAATGAAAAGGTGACAGCCTTTATGAACTGCTTGGAAGGATTTAGCTGCTGTGGGCATATTTTGTAGTCTGGAAATATACATGTATTTTGTCAACTTTCTCAGAGGAATTTTAGTTGACCTTGGTAGAAGGAGGTGATGGAAATTACAGTGACAAAATAATGTATTAGATATAACAGTGTAAATGACAAGACCAGATTTACTATTAGTCTACTGTGACATTTTGAATAGCTACCACAGGAACAGACAAGATTGAAGATATTATTACCTATATTATCTACTTTATCAGTAACATTACACTCTATTCTATGGGTGAAAAGTACTTTTTCCACTGTATGAACAAAGAATAATTGCCTTCCTTCGGGGTTCACTAAATGTCCTTGTATTATACATATTGTCGATTCAGTAAAATTATGTACGAAATGGAAAATAGATTGTTTTATTTGTATACCGGTAATGAATAATTTTCTTAAAATGATGCATACGTGTTGGTTGACAAAATATGGAAAATGTGACATATAGCATGAATGTAGGTCCTGAATAAAGACAACTGAAGCAACACTTATAACGGTTTAATATATATTCCATAAGTAATCTGTCATTTTCATCTCTTATACAGGATATTATAAGTAAGATAAATGGTCTTAATATACTACTATAACAGACAAAATTATTGCAATATGTAAATAAAATACCTATATTATACTTAATATTGGTTTATTTTACAGCACTGGTTAGATCCTATAAAAACAGTATATAAACAACTTAAAGGTATTATTATTAAATTATTGTCAAGAGCCAGATGATACAGGGTGCTGTATTGCATGTGAAAGCAGCTGGTAAAGGAGGCCCATGAAAAATTTAATGATTTTTTCGAATCCTCAAATCAAACACACTCATCATATGAACATCTATCTATATTTAGTATGTTTGTCAAGATTGTTATTTATCAATTTCTAAAGAAGAATTCCCCTTTAAATCAAGATGAATTGATGATATTGTTAATATACATTTAGTGTACAGCAAGAAATAGGCTAACATAAGTGAGCATTTTAGATTTTGTAAGATATCATTTTTGTCTTTATTCTTTAAGACTTGAACGTCCATTTATTGCAATCTGCAGTATTTGATTATTTAAACATAATAAACTTTAATTATAAAAATATCTATCCACAGGAGTTAATCCAATGGTTTTGTGTTTTCGAGTGAAGTTTTACCCTGCAGAACCCATGAAGTTACACGAAGAAATCACACGGTAAGCTAACAGTCAGCATTGGATTTAACAATTGAAGAGTCTCATAACAATGTTTCCCCACCCCACTAAAGAGATGTTAGTTTTCTTGGCATATTATCAAAAATGTGATGGATGGAAAATAACGTTATCAAAAATGTGATGGATGGAAAATAAACTTATCAAAAATTCTAATGATTAAAATTTCAACAAATTCCATGTAGATTAGATGTGTAAACGTAATATAGCGTGAAATAGCAGAATAGCAGACACACTCCCTGAGCCTCGATTTGGATGGAACCTGGAACCCGGATGTTTACATTTTGAACAGATGCGGCAGCTACAAACATTGATGGCCGAATGGTTAGCATGTGCGCGCTGTATCATAAGGCCTGTCATTGAGTCAGCTGGCGTGGTTTCTAATCCCCGGTTGTATGTGACAATCAGTAGAGTCGCCTGTCCAACCCTGTGGGTTTTCTCCGGGTCCTCTGGTTTCCTCCCACTGCTAAAGACGCGTACGTGCAAGCGAATTATTGAAACAAAATTAAACCATGTTAGTCCTGAAATGACCTAGTTTGTGTCAGTGGAGGTTAAACCCCATTTTTTTCTCTCTCGTCTCCGTTGTCCGTCAGTCCGGCGTCCACAATTGGTCTTGGACGCTCTAGAGGCTAAAGTAAATATCTGATTAATTGGAAATTTATACACAGTCTTTGAGGTCATTAGACGAAGAAGCCTATTGATTTTCAACGATTTCCGATAATTACTACCAGGGTTATGGCCCTTGATCACTTTGAATAATCTTGTGGACGCTCTATAGGCTAAAGTTAATATCTGATTGACTTTAAATTTAAACACAGTTTTTAAGGTTGTGAGACTAAAAAGCCCAGTGATTTCCAATAATTACTATCTGAGTTATGGCCCATGGTCACCAGGGCTGCTGACAACCAGTATCGCAGCGCAATTTGCGATACATATTTTGTCCGTTGCTAACCAAAAATTAAAATCTAACGTTTTTGATTCGCAGTTACTGCAAATCATTAATAATATGCCTGTCATTTTGGATGTTGACACAAGAATAATCCACATTTTGAAGACTAGAAGGCTTACTCAACACTTTCAATGTGTATTAAATGTTGAATAAAATTTTATAAACAAAACTGAATTCTCCGTGTGACATTTTCTTCTCGAACTACCCAGACACAATACTATATAACACAGGGACATAACTCTATGAATAGGGACTATTAAACTGGAAATAGGGAATCAAGTAGTACCACTCACGTTGCGAGACATCAAGTAATTATATCATATTCATTTTGAAAGAAATAAATCCAGTGTATCCCCCACACATTGTAAATAAAATATAAAAAAATAAATACATGTTAACGTATTGTAAAATGATAAATCAAAGTAAAAATTCCCATAAAATATTATTGTTTATATCGCGTGTGTCTAGTTAATCGAGGTGTGCCCGATTGAACAAAAATAGTAAGACATTATAAAAAGCAGACGAAATTTTTTTCTAACGAAGATTTCTAACGTAACAAAAAAATAGCAATTAAAATGAGTGGGGCTTCGGAAGTCACTTTCAAGAATTGGCTTCAGACATAAGACCTAACTAAATGTCTACATCACATTCACAAACTGTCACAAGTACTTGTGGCAGTGCTAAAAAATCTACGAATAGTCAGAATGGAATCTAATCATATTTGTTATGAACTAAAGTAATATCTTGTTATTTAGGTTTTTATGTTGAAACTGAAAAACTGCTAATCAATTTTTATACGCCCACATTGAAATATGGTCGTACATTGTCTGACCCGTCCGTCCGGCGGTCCGGAGTCCACAATTGCTTGTGGACGCTCTAAGAGGCTAAACTTAATATCTGATTGACTTTAAATTTATACACAGTGTTCGAGGTCTTGAGACGAAGAAACCTATTGATTTTCAGCGATTTCCAATAATTACTGCCAGAGTTATGGCCCTTGATCACTTTGAAAAACCTTGTGGACGCTCTAGAGGCCAAAGTTAATATCCAATTGACCGTAAATTTATACACAGTGTTTAAGGTCTTGAGACAAAGAAGCCTAGTGATTTTCAGCGATTTCCGATAATTACTACCAGAGTTATGGCCCTTGATCACTTCAAAAAATCTTGTGGTCGCTCTAAAGGCCAAAGTTAATATCCGATTGATATTATACACAGTGTTTAAGGTCATGAGACGAAGAAGCCTATTGATTTTCAACAATTTCCGATAATTACTGCCAAAGTTATGACCCTTGATCACTTTGCAAAATCTTGTGACGCTCTAAAGGCCAAAGTTATCATCCGATTGACTTCAGATTGATACACATAGTTTAAGATCTTGAGACGAACAAGTATATTGATTTTCAATGAATTTTTATGACTTGAACACTTAAATCCATGATATTAAAAGCTTTGTATACTAAACGTTAGCATGGGGCAGAACTAATAGTTTTCTGATAATTACTTCGTGAGTTGTTGGTCTTAATCAGATTTTAGTGTATTATAAATGTTTCATTACCGAAAAAAGTAAAAATATGTGACAACTCTTGTTGACTGCCCGGACGATTTAGCTGCTGTGGGCGTATGTTTCGTTGCCTGGCAACCTATCTTTAAATTTGCTAATCAAATTTGGCAAAATTGGACTTTTTGATAAGCAGTGCTGCTAATCAACTGAAAATTTACCGACCGCCCTGATGGTCACTTTAAAAAATCTTGTGGATGTTCCAGCGATCAAAGTTATCATCTGATTGACTTTAGATTGATACACAGAGTTTAAGGTCTTGAGATGAACAAGTATATTGATTTACAATAAATTTTGATATCTTGAACAGCTAAATCCATGATATTAAATGTTTTGTATACTAAACATTAGCATGGGGCAGAACTAAAATCCAAACAAATTCTAATGATTCTCTGATAATTACTTAATGAGTTGTTACTCTTAATCAGATTATAGTGTATTATAGATGTTTCGTTACCGACAATAGAAAAAAATATGCGACAACTCTTGTTGACTGCTCAGACGACTTAGCTGCTGTGGCCATATGTTTCGTTGCCTGGCAACCTATCTTTACCAACGCTTAGACACTATACAAAATGTCGAGCGTTACGTTGTCGTCTCAGATGGAAAATGGTGAAAAAATATTAGAAAACTGAAGGACAGATATTGTTTATTTTTACAGCCCCTAGAGATTGTGGTGTTCAGCATTTAATCATTATAGAACAATTTTATCCAGATAATTCAAAAATACACTAAAATTTTATTGGAAATCCGGGCCCTTATTCACGAAAACTTGAACTAAGTTACAACCAAAATTTTAAGGAATACTGCAACTTCATTGGATATATGCAAATTGATTTTACTGGTCAGCCAATCGAATTGCAGTATTTCTTAAAATTTCAATTGTATCTTAGTTTAAGTTTTCGTGAATAAGGGCCCTGAGGCCTTATCCAATAGGTACTATTTTTCAGGAGTTTGGCTCCATCCAAATTAAGAGGGTTTCAAACTTTTTTTTTGAGAAAAAATAATATATAATTTTCATGCAGGTATTTTATATTGTCTTTACTGTCTCCCCAACCATATATCAATTATGAACAATAACAAAAACATAATAAATATACATACATTTTTATTAACAACATGTCCAAGTTGATGGCTATGTTTTTTCTCTTTACTGTGCAAAGAGCCATAATGTGAAATATTAGGCAATAGACTGTCCTTTAATTGGTTAATAATAGTATGGGGAGATATGTACAGCATGATGTTGATATATTGAGTAATGCTATTTGTTGTCTCAAGATTGTCGTTATAAATTATTTTCTTGTAGGCAAAAGAATGAATCAATAACTATGTCGTCTGCCATCCTAAATCAAATAATAATATGTTTTTCTTCCTCAATGTTTTCCTAAAATAAACCTAGTGTCATATAGTGTTTTTAACTTTCATGTCAGTAGCTATAGATTTATGTAATTTATATCATTGTATAAAACAGCAGTTGAATTACATCATTCTTAACATTTACTTTAACAGCTTCAAATTTAACAACTTCGACCAATTTCTATAGCAAACTAATGATCAAATATTGCGTAATGAATCAAATGATTAATTTAAAGGAGGGAGTCACCTACTCGAGCAATGATGACAGCTACTTGAATCAGCCTTTATAAGTCATATTAAATTAGAAATTGTGTTTAATGGCAGAAACACAACTTTATAGTTAATTTTGACAAACAAAATAAACAAATTTGACTGATTTGCTAAAAAGGACATTGTCATAACAGAAACAGTAGGACTATTTTATTTAGCTTAAATTGTGACATTATTAACACATAGATTTTGATTAAAATCAATGTTTGACTAGTTTTGATTACACAAATGGTGTCTCAAAGTCTACTCTGCTAATCACAGAAAGCAACAAAATTTGATTTATTTTCTTATAGAGGCTTTATTTCAATTAAAATAAAATTTTCAATGGCATGACTCAGTCATTTATTTGCAAAAGTACATGGAATTGCATTTGAATATATTGTGGTTAACGGGTGGATGAGATAAAGCCGTCCATGAATCACAAGAAATACTGCTGGCAAGCTGAACTAAAGATAATTATGAGATTGGCTCCAACAGGTTTCTATTTGCAGATTTTAGAGTTAGACATGTAATTATAGGTGATCTTGACATTTGCTCAGTTCTTAAATAATAGTATTTCATTATTCCTTATAATTTCTAACTTCTACACAGTACACACATCGCTTCAAAAAACGACATCCAGCATTTACAAACCTGTTCATATCTATCCCTTCATATAAATGGCACTATACAGTGTATAATTAATGCTTTTTGGATATAAAATATTTTCAATTGAAGAGAAACAAATGAAACTTAAATTTTATTTCGGTGTGCTTTAAATATTACAGTATCTAATGATTGAGCTAAATGTAGGTCACCGGTCCTAATGTTGTGTAGGTTATTTTCATTATCTTTAATAGCAATAGAATCTGTTGCATAATAATAAACATTTACAAGAAATAGAAGGAAGTTAAAGGAATGTAATGGTAAGGAATATTATTGTTTTAATGATTAAGTGATGGAAGTTGATGATGAATCAGGACTTCCTACATGGTTTACTTGACCTAACTCATGTTGATGTATCATTTCTAGCCAAGCCTTTTATAAATATACAACATTCACAAAACACTACGTTATCAAAACCTTCAGGAATTAATCATTCTATTCACATATAGCCTAACAAATTCTTAATTTTAAATAAAAGATAAAAGCAAAAATCAATTTTCTTTTGAGGCATGTTGAAAATGTTGCTATTTTTATAAAAGCTAACATGAAAGACATGTTGTAGTAGATATTTGACAGTAACCAGCTGGTGTTATAAAATATAATATCTGATAAATAAAAAAATACTATATAGCTTTGGTAATGTATAAGTAGAATACTATTATTATAAACTAATATGATAATTAAAGAGATTCATAAATAATTACTAATTCCAATATTCTTGAGATATTATGACAGTAATGCAGAGGTATGATTATGAATTTAATGCCTTACTTATGCTGCCATTGCTATCCAGTGCAGGGTGGGGGGTGGGGAGGCTATGGTGGCCGCTTTTTTAATGGCCGAATGGTTATTGTGTGCGTGTTGTATCATAAGGTCTGTCATTGAGTCAACTAGTGCGGTTTCGATTCCCCGGTTGTGCATGACAAGAAGTAGGGTTGCCTGTCCAACCTCGTAAGTTTTTTCCTAGTTCTCAAGTTTCCTCCCACTGCTAAAGACCCCTATGCGCAAGTGAATTATTGAAATAAATTGAACCATATGTTAGTCCCGAAATGACCTGGTTTGTGTCGAGTGGAGTTAAAACCTCTCTCTCTCTCATGCGATTGTATGCAACTGCAAATGCCTACCGCTTATATCGTCTTTGCACATATAGTTTCAAGTACCTCAAAGTACTTGCAACTGGACTCTGAGGGTGCTTATGTTGATTAATATGCAACCGACCCCACTGCCTCTAAACTTGGGTCAAAGGAAACACATGATTGTCATGTGCTCAGTAAAAAATGGCGACACTATCATCTAAGGTTAGCAGTAAATTTTGAAACACTGCTCCTACTATTTCATGGTAATATCATTTTTTCTAATACAAAAGCTATGAAGTACACCGAATTCTAAACATTCCCTCAGAACTAATTGCATAAGTTACAAAACTGCTTATACATCTATGTCCCTGTACTGCTTCCAACTGACTGCATAACAGTAAAACGTGTGCAATTACCTGTAGCTGCAACTGGTGTTTTTCAAAGTCGCATGTGCAAGACTGCTTATATACTGTTTTGCATGCAACTTTCCGTTGTATCCAGCCCTAAGTACATAGATGACATTGGGTTAACTGTTTACTTGATAAATAATCTCTTTTTATTTTTAGATATTTTATGTTCCTTCAATTACGTCGGGACCTACACCATGGCCGTTTACTCTGCTCCCCACAAGATGCTATTTTATTAGCAGCATACATCGTGCAATGTAAGTACCAGTATATTTGATACCATTTACTTGTGTGTTGGAAATCCAATAATTTTTTGCTGTAAAAATGACTGATGATAATAGCAGTTTCTCCAAAGAATTTACAGTCTTGAGTATTGGTAGATTAAATAGTAAACCCTACAAACATATTAATAAATTTTTATTGTTGTTTAAACAAGGAATAACAATGCAATAGTTGAAACCTTTCGTGTAGCAGTTTGAGCTGTTATTGATCATCGTATTGATTTATACTGCTCATTTTATATCACAATATTTTTGAAAGGTTGTAGTTGCATTAGTAGAGTAAACAGAGGATTATATGGTTCTAATGGAAAGTGGGTAAAGAAAAAAGTCTGCTTTATTTTATATGACATATTTCAAATAACCATGACAAAAAAAAAATTTAAAACCGATAAAGAAATGGTCTTTTCTTTGAAACCTCAATTATACCAAAAATGGCAGCATTACTGATGTTGGTAACAATAAAAGCTTAACTTTAATAATTTCTGAAGGGTTGTCAATGTATGATTTAAATATGGCTTTTTTTTTACAGCTGAAGTTGGAGATTATGACCAAGAAGATCATCCACTAGGTTATATAAGTGAGTTCAAGATGCTTCCTAAACAAAATGCCAAAATGGAAGAACAGATAATGGAAATGCATAAGACCCTCAAGTAGGTTGATTACTCTAGATTCATTGTGTAACTATCCTTCAAGACTGTGGTCTAAGGGGAGATAACTCCCCAATAACTGAATTTATTTAGATCTATCTTCCTTTTAAGTTAGAATTTGTTGCAACTGTTTAAATAAAAGAAAAGTAATATGCCTTTATTTCTTTTTAAGGGGCCAAGTGCCATCTGAAGCAGAAGGTAACTTTTTAAGGAAAGGGTGTACGCTAGATACATATGGTGTTGATCCCCATCAAGTCAAGGTAAGAACATTTTTTTAAATAAATGTCATGGCTATGTCTAGTAAGACGGGTTTGACATCTAAAAAAAAGTCAAATAATAAGTATAAAAACAGACATAAGAAGAGAAATTTACATAATGGACTATGGATCACAATTTTCCTTGTACTCTAAAATTACAAATTGAACAATCTTGATTTACAAATTTTATTTTGATAATTTTCTATTTATTCTTACATTAGTCTTCTGTAAAAAAGTTACCCATATAAATTAGAAAAAGCAACCTTTCAGGGCTAGAAATTCACGCGAATCTCCGAATCTGATTCGCGCAAGGATTCTCTCAAGAGCTTGCGCTGGGAATCTACAAGGATTCGCTTAAAAATTTTCTAAAAAAACCCAAAAAAACTCAGAGAATTGCCGAGTCCGAGTCCGACTATTGAATGCCACTATGGTATTATATAAATTAATCTACTTTCGGCTAAATTACAACAGGTTAATTATTACTTGTTAATAAAGAAGTCAATCAACTTGCTTGTCGGCTACAACAACAGTCATACCTTAGAGAGAATCGGACATATGTGGTTCATAATCCGAGTAATTAGCACATTTAACGGTGATTTTGATAATCCGGTAACAAAACAAAACAAGCTTGCTGAAAATTCGTTATGGCGAATGAAGACGATCTCGGCATGGTTTGCGAATTGAACGTCATCCACGTTCCGTCCGTGTGAATTCCAGGTACCGGTAGATATTAAAATAATAACTGGATCATACATTGATGAATTCACTGACCAGTTGTTGGGTTAATTTAAATCTTCATTGAATATAATTCCCTGATAGAACACCAAATACAACTGGTCAGAAACAGAAAGAGAAACAGTGGGTATTGTCCAATGACACGTGACATATCGGTTAGAATTAGGTCAATAAACCAGTTTTAAATAGCGTTTACCGTTATGATTTTTTTAATTTTATACACATTCTGACAGAGGCTTTATTTTAAAAATATTATTGAAGGATATATCATAGTTGTTCAGAATTTTATTTTATAGCAATTTCAGTTATGGTTGTCACGTATCATTGTGCCGTTTGTCTTATCATCGACGAATGAATAAAAACTTTTGCAAGTTAAGTGACTAGTTATGTGGTGGACAAAAGACTAAAAATTGTGCTATGAAGAAATGCCATGGTGCCGTATCACCGTTTTTGGCTAAGGCATTTTCTGGATATTACTTTTGACATTATTTTAGTGTTTACCAAAAATTCCATCTGATTTTTTTATTTTTATCATTCTTCTTGTATTTTGGTGTTTTAGATTAATGCAATAAACACAATTTTGTTTTTTTAAACTCTATTATTAATGAATATTAGGAGGAGGTGCAGATGGCATATATGAGAATCCTCTTAGATTCTCGCAAAAAATGACGAATTTCTAGCCCTGCCTTTACTATGCATAAACAATTTTAAAGAAATTTCATTACAATGGGCAGGAAGTGAATAGATTTAGAGTGTAAGAAATCAGTTAATTGTAGATTTCCAAAGCAAGCAAAGTTTTGATTCGTAATCCATTGTGTACAGATTATTGAATTCCTTTTATCAATATTATGTGTTAAGATGAAAGCATGTCAATATTTTATTGATACTTTTAAGAAATTAGGTTCTGATTATATTTATAACCTAATCTATTTACAATAATATATGATATAATCTATTTACATTAATACAAACAAATCTGTATTGTAGGATTCTCGGGGTGATCAATTGTATCTAGGAGTAACTCATCAAGGTATCATGACCTTCCGTGGAAGTAGACGCACACAACTTTTCAAATGGTATTGCATTACTCTTATTCTGTAGTCAAATATACATTTGAATATTTGTTGTCATATATCTGGCTCATAACTCTGTATTACTTTACTGTTCCACTTCATCTTTTCTTAACAACATTTCATTATTGACTGTGTTTAGTTATCTGCGAATCAACCTACCAATCTAAACGTGATGCAAAAAATCTGTGAATGTTGTAAATATCTGAATAAAGGAACAGAAATAACATCTGATTTTAATTAGTTTGTAACTCAGTATTATCATGCTTGAAGAATATATTAGATTTTTAAAAATTAATATAATTATAATATTTTAATTTATAAAACCTCTTACAATAACTGTGCTGTGATACTAGAGTAATGGAATAAAGGAACTAATGTCTTCATATTGCAGCTTTCTTTCATAAGGTAAGTTCAGTTTGGATTAAAATCCAGCTCTAAATATACTAATACTTGGCATATTGTTTTTCAGGAACCAGATTCGACGATTAGCTTATGAAGGAAAAATGTTTATCGCTCACGTCAATGTAACAGAGGTTTGTATGAAATTCATTTTAGATTCACTGATAAACTTTTGAAATACTGAATGTCTCTGTGTATTTGTTTTGTTGACTTTCTGTAGGTGTCTCTTAAATATATATACCTGTAATTGACATTATAATTCCTCAAATGTTTTACTACTCCCAAATGTGTATAGCAAAACTTGATATTTATCTTTTGATTGAAACACAAGTCTTCAATTTTAAGGACAAACTTGTACCAATGTCAAGACTCAAGGGGTATGAATATTGCAACAGTTTTACCAGAATATATATATAAATTCAACATTCAGCATTTTGTGATATTGTTCATCTTCTGTTCTGGAGTTGCTGAATTAAAAATATGTTTCTTCGTTTTAGGATGAAGAAACAACCAGTCCAAAGAAGGTAGGAATTAGTATAGATAAATGATATAAACAAATAAACCTAGTTGTCTTTATCTCTTTATATATATATATGTACGAATAATCTTGTTTATATCTTGATCAATTAATGATTAAAATATTACTTAGATGAATTAATATATCATACAGATTAATAGATAATCCTAGAATAGATCAGTAGAAACAAGGTGCTTATATCCACATAGTAAATCATTGGTAATATTCATAGAAACATATTTTAAATCATAGAGTGTGGACTGGATCTATTATTTGATTTCATAGTTGACAAATTGTTCGTCATATAGTATTGGAATGAAATTTTTGGAAATGTACAGTACAACCACATTCTACATGTCCCACATTTTACTCCCGATCGGTAGATCATAGGGTTTCTTCAGCACAAGCTTAAATCCCAAAGTTTTACACATATCTGGTCCAAAAAGCAAGACACAAATACGTTTCAGTCTGTTTTAACTCTGCAGTTATGTTTTCTTTTACATTTATGTCAAGTTTACTGATATTAAGCTACGATTATTGCTGGAAGCACTGTAGATCCTCTGCTGATGTGAGGCCAGTCATCTGTTGATGTTTCATAGAGGTTTGGCCGATTATTCACAGAACATGGGGCATCTAGAATGTTGTTGTACTGTATGAGTGGTCTTTTTTTTTTTGACAAACTTGAGTTTTTTCAACAGCAAGTGTGGACTAAGTTATTTTCTCTTAATGTCATATTTGGGGAAATATCAGGTTGTGTCACTTTATATGAAAACTGATGATGTTTCAGAGAAAATGTTTCATTATTCTATGATAATGTATTAATTATTGTGTAAGGGAAAAGACTCCTTAATGAAATTTGGGGTGGAAAATGATAAGATGTTGTTTGTCATATTCCTGAAGCAATGGCCTGAGAAATCCCTCTCTGGCCATTGCTGGATTGGCTTCTGATACTTGAGCTTTTCAGGGAGTGTGTCAATTCTTCCCGTTCAATCAAATCTATCCCAAGTACAGCAACATGACAGCCCTTCGTTTAATCTGGGGTCCTCCTTAAAACTTTAGGCAGTGATTTAAGGTATTAAAAACGGTGAAAGTACTGCTCGTCTCCAAACAGTATTGTTGATAGCCTTGTTTGTCACGCAATTAGTTTTTCTGCAATACTCTGCTATGCACTGGTTAATTGGGCATAATAAAATCGTGAGTCATGACGTAACGTTGTGAACATATTTGGTCCAATTTGGAGCTCTGTTTAAAGCGTAATGATACTGTTACACAGTTACCTATTGGTTGTTAATCAGACTATTGACCAGTCATAATTTAGAAAAGAAATTTGCTTCCTTTACAGCAGTTTTAAGTGGGATTAGCTCTAATCAAATGAAACACTGCAAGGAGTATGGTTGTTTGTTAGCTCATCAGTTTTCATATCACCATCATCATCTGTATCATCTCATCTCTTTATTTGTAGGAAGCAGAAGAGAATATAAATGAGGTCAAAATTTTACATGTTATCTGTTTGCTACTAAATTTATATTAGATATGAAAAATAATCAATCTGTACATAGAAATGCCATAAAATCTTTACTTCACTTGCCAGACAAAACTTTCTATATTCTAGGAATTAAACCTCTACCATTCTTCTTGCCAGATAATTTCCGAAGAAAAATAAACTATTGAGCAAATATAGTATTTTAAAAATAAAAAATATATAGGCCCTAACCCCCAAATCTACAAATAGATTGGTATTGTGTATAGAAAAGTTTTAAGAAAACAAATATCTATTTTACCTACTACAAACATTTGCATTGTTTAAGATTTCAAAAGTTGTAGTGTGGCTTTGCAAAGAAAGTTTTGACTGGTAATTCAAGGAAGTACATGTATATAGTCAATAAATGTTCTTAGCTGTTATTATTTCTAATTACTTGTCTTAGTGTCATGCTCTTTATTATACTTATTATTTTGTTTTACATGGAAATGCTTCTTAAATTCCCTTATTAAATATAAGTAAAATATAGTTTTAAAAAAACACAAAGTATTTGATGCAAATTGGTATGATTTTACAGGATTAACTGCATTGTATCATTATTATTTTTTATTCCTTTTGCGACAAGTTAATTCCATGGCCTGCATTCGTGTATTAACATAGATCCTGCGGTTAAGTTTTGCTGGGTTCAAAATAACAAATTAACTGTCAATATTTTGCTTGGTTATTTTAATATCCATTTTTCTTGTAGGGGAAATTCCTGTGCACAGGATCAGTAGGAGTATAAACATATATATCTCTCATTTTTCATTGAAATCAAACTTGGATATATTCTGTTATATTTAGCTTTTGAAAACCCCTTTTATCATTTTTAATCTCAATTTTATTGGGGAATGGGAATATTTAACTCATTCATAATTTGCCATATCATCATTGTAGAGAAAAAAAGAGAAGGAAAAGGTGACTACTAGTATTAATGGTTATTGGTCTGATAACGCACCCATAATTTCTTTGCTGCTTCCTGTTTAATTGGCTAAGCATCATCATCATTGTAATCATCATGTCATCCCCATTATCATTATCATCATCGTTATCATGAGTTATGAGTACTTACAGAGATGTTGTCACAGATTTGAAAGTCCAAATGATATTAATTTTAAAAAACCAAAACGGTCAATTTCATTCCTGTTTATTTAAAACATGACTTTATATTTATGTTTATTTAAAACATGAGGTTAGATTAATATTAGTTTTGTTTAAAACATGAGGTTAGCTTTTTGTTTTGCTGAAGGTTCAGTTCAAGAGCCGAAATTATTATAGATCACTTAATCAGAGCCGTATCGAACTGTTATTTCTTGCAATAGAATACAGAATCATGACCATGTGCTCACTTTATTTTAATTTTCCATCACTTACCTTTCATTGAAATAATCATTGCATGACTGATGCTGCCATTTCTAATCTATTTGGAGTCTGTATGTAAAACAATTTAGATAATACTAGAGATATTTAGAAATATATTTTTAGAGTCATTGTAACTGTAAACATATTTATTTCAAATATCTCTAAAAATTAAATATTTCTACTAGTTCTTTGGTTAGAATGAGAAAGGAAGCTTTAAGCAGATAAAACCAATTTAAGTGTTGTTTAAAGAAAATAAGTGCTATGGAATGATTAGTTGTAAAAGCATGATATAATAGCATGATGCATATTTAGTGATAATAGTAGTAGTAAATTCATATATCATTGTTTACATTATCAACAGGTGCTCAATTGCTCTGATATTTGTTTTGTTGTAGTTTTATTGAAGATTTACAGGGGAAGACAATATTAGTTCCTTTGTTTGTATTTTCACTACTATCGAGGAATATAAAGAATTGGTTTTATGACTCTTCTAAAACAAAATTAAGGAACATATACAAGCTACCTTTCAAAGTTATCTTCCCCTGTATAAAGTAAAATTTCAATCACCTATAAATCTTCCCAAAGGTATTCTGAAAATAATTTTTGAATTTTTTTAATTTACCTACTTTTGAATCATGCTCTCACAGGATTCGGAGACGGTGGGTTGGTTAGAAATAGTTATTCTACTCTTTACTATATGTATCTGCCTGCACGGTCACTACATATATTTTACATACATCATTTAGCTAGTATTTTATTTATTATTATACCTAATTATACATGTTTGGAAATTATTTTCAGATTGCCATAAAATATTAGTTATTTTGTAATTTTATTTTGTTTTATAGAAGGATATTATTAGTTATTATGTTCCGTTTGCGTAGCTTATTAAAGCTGAATTACTTGTTAGTCACAGTATTTATATCGGCATGTATAATATACCATAAGAATTACTAAAAGTGATGTTTATTCGATATGTGCAATTTTTTCTTAATATCATTATTAGTGTAATATTTTTGACTAAATGTATAAAATGTCAGATGGTTTTGAGCGTTTAGTTCATGTAAAATTAAACTTAAAGAACAGTGTTTGGATTGTGGATAACTTCAGTCTCTATTTAGTTAATGTTGATCATTGACAAATACATCACAACTGTTTATTCTTATAGTGTATGAGATATGATATTAATGCTTGGTTAATTGTCATTACATTGTTATATAAAAATATAACAGTAATGTTGTAACTTGTGTGCAGAAAATTTATTTGTGTGAAGTTATTTTTGGCATAGTCACATCAAAGCATTTCCTAAGCATAAAACATGTCCATTGTTGCCAAGTTTCAGTGTTTGAACATAGACTCATTCCTACTGTAAAAAAAACTATTAAGTTTCAACACGATACAAAAGTAGATGTTTGAATTTGGATGATTGTAATCAAATTGGAAATTGCAATTATTGGAGCAAATAATAGGAGCTAAATCTCTTGATGTAGGTCAAAATAAAGCCTGAATTCTTTTATTTTTTAAGAGATATTTTATTCACTATAAATGGTGTTGATAAGCTCTATCGGATTAAATAAAATTTCTCAAAAGATTGGTGGAACTTAATATATTTCTTTGGACTAGTATAGTTATTTTGGCTTGAACTGTTCACTGTTTAATACACAATAATTGGTTTTTGTTTCCACCTTCAAATATTGTATGTATTATTTTAAATGCAGACAGATTGTTACCTCACAAAACACATCAACACTTAAAATAGTATCAAATGATTTTTGACCCATATCAAAGAGGGGTTGCCGTTTTGATGTAATTTTATGTAGAAATGTTAAACAAGATATATAATTGCACACAAGTTAAAACATAATGTAAAATATATACTGGTATTGCACCTCTATCTCAATGTACAGCACCATATATTATTACAAAAATAATATATACATTATATATGGATTCAAAAGACAGGAATATAACTAATTAAAAATAAGACAGAAATACAGATAGAATACTTAATATTATTTTTGGCTGTTGAAACTATGTATGACCAACTGTAGGTTGTAAACATTTATTGTCATTTTAGCAGAATGAACAATGTTTATTATAGTTTAATTCTGTGTTATTTTGGGTGAACATTTGACTATCTGTACCTTGTTTATCCCTAGAAGCAGCAGCCAATTGGTTACAAGTGTGCTACAACATCAGCCTGTAAATATCTCTGGAGATGTGCAGTTGAACAACAACTTTTCTTCACGTAAGTATTTGGAAATTGTTTGTTTCAGAAAAATTCATTACTTATAAGGGATTATATAAAGTCATGGCATGTGGGTGCTGAAAAAGTATGAAAGTGCCTTTAAGATAAATATTGTGAATATTAGAACACATAATTCTTGATATCAACGTCAAGATGAATGTAAAGTTATAAGCCATACCAACATGTGATAGGATACCAAATGAAATACCTGAAATATCAGAAAACTAAAAATATTCCAATTTGTCAGTGATGTACATATATTTGTCATATAATTTAATATAATTTATTATATTACAGGCTGTCTTCATCAATTAACACGCCCAAGGTGAAATCAGGTGGTACTTTGTTCTCAAGAGGATCAAAGTTCCGATTCAGTGGACGATGTCAGGCAGAGGCATATGTTGCTAGTGAAAATATCAAGAGAGATGAACCAAACTTTGCTAGGTAAATTTTATGGTCTTTTTATCATTAAACCTAATGCTAGATTCACTATAGGAATTTTTAGTCTTCTGGGTTGTTCATAATAGAGAAGTTGTATGCAATGAACCTTAAGATCATCTTACTCCTTAGGCTAGGTAATGTGGTTAAAAGACTCACTTAAGCTGTAAATTACTTGATTTAATATTGCATAAAGATAATTGTAAGAGAGGATTGGGTGAGATCAAGTCACTTCTCATTACCACTCTTAATTCTGAAATGCTGTTGCCATTTAATTGGTTAGTCTCTGATGATAACATCAAAAGTTTTTTTTGGTAATGAAAAATGGACCATTTAATTTGCTTTTTTCCAGGACATCATCTCTGCCTAACTTTGCTCGCAAACATGATAAAACTGCGCTTAAGGATGCATCCATAACAATTGACCCTCCAGCTCGAGAAGGTAAGATGTAACACATCTTCTGGAAATCAGATGCTATAAATCTAAATCATTATGTTTTTAATGTAAGTCGTTGTTGTAAAAATTCTATCAATACACAGAAGTGATAATTTTTTGTTTGGTTCAACACATGTTTTAGGATACATGATTGCACAGTGAGACCCGGTTGTATTCTGTGTCATCAATGAGATTTAATAGTGATCTACTTTATTTAAACATTTACAACAAAACTTATTATTTGAACCTAATGATTTATATAGATCTGAATTCTTTATAACACTAACATTGCATTATCTAATACTGATTTAGATATTACTTACATAAATTCTTTAAATCTACACTTTAAACATCCCATATTATAAATGTATTTAGTTTATTATTTATCTTTATTGATATTGTAGTTATGTTAAGTTTGAATGTGTTTATGTGATTGTTCAAAATAGATTCACAACACATGTAGATAGATAAAGATATAAATTGTACACCTATTTATTTATCTGTTATTGTTAAAACTAGAAAATTTGTGCTTTTAACTTGTAATTAATGAAATAAATATTACCATGACTTGCCTAATATAACTGTAACATAACCAAAACATCCAAAACCTTTCCCAGCATTTGGACTTTCATATATTATGTAGCATGACAAGTTGAGGCTTTATATATTTTCCCAAGAAAATCAGTGTAACAATTTGATATTATATCATGTTCAAAATAACCTTCGACTCAACTACTTAAGAGTACAAATTTTGCATGAGCGTGTGTAAACACCTTTGAAACTCTAAAAAAAAATGTTGGCTACAACAAACTGGAACTTAACAGCCCCCAGCAATGGATTTTCAGATATTTTTAAAATATATACAATATATTTTTTACCAGCCAACAAGGCTAGTTACTCTACTCTTGGCATAATTTATAGAATTAAAAACTGATCATGAGTTTTATGGAAGCTATAATTTCTAGTTCAATCAATAAGTAATTAGAGTAGAAGATAAGAATCTGTTTAATGTATTTGTAGATCTGTCCAAGAAATATAACGGTAAGTTTCATGTTGTATGCCCATCCCACTTGAATGCTGTAACTTGCCCTGTTAAAGGACCAACTTTTGAGTTTACATTATAATCTTTTAAGATTAAAACCAATAGCTAATAAAACAAGCTGTCCATTCCCTTATGCTATTTTTGTTGGTATCCCAAACATGGCATCATATTGGCATATTATGCTGGGATTATATATGACCGTGATGCACATTTGCAGTATGGCCTAGGCAAAACATTTTTGGGACCACCCTGGACCCGTCCCTTACATTAAGTCTTTAGATCCTGTAATAGATTTACATTGAATACCAATTTTCACCTTATAAAACTATTTCAGAAGTAAACTCAAAGTGGCCCTTGAACAGAGTTGTTTTTATTAACAGTTATGATTAATCTATATTACTTATGTTATACACAGACAAATATCCTATGATTATTTGTTTAATAACAACCAACTTTTTACTGATTCTTCCCATTCACCTTTTGAAGAAAATCAGACTACTTAAAGATGCATTATGTAAGAGCTAAATCTGACTAATACAGACCTTTCGTTTGACCTGAAACATTATATAAATCGTTAATTAAACGTTTATTATCGTAACAACGGTAGCAATATGTTAATCGAGACAACACTGTTCTTCAAAAGGCCATAACTCTGCTCAGAAGGAAGTAATTTGAATGAAATTTTCAATCTATTCACTTTCTATTTTTTAACTATTATAGCGAGAAATGTCTCAGGGCTAGAAATTTACATGAATCTCTGAATCTAATTCGCGCAAGGATTCTCGCAAGAGCTTACGGATTCGCGTAAAATTTTTCTAAAAAACCCAAAATTCTCAGAGAATTGTCGAGTCCGACTATTGAATGTCAGTCAGGATCAGTGTTCATCATGGGGCTGTATTTTGTCGGCTTTAGCCGATTGATGTTTATTCAAGCCAATTGGTAAAACAATGAATCGGCCACTATGGTATTGAAAACAATCGATCTACTTTTGGCTAAATTACAACGGGTTAATTATTACTTGCTAATTAAAAAGACAATCAACTTGCTTGTCGGCTACAATAACAGTCATACCTTAGTGAGAATCGGCCATATGTGGTTCATAATCCGAGTAATTAGCACATTTAACGGTGATTTTGATAATCCGGTAAAAAAAACAAAACAAGCTTGCTGATTATTCATAATAGGTTCAGTAAAATAAGCCACGTGGCCATTGAAGACCTGTCTCGACATGGTTTCCGAATTGCACGTCTTCCACGCTCTGTCCGTGTGAATTCCACGGTAGATATTAAAATAATAACTGGATAATACATTGATGGATTCACTGACCAGTTGTTAGGTAAATTTAAATCTTCATTGAATATAATTCTCTGATAGAACATTGAATACACGGAGAGAGAAACAGTGGATATTTTCCTGACAGAATCTCCATGGCCGAATTCCAATGACACCTGACGTATCGGTTGGAATTATGTCAATAAACCAGTTCTAAATAATAGCGTTTACCGTTATGATTTTTTATTTTATACACTACTGACAGAGGCTTAATTTTAAAAATATTATTGGAGGCTATATCATAGTCGTACATAATTTTATTTTATAGCAATTTCACTTATGGTTGTCACGTGATCATTTTGATTTTTAGACAGTTTTTTTAATTAAGATTCGAAAGATTTGCGCAGATTGCATATATGAGAATCCTCTTAGATTCTCGCAAAAAATGACGAATTTCTAGCCCTTCCGTCAGCTCTTTATCTAAATCTCACATAATGCATCTTCAAAGACTGCAAACTTGCTGTTTTCGATATGAAAGGGTGAGGCAGGTCTTGACAAATTTACCATCTTGTCCATTTAGCACTTGCGCATGTTACATGTAAATTTTGACTACTTCAGCTCCCTGAAGAAAATTAGAAAAAAAAAATGATATATCATGTCGGTATGGATTGCCCACAGTTTAAAATGACTGCCTCCTAGACCAACTCAATTGGCTCGACTTATGAATATCTCTTCATATTGAGGGACCGCATACTAGTTCTTGGGCTGAGTTGTATTAGATATAGGACATCACTATATATTAACCACATACAGTGGACTGTGTCACATTCGGCTTCTGAATGCTACGGCATTCTGTGAAACCGTCTTCATTTTCATATCCCAATTTATTTCCTTATTACTTCAACCAAAAAGGTTTTGAGTAATCCGTATTCTGAATATTACGTATTACGACAGCAATCAGCTGTCCCGTCAAGCAATTTGCATTGTATTGGCAAACATTTTTCACCAAATAATATTATAATAGCGAAGTTGTGTATCCAGTACTTTTGTATAAAATAATAATAACATTGAGCATACATGGATTAAACTAATAACTAACATGTTATGTATTGGAATATTTACTATTTGTAGTAAATACATGGAGCCCGAGAGTTATTTCTGGTATGCTAAATTCCTTATACCACTTCTTTATTTTATGCATTCCTTTTCGTATTTTGATTTGCACTTTAGTTATGCATAAGTTTTAAAGTTATTTGTTTGTATTATTTAATGCTAGCACAATGGGCGATTATACTAGAATCTCACTACAGTATGGTCTTCTAAAAGATTAAATGTACCAGTGTAAAATATTCCAAACAAAAAATGTTTTTCTTGTCAAAATTTTTGGTTTTCTTACAACAAATGTTTTTAATTTTGAATACTGCTGAATTTGATTTTTCATACTCGCCCTATATGTGTGCACGAACCATTTATCACAACACACCACTAAGCTTGTTCCTTATTACCCCTGCATATAGATCAGATATTTTATAGTAGGAGTATCAACTGATCATTAGTTCTTATGTATCTTCTGTAAATAACTATTTGATACACAGAACAGTGTGAGAGAGAGCAAAAGAAAATTACAGTAACTGTTCAGTTAAAACAGCACAAATGGTGTATTGTGATTATGATTGGTTGTAATTAGTGATACATGTTGTGAAGGTTTTTATCTTCAGTTTGCTGTTGTTTCATATATTATTTACATGTATATTCATTTCACTCCATAGGAACTATATTGGTGAAAGCAATGAAAGGTCTTCCCCTGGTCTTTACTCTTATTTAAATGATTTGATGATAGCATTATAATAAACATTAAAAGTCTTAAAGATTTGAAAGTGAATGATAATGAATCAATGTATTAATTCTGTTATTACTATTAACAGCATGTATTATATTATATATAGGAATGTTATGATGTAATAACAGCAAAGAGAAGATAATTCTAAGCCACATATATTTTATTTTCACAGCAGAATCCAGCATGACCGTGAGAAATCCCCCATCTCCCCCAAGAGCACGAGCAACTCCCCCATCTGTCCCCATTATATCTGTACCAGATATTGGTAATTATTTTGTTTACTAATTAACCAAATTATCTCACATGCAATGCAACTCCGGGGGAGTTCTACTTTGCCATACATACTAGATGGTCTAGGATATTTAAAATTTTAGATGAAATTATTTATCAAAGTAACTGTAGATTTTAAATAGTTTTTGTAACATGGTTATATTTGGGGTAAATAAGTATATTTTTTTTTTAAATTTTCCATAGTTATATTTTGAGTAAATAAGTATTTTAATTTTCTGTAACATGCTAGATTTTTTTACCCTGGTAAGGTAGCTTTAGTGTGGAAAAGATTATATAAAACTGATATTCAATCACTTTTCAATGTGGGACTGTCCGTTTTAAATCTAATGTTATATAATACCATAGTTATTAAATTAACCAAATATTACTCCACTAAACACTTTTTTCTGCACTTACTGCTTGCTATTTTTTCATTTACACTTTGCATTTTGCAACAAAAATAAAGGAGTATTAATTAGTAGTAAATACAGATTCTTGTGGGAGTATAAATATATGTTTTATAATGTACATGCAGTAAAAGGGGGTTCTGGGTTTATTTGTACTTGCATGTCTTCACCAACTGGCAGTGAAACTAGCAAGCTGATAATTTTGCAAGATTGAATTTAAATTATATTAGTACACTAATTTATATGCCATACAATTAAGTGTGTAAAGAATTTATCCATAAAAAAACAATAATTACTGTAAAGCCTCATCTAATATTGAATTATGAATTCAAATGCTAAAAATTGTTGGAAAAAAAAATGGTCTAACCTTGAGGGTAAAATGCACATTAAAGGGGCAAAGGATGGTTTGCAAGAGAATATGTTCTATAAATGAGCACATAAAAGATGAATAATTTTAGGAGGGAAGGGTGGGGGTTGTGGGTGCATGCACATCTCAAAATAAGCCAGTGTGAAAAAACTAATAACTTGAAATTACTAAGATTTATTTTGTTTTGTGCATATGTTTAAATCTCTAATACTCTCAAAATGTTTTTAATAAGAATTTGTGCTTTCAATGAGTTTATAAATGCTGAGCTTGTATTCAACTAATTAAATAGTGATTGTTTTTATTATAATAGCTCTATTAATGTCTTACTTTCTATTGTTTTTCTCCTATATCTAGTGTATCCAACTACCAAGGATAGAGTAGGAGGTAAAATTATGTTTTAGTTGTAGTGACCTCATCCTCCTCCATTTTGTTTTTATGTGGATCATTGTCATTAAAACATGAAGCATTTTCATCATTCAAAAATTGAATATATTGACGACAGGAAATTATTTTTATTCTGTTAATTTTCAGTTTTTGAATCTTTATAATTAACATTCATTGTTTTGGTTCTGTACCATTCAGGGGAAAAAGGTTTGAAGTCAGCCATCATCATCATCATCATCATCATCATTACCATCAAGAGTACCATTATTTTGTTTTTTCCTGGTTTCGGATTATTTTTGCAATATACATTTTTATTGCAGGATTCAGTTATCTATAATACTTAAACAGTTTATTAGTGGTTCGAGAGTATTTAAAGTTTTTGTCCAAGTATTATATGACTAATAGTCAGGCCATTATTATATCAATAAATAAGTATAATGTAATTTTGATCGTATGGAAAGTTGACAGATGTTTCTTTGTACCATATACAACTTATATTTACCTTTGTGACTCATACTTATTTACACAAACATATTATTCCCAGGCAGACTGTTCATGGCTTTGGCTACAACAATATTTTAACACTAGTTTTGTTAGTGATATCTTCTTAACTTCAGAAAATAATAAGGATTTTAATCCTCCAATACATTGAAGAATGAGTTGACAGTAACACTACTGTATTATTAAAATTCTCCTCCATAGCATTAACTTTATGTTAGACTCAAAATGACAAAAATATTTGTTGACAAGGCATCAAAATCCCGTTGTCTTTTTTAAAATTTTGAATCATGGATTTATCATTTAAAACTTATTATTCACTTTTTCCATTATTTGTCACGCAGCCATTTAGGCAATGTTCTGAATTTTAGACATGTTGAATGAAGGACATTTATAATTGGAAGGATTAGTCATATTTACAATTCTTTGCTTCTATTAGAAACAAAAAAATCTGATTAATTGTATACTGTAGCTTTTCATTGCTGATAAATTTAGAATCTATTGAAATCAAACATGCTTTTATCATCATTTCAAAAATATATCACTTTTTGTCAAGATATATTGGTATACATTTGAAAAATAGCCAATAAGAATATAAATAATAGCTTGAGAATGTTTTAATTATTAATATTAACAATTCAAATTTAATCAGTAATTGCAAAATTCCTTAATTGTTAAATCTAACTACATGTATGTTTTATTTCAGCTATATAGACATGTATAATGAAAATAACACCAATATATAACTTAACATGTTGATCAGACCTAATAAGGAAAAAAGGCAGCATAAATAATATTGTTTGTTTATAATTAAATGTTTGTGTCTAATTTCAGAATCTGCTGTCGATGTTCCCAGGGCATATGGCAGCCCCCCCTCTCCTACTTCATTGGTCCAATCTAGTCCAACAGTAAAAGCTCCTCTAGCTGAAGCTGAAGATGTAATTGAGGCTGGTAATCAGAGACTGGTTCAGGCCTCTACACCGATTAGAAAAGAGAATGGTTCAGCAGTTAGTTCAGCATTAAGAAACGACAACCTGGACATTACCTTACCCTACAATCCTAATATGACACAAGATGAAGATGACGATGATAACCAACCAAGAACTAGTTTGGATGATCAGATCAAACAACTAGAAGACCAGTACTCAAAATTACAAAGCGAACCAAATAATGTTGAACTACCAGATGGTGTTGCAGAACAAACAAAGGCAGGTACTACAGGAAAGTCAACAGTTGCTAAAGGCGGAAAATCTGGTTGTGCCACTTGCTGTAAAGCACTATTCATCTCTTTGTTTTTTGTGGCCATTTTGGCAACAGTGACATTTTATATTCTGTTTTACTCAGAAATCAACCATCCTATTGTAAATGATCTGCGAAAACAAACCATATTTTTGGAGCCAGTGAAAGCTTTTGTCGACGACAAGATCACCATCATCAAAAAAGCCTTGAAATAAACTCTTATGCTAATTTATCTATCACGTTTCATCTAACATATCGCAATAATATTTTCTTGTTGGTTGATGGAGGGAAAAAAAAAACATTTATTGAAATTTCCACAAATATTTTTACACATTCTTTAATGGAACTGCTAGAGAAAATTGGATCAATACATATTTTTGTAAATTAGTCTTTATGAATAATGTAGATTTTGTCGACAGTTTTGTTAATAGGATTTCTAAAGTCGTTCATTTTGAAAAGGAAAAAATATGTGTCTGTTTATTTTTGTTGAATTGTGTATTGGTAACTGTTTTCTTTCTTTAAGTGCAGAGGATATGGGTTTTTTGTTTTTATGCTGGTAGATACATAACTCATTTACATACAAAAATTCAGGTTCTCTCATCTTGTAGAACACCTCCTCATCCAAGTGTTTTGTGAATTTTGTTTGTTTAAAGCTTATGCTGTTTTCGACACACAAGGTGAGATTTTGCTGAAAATTTAATATTACAGAGAGATATACAAAGTGGTGTAGGTATCTGTTGGATGATTCCTTTCTGAAACGGGATCAAGATACTAATGGAAGTGATATTTGGAACATATCAGGCACTTAAATTTTAATATTAGTGTAAATTATTGATAATACAGTATATATATTATCATGGCTATTATCTATCCACTTTGTTTATAAATCTCATACAGAACAAACTGGTTCTACCAGTAAACCAAAAACCTCTCTTACATAATAGAATTAAGCAGGGGTTTTGCCATAAGAACAAAAAGATGAAGGTTAAAATCTGTTAAGTGTGTTCTTTTGTGAATGTGTGTGTCTATCATAGAAATATAATGCTATTTGTTTTATGTTCCTAGTTCTGAAGTATTTGGTTAACTAACATTATGGAAATTGGCATATCTGAATTTTACAAGACCTAACAATGAAAATGTACAAAATAAGATTTATGGATGGGGATCATTATCTCCACTTACTTCATTATTTTAAGTTGTTTATTGTGGCATTCTTCAGCTTATCGGTTTAGATTTACTGTCTTTGGATTTCTCTTCTATAAGGACTTTATTCATTTTAAACTATATATGTATACAAATTTCTGTGTAGGTGAAGTTGTTAATATAGGAATTCATTCAAGGCTATACTATTGTTTAGTTACTATAACATTTATATATAGATATATTGTAAAAACAGCTATTATAATTATTATTAACACTACTACACATAATGTTCATTGCTTTACTTATTATTGCAATATTTTGTTAAATCATGTCATATTAGATTAATGAACCTCAGACACTGTTTGGAAATCACTGTCAAGACAAGGATCAATTTTTCAGGGACAAAGAACGTTAATGAAGCATCCATAATTATGTCCCTACAAGAGCCCCTCTGTTTACGTTGTAGGGGATTCGAGTAACTCTTGTTGATGATTATGGGTTTTTAAGGGATTTGTCATGGGGTTGCTCAATATATATTACTGTAAATGTATTATGAAGTTCATTAATCTTATAATTAGAAATTGATTATTTGTTCTTGTACGTTTGAGGAACAAGAATTAGATGGGATACTCGGCACAGAATGGAGCTTTTTTGATGGTGATATGAAGGTTTCCTATATTTCATTATGAAGAAAGGAGAGTTGAAAATTTCTTAAGTGCCTCAAAACTTTGTACATTTTAATGTTTGGTTAACAAAGTGGGCCATGTTTATTTTTAGGCAGAGACAAAATGATGATTGTACATCACATTTGTATTATTATTATTATTGATGTCCAGGTATTTTATTCCTTTCTTCATAGTAACATATTGAAATCTGAAGAAATCATTTTTTTTTTAAATATTCTGCTTTTATAAAATATAACATTTACTCTTTATATATAATCTCTCTTTTGGAGAACTTGTTGGTTTTTTTCCCTTTTTAGAAATAATTTTTATTTAATGCCTTATATAGGAAGATGAAATTGTACATTTAGTTTAGTGTATAGAATTTTTACAATGTCTGTTTTTTGTTTTCTTAATATATGGTTGTAATATAATATGGAATCACAAATAAAATGAAATGAATAAGTAATATGAAAGTTCATGTTCAAAATAATAATTATATATACATATATATATATATATATATTGCCATGGCAGCAAATTTTATTCACTAATATTTTATTTTGTTTCTCTAAATAGTTTTTACCACTTGGTTGTTGCTTGTTCTTAGGGTAAAATAAATGAATTTGAGAAATGAAAATGTAATTGAATGGCAACACGATAACCACTGTAGATAAAGAAATGTTTACATAGAATACAGACATCTAATATTTTAAACTTTGAATAAACAAAATATTTATCATTGTATAGATTGTTGTCTTACTCCTTATAAAACATAATAATAGTTTAACATTTTGTTGTAGAACTATAAACTTATCCTTTGTATGTTGATTAATGTGTTTATGTTTCTGTTTAGCTAGTCCCTCTTTGTTTGGTTGTGCATCAATTGCTGATATGTTGTGTCCTCAAACTAGCTATTAGATAATTCACTGTTAACTCTAAAATAAAAACAAAAATCTGTCATTCATTTTACATTGTGTTTACTTTTCCTTCCGATGGACCCATATAGGGTTAAATTACAATTATATTACTGTAGTCCTGTTAATCCAGGCACTTTCTCTTGGGGCAATGTTGTTGAACTTGAAGGACTCGTCAGATTTGATTTTAGCTCAGGTTCCACTATAATGAATTCCATTTCTTATTACTTTAGATAACGGCTCTAGAGTTACTTTAATATTTGATTTCCTTATGAAGCTTTGCTCAAGGATTTGGTTAAAGAGTGGTCCAAAAATATATATATACATATTAACCAAGTAGTAGGGGTTCTTTGTTAACCTAGAGGGTTTTCACCAATTGTTAAAAGGTCCTGCACCTATCGGAATTGATGAAATATATGCCTCGTTAATCCTAAAATGTGTTGAGAGTGGTCAGTAACCACTTGTTGGTCCTGAAATGTATTTATTGGGCACTAACAATACATCTGTAAATTAGCTATAAAAGACTCCTTTTCATGCAAAGATGTTAATTATGTCACATATTCCCACACAGAAATGGTTGACTTTTCAGCACCAAACAAGCTAATGAGGTGGACAGTGTGCTATAAGGGAAATTTTGTCTTTTCTTCATCAATCTACAACTATCGAGGGGTTTTTTACCTGCATGTTTTTCGCGGTATCCAAACAACTAGTCACTTTTTCCTGGCATGCCCCTTCCATCCTACACTACAACATAGTGAACAAGCTGCAAAATCCATGTCCTGAATATCTTAAATGGTCTTCCCACATATAAACTTTGTGATTTCATATTTGGACTAAAACATTCAAACCGATTCGTATATTATTTTGAAGAAAACTACCCCAGACTGTTAAGTCTATTTTAACCATCCTTTTTTGTCACATGACTTCATTGAGGGGAGGGTCAATTTTCAGACTGTACATTTTGTCATTACTGGCTGTTCATTTGTCATAAATATTGAAGCATTAGTAAATTCTTGTGTTTTCCTCTGCCAACTTATTGTCCTGCCGGTTAATCGCAAAGTCTGTACGTTTAATTCTCCCCCTTTTCTCACAAACACTAGCCATTCCATCACCAAATCCAAGTGGTCCCTATCTCATTCAAGCAGACAAGAAACAGACTGCCTGTAAGTGATGCCCTTAAATTTTTGTCCTGTACCACCATAAAGGTGTTTTTCAAGGAATCCAGTATTTTATTGAAAGATTGGGTATCTCTACTTTCCATATAACAACTATCCTATAAATACATTTGTGGGAATGTATCTTTATATTACACTATTGGACAACTTTATCCACAAACATCAAAGAAAAGATGAATTGCCAGGCAGCGAAAAATAACGCAAAGAGCAGGCAAGTCATGCAAGCAGTTAAACATACATTATGCAAGAGCTAAATCTGTCTATTGTGCAGGTCTTTCTTTAGGCCTGAAATATTACCTTAATCAACCTATCCAGACCATAATCAACTCTAGATGGTTATGCTAGCCTGCGATCTTTAGTGGATTATGGGCTGATTTACTGCATAACTTTCCTTCACGATTTAACGATTAAATGGATAATCGAGACAATGCTGTTTATTGAACTGACTTTAGTAATGATGATCGAGGCTAGGCAGAAATTTCAACCGCTTAGTTCTCGGTTCGTAGTGGATCAATTTGAATGAAATTTTCAGCAAATTGCATTTACATTATCTAGTTTTTTAACTATACTATTCAAAAAAAGTAGGGGATATTTGATTTTTAAGTGTTATTAAAGTCACCTAATGAAACTGACGAAGAAACAAATGACAAAATGAAATGAAGTTCACATTCATCGATTTATTCCAAATGATCGTTAGACTAAGTAAGGCACAGACTGACCATTATAAGGGTAAAATGATACCCGGGGTCAAACAGCTAAGTTACCACAGCATCACAACCAAGTCAGTAACGGGTAAATCCTCCTCTGTTTGCCAAACAAGCATTGATCCGACGTGGCATACTCCTAATGAGACGTCTATGGTCATTTTGGTCCAGATTGTCCCATTCCTGTTGCAACGCAGCAGCAAGTTCTTGGACATTGGCAGGACGTTGTTGACGTTGACGTAACCTCTGTCCAAGCATGTCCCAGACATGCTCGATGGGGGAGAGGTCGGGACTCAGTGCTGGCCAAGGTAATGTGGTGATGTTCTGTTGTTGGAGGTAACCTGTAACGATCCTGGCCCTGTGACATCTTGCGTTTTCATCCTGGAAGATGAAACGGCGGCCATGACGTCGTGCGAACGGCACAACATGGACTGCCAAGATGTTGTCCCGGTAGTACTGGCCTGTAACACGCCCTGCAACAACATGTAAAGCCGTTCTTCCAGCAACAGTGATGCCTCCCCACACCATAACAGAACCACCCCCAAATCGATCATGTCTGATGAAGTTAACGTCTTGGAAGCGCTCGTTTCGACGACGCCACACCCTCCTACGTCTGTCCAAAAAATCAACAGTGAACCTTGACTCATCTGAAAACATCACATTGCTCCAGCGTCGATTATCCCAGTGTTGACGATCCCTACACCAACGACGTCTTGCCTGAATGTGATGATCTCTCAAACAAGGGATCACGCGAGGACGTCGGGCGCGAAGGTGACCCCTATGCAGTCGATTCCGAATCGTCTGGCCACTCACTCTCACACCAGTGTCTGTTTGATCTGATTTGCTGTGATGACACGATTTCTCAAGGCCAAGGTACGGATAAATTCATCGTCCGCGCCACAACCGCCTGTGTTGTGCCGATCTGTAGCATGCCAAGGGCACGTAACCTTTCATTTTGGGTAAGCCGACGCATATCAAAATTTGTTTTCTGGTCACTAAAACGATTAAACTGATGTTTCCACCCTGGAATTCAATGCCACAATGACTGTAACATTCAAAGTCAGAGTCGTGCAAATCTTGGGTTGGACCCCCATGATGATCCCAAGCATCACCTGCATTCCATGCGGTAGCTATTGGTGCGTTTGGGCGTCACATGTAACTGGAAATGTTTCTTCTGTTAGGTTCTATAGTGACTTTTTTCGTAGTCATTTGCATATTTTAGTATTATGCCCCCAAAATCAAATATCCCCTACTTTTTTTTGAATAGTATATTATAGTGAGAACTGCCACCTCGTTACCGAATTTCCAATAATGTATCTTTAATAAAGGCTATCTATAATTATTCTTTTGTAGTATAAGAGCATTTGCATAACACTAAAGACTTCGCAAGACAACAACATTCGAAGTAATTATTAGAAATAATAAAAATCTAGTTCTTCCTAGCTGTTAACAATACTGATAATTACAATTAATAGGCGTTTTTGGTTCATAAATAGAAACACTATAAATTTCATGACAATTGAATAATAACTTGGATGTCCCTACAGCGTCCACAAGATTTGTTAAAGTGACCAAGGGCCACAACCCCAACATTTTCGTTGAAAATCAAAAGGCTTCTGTCTTATAAACACAAAGATTTATGGTGATGTGACAATATACATGTAGGGTTTTAAAAAGGCCAACTTCTTAACAGACAAATGAGAAAATACAGATAGAGATAATACTATTTTTTAATAACTGATTGAGGAGTAAAGATACAAATAAAACCACTTTTTTTCATTTAAATAAAGTATTGGATATAACCTTCACATAAATAAAACATTTTATTTTAACAAATGTAATTATTCATCGATAGAAAGTACAGTATGGCTTTTCTAGCATGTTCCCTGAAATTATTACACACGAAAATCAGATCATAAATTTGTTTAACAATTCTTGTTATAATTTGGGTCCATATCAACAATCTACATATTTACACTATACAATTACAATAAAACAAGAGAGTTCAATATTTTTTAATTAATGATGGATAAAATGAGTCCATTAGATCACCAGTTGTTTAATCAAAGCAAAAACTAAAGTATTTATTATGTAAAAAGGTACAATTAGGTGTATAAGAAGAGACTGGAGAAGAGATGAAACATAGAGAAAAGAAGGATGAATGATATGCTTTATAAAATAATTACATGATATTTACAGAAATATGCTATACATGTCAGGAGAAACATTGTAGGTAGCTCAATACCCCTCAATCAGATGTACAGGTACACAAATTATGTTAAATTGTCAGCACTTCACTAATGTACTGATCCAAAGAAAGGGTTATCTCTACTTTTTCTTTGAAGTGCCAGCTCCACCCGAGGCACCTGCAGCCTCAGCTGCAGCAGCAAGCTTTTTTTCCTGTTTTTGCCTCATAATATCGGCATCTCTGAAAAACAGATCATATAATATCTAAATACATGCCTCCTATGCCATTAGGGTCATTAACTGAGACTGAACTCTAAAACATATTTTTTATATGAAAATATATACAGACAAAACGATATCACTAGCCAAAGGAGCTTACTTAGTTACTATTAACAAAGTAGATAAAAGTTGGCAATTCGTCCAGTTTCCCAATTTTTAGTGACTAGTTCCGTTCATATTGAACTCTTTAGATTAATTAAACTCATTTGGTAAAGGTTCTATATATATACTATTCCGGGGTGGCTTTTTACCAGGGTTTGGTGTCTTTGGAGGGTTTGCGTGTCTGCCTTATACTGGGGTTGGGAAAAAGCAGGGTTTGGTGAAAGGCTAAAAAAACTGGGATGGGTCTTGAATGCGGAAGTACAGTATGTCTGGTTGTTTGTTGGGGTTTGGTATTTAACGGGGTTTACAAGTCTGCCAGATACCGGGGCTTGGTGGAAGTCTAAAAACTGGGATAAGGATTTAGGCCCCTAAGGCGGGAGTACAGTAAAACTAAGGTAGGTAAAGATTGCGATGTAAAGCTCCGACAAACTTATAAAAGTAACCCCATGTTTTGCTTGCATGTTCCTAAGTGAATAAGAACAGATCATGTTTGACCAAGTACTCCTCAAACCTTTAGTCTTTGTCCGGCTTATAGATGACATCTTCCTCATCTGGACACATAGAAATTCTAAACTGCTAGATTTCTTCCAACTGATGAACACTTTTCATAAAACCATAAAGTTCACAGCAGAATACTCCACTGACAGAGTGCTGTTTCTGGACACTGTGGTAAGTTTTAACCAACACACGAAAAAACTTTCTTTTGACCTTTTTTTGCAAACCAACAGACACACACTCTTACCTATCCTATACCTCATGTCACCTAAATAGACTATCTGTAACTTACCTCAATGCCAATACTGCAATACGCTAAAACTAAAGACCACATTCTGTTCTAGATAAATTGACAAATCATATAAATGTCCTAACAACTGGACTTGCCATAATAAGAATGTAATCTACCAAATTAATTACTTGCAATCTATGACACAAACAATATGTAGGTGAAACTAAAAGTTGTTCCACATTAGGCTGAAGGAACACTATGCTGATATTTTCCATAAGAGAGAGAGACCATGGTCACCACTCACTTCCACTTACATGTACCAAGGCACTCCAGTCAAAATCTTGACTATCAAATAATTAAACGACTTGGTACAAGCCCTGGGCCCTTATTCACGAAAACTTAAACTAAGATACAATCGAAATTTTAAGAAATACTGCAATTCGATTGGCTGACCAGTAAAATCAATTTGCATATATCCAATTTGCATATTGGTCAGCCAATCGAATTGCAGTATTTCTTAAAATTTCGATTGTATCTTAGTTTAAGTTTTCGTGAATAAGGGCCCAGACCTTACAAAGTCTACTGCCATAAGACACACCATTGAACTTCATTGGATTATATGATCAAAAACCTTTCAACCTTATGGTATCAACGACAAAATCTGAACTTGGGCACCCCCCAGGGATGTCACTAACTTTTCAAGTAACAGGAAATTTTGCTGAAGTAAGGGGCAGCAAATTTTTAGGGCTGCAAGTCCGAATCTGCTGGCAACCTGAAGGCGAGTGCGCTATGGCGTTATGTGCGTTTTGGGTCAATATTTTAAATGAAAGAAAAAGTTTTTTTTTTAAATATTTTGTGAATATAAAAATCTACTCCAAATAAGTGCTTTTCTGTCATATCTGAGTGATGTGATGTGATAAGCCATATAGAATCGCTTGTCCTACCAATTTTAAAACTAAAATCCACGAATATTAGTTAGCTAATAATTTGAATAATATATAAAATATTTATAATCTTGAAGATATCAGATAAAAGGCAGGCTGCATATTTTCGGAATTAGCAAATTTCAGTCTGCAAAACCAATAAATCCCATTTTCTATGGCTGTAATCGCGGAAATCCCTGAAAACGTGGCGCTAGAGTGTTATTTTCCCGCAAGTGCCTCCCAAAGATAAACAGTAATAGCGCTTAAATTTCTATAACTTTTGTTGAGTCAGATTTTATGCATATGTTGAGATCGATATCAAAGTATTATAAATATTTTTTTAATACAATTGCTAGTAATATATATATTTAAAAGCAGATTGAAAGTTGGCTAAATTTCAGTCAATGCCAATAGGTTCCGATTTCAAGCTAAAGCAGGACACATTAGCCAAATGATTCGGCGCCAAATTTTATTCGGCCGAATGGGTGGACACACTAGCCGAGTGCTTCACCTGATTCACCAGTTGAATGCATCATCTTTCAAGTCACATGATTAAACATAGCGGCATCTATGGCTTCAAACAATCACGTGACTTCTCGATATGGGTGGATAATGAGTGGTGATTGGCTAATGAATTCTACATTCGGCTGAATGCTTCGTTGAAAGCAGACACACCAGGCGAATGAATACATCAAACATGTTCGATTTGGGCGAATCATTCGGCTGAATGACAGTGGACACACTAGCGAATTTTGACGCTGATTGATTCGGCCTGCGTGTCCCACCGCTTAAGTTTACTAGCCATGGGGAAAAATGACAGTAATGGAACGAACCTTGTACAGCCAGTACAGGTCTCTATTTGTTCAGGTACGCTCATGTACTCTGCTACACTATACAATATACTTTTTTTTACCCTAAGCAATAATAATCACAAGCATACTACTACTACTGGAATTAGAAGTTTCAAGTCAAATTCAGCCACTCAAAAGATCGATTAATACAAGGGAATTAAGGGGGTTAGGCTACCTCCCTTTGAAAAAGTAAAACTAGTATTGGCATAGTATGACCATTTTCCAGGAGAAATTTCCTCTTGTGTGGGAGATCAGGAGAAAGGTTGTGCATCCGTGAGTCTCACGGAAAAAAGAGTTTAGTTGACACGTTTGTGTGCTTGGCATTTAGGAATAAATTAGTTTAAATTAATATTACACAAAATTATTTTATTGAAATGAAATTACTGATCTTTTTTAGCGAAATCTGTCCGTTGCCAGCTTTTAATGACATCCCTGGCATCCCCCCATTTATTTTCTTTGTTATACTATTAACAAAGCTTTTAATTAATGAAATTATAGATCCCTATCATTAATCCTCAATTTCAGCAATTTCAATACATGCAGCTAGTATCAAACAAACTGTAGATTAGTTATGTTATAGTACAGACAAGATTAAACAGACAGAACATATGGTATAAATGTGACCAAGGGACTTGACAACTGGGTTTGCTGCCATTATTAAACCATTTACTTGGATATCAAAAAATGCTGTCCTTATTGTCAAAGTAAAGAGAGAGCACTGTCAACTTTCATTTACCTTTGTTTCCTTTCCTCAAAGGTTAAACCTTTATTTCCTGCTTGATCAGAAGCCTTAAGGTTTTTACCAGCACCTTTTAAATTCTTTTCTCTAGCCTTGTCTCTTTGATTTCCTCCTGAAATTATAGATTTCCATCAACAACAGAGTTTTAAACAACATATTAGTAATAGTTTAAAGCAAGAGTGTCAAAAGTGGTAACCCTATCTAACTTCTGTACAGTAACTCATGTTACTGAAAATGGAAATGAAATGAATTGGGGTTTAACATTCTACATTTCTGCAACTGGGATAATAAAGACAGACACCATACAGTCATCCTCGGTATCCCGAGTGGTCTATTCCGTTCCACTCCACTATACCCTGGGTTCATCCATGGGGTTTTCAAGTATTCAAATTATCTGCCCTTGATTGTAGCTTGATTCTACGAACCAATCAATAAACAGTTTTATAAACCAGTCTTAGCCTCATTGTTTACATTCACATTGTTTACGCTCGATTATGTTTGCAAGAACTTTAATATAATAAGAAGTGACATGCACACAAAAAGCAGTCATTGTTTTCTGAGGCGCACGATTGCTCGTGAGCATCTACTGCACACCTGAATGTCGACCAAAGGGAGGTTTTTCTCCCTAGCCTTAAAATTGAAAATTGCTCTCCTTATTTGTAAATCATGGACATATGTATTTCTTTTTTCAAAAGAGTGTGAAAGACGCACATTCCGATCGCTGCCATGCTGTCATTGTGAACATTTATTTGGTGTATTCGATTAGTGTATAATGTGATCGCACATGGTAATAAAATTCTGTGAATATGTTGCTAAAAATAGATGCCGTCTATGCATCATTGGTTAATTTAACTGAAATGTAAAGTAGAACTCTCGCGAGATGAGAGAAATTATAAGAGATGGCATGTGAAAATTTCCAATGAGAATAATTCCAGAAGAAATAGATTACCATATAATTTGATGGAATTTTCAAGTGTTTATTAAATGATTATATTTTGAATAGGGGTTATGTTTTTAAACAAAATTTATACAAGCTATATATATTTAGAAATGTCGACCAGTTTTTTCTATTGGAACACTGTATGTAGTTATAGATGTCGATAGCAGAAGTTTGACTTGACTGCACAACTACGAATGCTATTATTTAGTAGACGATGTTTATAATTATCATTTATGTAACCAGGAATGACCCCTTACACGCAGTTATTGATCTTCAGAACCATTTCCCATAATACAACTAATTCACTCTCCTTAATATCAGATCACCCTCCTTAATTTCTTTATCACTCTTCTTATGGAAACTGGGAGAGCTCTTTTAGTGGAGCGATTTTTTCAATTTCATTAAGGGGGGCTTTTTTCGGCTCTCCTCTAAAATACAAAAAGATGTACTAAAACATCTCTTTGATGGGAAAGATGTTTGTATGCCATTCAAGATATGCAGTTGCAAGTAGTTATACTTTCAAGCGTGTTGGTTGATAAAATTGGCACAATCATCAAGGGCAGATAATGTGTCTCCCCACGAATTAACCCATGGTATAGTGGAGTAAAACAGAATGAAACCACTGGGGATACCGAGGATGCCACACAGTGTGCTATGACGGAAATTTTGTCACAGGGAACAATTAAAACTAAATATTAGGAGTGCAAGACCAACGGCAAGTACACCACGTTATGAGACAAATGCTTGTAACACGTAATATTTGAAATTAAAAGCACGAATTAGAATTCAATATTGTTCTATTTCAATCCATATTGATGTTATTTTACCATGAAAATACGAAATCCTAATATCCAATATTTAAGAAACAACAAACATTTTTAAATTAGTACAGGATGTTCAATTTAAGACTGTTTGTGTATGTTTATTTCACCAATCATAACCGATTAGAAATTACAATATTTTTTTTTTAAAATTGAATGTAAATCTCTTTTTTTTTAATATGTGTTTTTAGACCCATTTAACATCAATGAATGGAATGTAGACTGTTATGGCTTTATTCAATTACAAGTACTGAAGTAGTAAATAGGCTACTACAGTACATCAAAATGTAGCATTTTTTAAAATGTAATTTTAAAAGAAAGACATTAAAATATTTAAAATTGTCATTAGACGAGTTGACGTATATAATATATAATTATAATATTAATATTCTAAAAAAAAAACGTCATTCAGTAACTACATGTAGGCCTACTTACTAGGACTTATTTCGTGAACTAACCCAACTTTCTTAATCACTGAATTCATTGAGCGATCGAATCGGTTGTTGTTTTCATGTCAAGAAGAGAGAACTAGCCGATAGCTTTCAGTGTTTTACAAACGATATTGCCTCATTTCAGAAACTTTACTCCTTACAACTATAGAATTTACAATTAATTTACAATTTTAACTTACTGGTCATTATTGCTGGTGTTTTTTTGATAAGAAACCCTAAAAAAACTTAAAACGTAAGCAACTTCCAGCCAACAATCACAATGTATTACGCATGCGCTGAATAGCTTTTCAATCGTAACTCGTGGGTTTCACATTTTCATAACTCTTTCAACGTGTGCTGTCCTCAAAAGCTTTTAGGCGTACGTCAGAGTAAATGGCGTACGTCGTGAATCGTTGACCCGGAAGAGGGTGGGATGGGATGATTTATGGGTTTTTATGGGTTTCACATTTTCATAACTCTTTCAACGTGTGCTGTCCTCAAAAGCTTTTAGGCGTACGTCAGAGTAAATGGCGTACGTCGTGAATCGTTGACCCGGAAGAGGGTGGGATGGGAATGATTTATTACTGCATTATTACAAACTCCCTTTTATTGCAGCATGTATGTTATATATAATTACGACATAATTTTATTTTTTTACAATATCAGAATGAGATGTAAATTACATAACTGGGATATATAAATTAAGAAAGAGGTTAGAGTAAAGAAAGAAAAGTAATTACCAAGCTGTATGTACAAAACATAAAGAGAAGCTGCACAAAATGAATACATGTCGAATTGCTGTTTGTTGTTTATGTAGAAATTGGTATGAAATAGCAACACACTGTGTTTGCTAGCTCTAGCTGCAATATTTGTAACCGTGATAATTCTCTTATTTACGGCTGCAACTGATACATTATTCGAGGCTTTGCGCAAATAAAATTAGGTTTAATTGCAAAATTTTTAACACGTATCATCGCAGTTTGCATGTAAATAAGTAATTATGTTACAAATAGTGAGGAGTGGAACACAGAAATCTTTCTCTATTTTCGAGTGATATGAAATCACGTGATTCTGGTTCGGTGGCCATTTTAAAATAAACAGAAATTTCGCATAGCAGTTGGGTTTAATCAACCCAATGCGGTAAGGTTTCACCTTTAGTTCAATGGGAATTGGTTTATTATATGTTAGGCTATGTACAGTACAGTTTGGTGTCAGTGTAATTGGAAATTAGGGGGGTTGTAGGCCAGTAACTGTTATGGAGTCAAATGACTACAAAACATGCTCAAAGGAAGACCTTAGGACGGTCCTCTACTGTGACTTTGGCTGGAGCAAGACGGAAGACATCAGTAGTGGAACCATTTATATGTGATTTCAAGAGGAATGGGTTTGAACATGTTTTCGAAAGAAAATGTGGGGTTGGGTACTTATTGGGTAATTCGTAATAGTTCCTCATAGTAGTTGCAATGCCGATTAGAAACGGGTAACTCATTTACTGCTTGCTGTTTTGCCGCGGGCATTTCTTGTAAAAATCGCAGATATACTGGTATGTTCTTGGGCAGCCCACTCTGTATTTCAAACGAAATAGGCGGGAAATGTCGGTTTTAGTTTACAATTTTGACAATTTATAATGTAGGTGTGATGTTATTGTTATCCGAAGAGCATAGATTAGAATAAACTTCATTGTACTCCAAAACCAAAAAGGGTACCCACAAAAAGATTGCCGACCCAATCCTAAAATAAATGACACATATTAATTAATTGCACATTTATCTTTTTCTAAAGCGTCGATCAATCAAACTGCTTATCTGTACTCATCCTCGGTATCCCCAGTGGCATAGTTCTGTTGTACTCCACTAACACTGAGGATATGATCTGTATTTAGCCTAAGCAGAATATGCTTATGATCGAGCTTAGTCAAGGTTCTGATGTAGTGAAACTATATATACACTAAGTGTAATAACTCTACTCACTAAATTAGATTCAAAGTTGTCGTACGTGTCCCAACGCATCAACCAATGAAATTTGTTAGGCTATCTTTGCTCGGGGCCCATCTTTGCTTATTCGAAGCAGAAAATGTTCATCATTGAAACCAGTCAAGGCATTTACCCAATGAACACCAACAACAAAATTTGAATATTCTATTAGTAAGTGCAGGGGGGGGGGGGGGCTGCGCCACACATAATTACGCAAAATAAATCTACGGACAAGACACAATACGCAGAAATCACAAACAAACATCAGATTAAGTGTCAAACTTTTCAGTGCTTAATACGATCCGTCAGAACTCGCGATACTACGTATTTACCATAGTTTATCTATGACGTGAATATTTTGCGAAGGTATAGCTAAAAGAACTAAACGAAATGAAAAGTTGTTTAACATCCTACTTTTCTGTAACAACCCTGTAACTGAAGACGGGTATACGCAAAGTTGTGTGCTATGCGGAATTTAAGTTTTTTGTCCTATCCAAACGATTAGACACTTTTTTGTCCCATCCCAACGATTAGACACTTTTTCGTCCCATCCAAACGATTAGACACTTTTTCATTCGAAGACCTACTTTGGAACATAGTGCGTCTACAATAACGAGAATACTAGAATATAACTATTCGTTTGTTTCGGATGCGGGAGATAGAAATGAAATTAAATGAAATGGGGTTTAACGTCCTACTGTTCTGCTCCTATACTGGGCTAATGAAGACGGGCATACGCCATACAGTGTGCTATGAGGGAAATTTTGCCCGGGAAGCGGCACTATCGAATTCCAACTGGCAAGGGATCTTTTACGTGCATTCCAATATTCACACGGGACCTCCGTTTTTCGTATCATCCGAAGGACTAGACAGCTGTCCTTGTCAGGCCCTCCGTCCTGCATCACTGACAAAGGGAAACCACGTCGGAAAATTGGGATGAACCTTCTCGGCCAATGCAGGGATCGAACACCCGACCTCCAGGCTAGCGGCGGGAGATAGAATACTAATTCCAGTTCTTTTCGATATTTCAATTTTCACAATAGCTAACGCAAAGCCGTCCGTTTGCACTCGATGTTGCGATTGACTTTCGAGAGCGCTAAGGTGTGTAACTCTGGATGCTTCATTAGGGGGCGCTTAACATTTCTTCGAAGGCATGTTTGGTAAAGTTAAAGAATAAGGAGACTGATAGAACTTAGAAGTTTTGAAAATTACTGGGTATTAAATAGTTACATCAAATGAATGTCGTAATATTCAGCTATAATTACGAGATGCTGCATACCCTGTTATTTTACGATTAAATGTTTATTTGTCATATCGTTGTCTGAGATGCATTGGCTTTGGCTAGTTAGCTGTCTCAGTAGTCCGTGTCTGAACTAATTAGTTTATTAGGTTCAGCGCTGAACGTTTACGTAGGTCTCATGTTATTACACTCGGCCTGTATGTTCAAAAACCGTCCTATTGAATCCTTGTGGAAGAACTTTCCACTCCCAGTCAATTTTACTGGGCAACTTTTTACTGCTAAACGGTAAAATTGGCTGGGCCAGTGGGAATCAAATGTTTTTCAACAAGGATTCAATAGGACGGTTCCTGAATGTACAGGGCGAGTGTAATGAGACCGAATACATGTCATTTCTGTCCCGTGTCATTTTGGACTCAAAAGAAATATGGCCTTGACGTTTCGGACTCTGGCAGGTGACATTTTGGACTCAGGTAGGTGACGTTTCGGACTCGTGAATAAGTGGAAAGGAAAGGTTGAACACAACTTTCAAATCAATATATACCCGGTAATAAACCAAAAGCGATTTTATAAAAAATAACATGCAGCTAAAATTTACCGCTCGCAATCAAGTACAGCACATGGAATCGGGGGATCACGCACCGTATAGATCTCTCAAGAAACTGCAAAATTTTCAATGTTGAATGTTTATTAAAAGAATGTTCTATTTCTTTATATCTGTAATATGTAGCCTATATAAAAAGTAGCTGATGAATTTATTAGAAATAGGCCAATTCAAAACACAAAAGAAAATATTAACATGAAACACGTGGTTATTAAAAGACTACCAAACGATAAACATAAGTTGCACTTATGGTTCTTTATCATCGTTTCCCGTAAAAGTAATTTATTTTTTTAAAAAAGAATAATATGCTGTAGAATTTATTTGAAAGTGACCTACACAAAAATCAAAAGTAAATATTTACTCGACATGCACTGTTTTTACAAGCTCCTAGAACTTTTTAACGATAATGTGTAAGCTACACGTTCACATGCATTCCTCGACAAGCTTGTCGTAGATAGCAGTACCAATCGATAAATTATTGCATACAAAGAAAACTCTTTTTGGAAATTATTAGAAATGGCAACGATCAAAGTGGGATAATTAAAGCTGATTAACCGATAATCCCTATATTATTGTAGTACATGTATGCTCAAAGAAACCTTACAATTCTTTAGTGGACGAGGAAAAACGTGAATAGTCAATCAGCGATAATGGCGACTGGGTGTTGATTCGATTATTCCGACTCATGTAAAAGACATGACACAAAATATATCACACAAATTTTCAACAGTCTTTTAATTATTCATCCGAGTCCGAAACGTCGCCAGATTGAGTCCCAAAAGTCGTCAGGTAAGTCTGAACCGTCATCAAACTGAGTCCGAAAGGTTGTCTGTGTTAAGTCCGAAATGATGCGCAACCGAAACGATGTGCTACCACGAGAACTATGTTCAGAGGGAAGTCAGCGAACTATGTCTGAACCATCTTAAATTTTAAACCGGATTTCTTCGATTATGAACAAACTACTTCACTTTGGTTATTATAAACTTACCTGTGTTTGAAATCAACTCCTGTTAAATAAAATCCATTGCACAGCTAAATATCCCAATGAATAAAAAAAGTTCTAAATTGAAAGATTGATATCCCACAAACTTCTGACACAGAAAAATACCTCCGGTTGAACAAAATCCATTGCACAATTAAATATCCCAACGAAAAAAAAAGTTCTCTCTTGAAAAATCAATGTTTTTGCTTGTATTTTCGACTGTGTTGATCACAACATTGTACATGTCACATAATGAGCTAAACCATCTTAATATGTTGAAGGGGGGTAATGATTGACAAATTTTGACAATCACGTTGTTGCAATCACAACAACCCGCAAATTTTCCGATCATTTGAGATTGGGCAATAAGAATAGCAACTGAAGACAATAACATTAATTTGGAAAGAATTGATTGTTAGTCTACTAAATTTTATTCACAATGAATATATCACCGATTACACGAATACTCGTAAATATTGCCTTTCACATCATCATCACCCCATAATTGTAAATACCCTGTATATTATATTATTATATTAGGCACAACATCCCTGTCAATTATAGACAACTTTGTGGCTAACATTTATAAACAATCACACTTTATTTCATAATTTTAGTTGATCATATTTCATAACGTGGGGTATAATCCCCAATGTTCTGTGGTTATTAGTCCATTTTCAAAGTTTTATGATTACCACAAAAACTATGAAAAAAGGCCACCACTTCTCAATAATTTCCATATTTAATTCACGTTCCGACTTTTCGTGTCAATAATATTCCTGATTAAGTTACTTTTTATACGCCCACATTTTCATGTGGACGTATTATGTTGTCGCCCCTGTCCGTCCGTCCACAATTTGTTTGTGGACAAGGGGGGTTGGATGGCTGAATGGTTAGCGTGCGCGCGCTGTATCATAAAGTCTGTCATTGAGGCGACTGGCGTGGTTTCGAATCCCCGGTTGTACGTGGCAAGGAGTAGGGTCGCCTGTCCAACCTCGTGGGTTTTCTCCGGGTCCTCCAGTTTCCTCCCACTGCTAAAGACCCCTACGCGCAAGTGAATTATGTAAATAAAATTAAACCATATGTTAGTCCCAAAATGACCTAGTTTGTGTCGAGTGGACGTTAAACCCCATTTCTCTCTCTCTCTCTCTGTTTGTGGACACTCTACAGGTCACAATACTTATCCAATTTTGACGAAACTTGAAATATAGGTTTATCTCCAAAAGATCTCGGCTGCTTTAGATATTTGCATGTATCGAATCGAAACTTCATGGATTATGGCCCCTGTTTGTACGAAAAATCACGTTTTTACCTTGTGGACCCTATAGAGGTCACAATTTTTATCAGATTTTGTTGAAACTTGAAATGTAAGTTTATAACCCAAAGATCTCGTTTCCTGATGATATTCGTGCATATCGGACCGTAACTTCCTGAATTATGGCCCCTGATTGTAGGAAAAAACACTTTCTTTTTAGCTTGTTCTCTATCCATCTCTCGAAAATGTGGGCGTATCCTGCCTGGCAGCCGCTGGTTTTTTTGTTTAATCGACAAATACTGAAATCGAAACATTCTTGAAAAGAACAGTTCGGGATGTCTAAACATCGTTTATTGTCTTTTTAAAAATGTATTTAAAACAAAAAATCACTTGTCAAAAGAGGCATCACAGATTGCGTGTATTTATTGGGTCTTGTGTGTTTATAATGCATAACGTGAAAAAAACTCGTGCAAGTTTCGCGCTAAATTTAATCATTTTCACTGCATCTGTGTAGCATACAATAACTCATATGGCATGGTACCTTTTACGGTAATAGAATTCAAAGCATTGATTGGCTGAGGCATGATCGCAATCTATGAAATGCCATCAGAAAATTCCATTCTCTGTGGATTTCAAAATGGAGTTGTACTTGTGATTAATATATAGTTAATAACTGAGAGTACAATCGTATGGATACATTGCCCTGTGAATTTCAAAACAAAGCCAGGATTTTCAGAAATTAATTGTGTTACCGAGACTCAAAATTGTGAACAGTTTTTGCACAACGGAAATAATATTCAAAGAGAAATAGAAAGACACGGAACTGTCTGCTGATAATTAAACCGATGTGTGGTATGATTTGTTGATAATAATTTTTGGTATTTATAAAAAAAAAATAATAACGTTATATACCTATTCAATGATTCAATAGCCTTGGCTATTAATTTTGCAGAGGCAAATGTAAAGTGCATCGGCATTTACCTTGGCAATCTGCTGTTTAAGAATAAGCTATAATTCTGGGCTTGGCATTTGAGTTTGAGCGTTCATGCACATAATTGCCTGTATTCCTGAATTTTTATACCGTCTTGTACATTCTAGTAAAATCACTGAAAAGTTTTTAACTTTTAAGTCTTTACCTTTTGATATATTTTGTTTTAATTACCGGTATTTGAGGGGGTAATTTTCTTTTGAAATATTACACATGATAATCTTTAATATGATATATAAAATGATAATATAGATTTCACATATATGTACAAGGTATTTACAATTACGGGGTGATGTGTGTGATAATAAGTATTATAAACCCACCCAGTAGGCACTTATAGATGTTATTGAAGCAGTTATCATTTGATCAAAAGAATTCTATCAAATTGACAATACACTCCTTGTTAAATTATTGATCAGGGTTCCCGCAGTCCTTGAAAATCCTTGAATATCCTTAAATTTAAAATTTCATTTTCAAGGTCTTGAATATCCTTGAATTTCGCGGAAATAGGAAAATATCCTTGAATTTCAGTTGAGATCCTTAATTTTGTTTCAAATGTCTTCAATTCCTTTTAAATATGAGATTATAACGATAGTTGGTAATGTTTTGGTTATTTTTAAGATGAAAAATTGTAACTTTAGGCTAAAAAATGTCCTTGAAAATCCTTGAATTTGACGTACATGTACATGTATATTTATCCTTGAATATCCTTGAAAAAATGTTTGACGAAGCCGCGGGAACCCTGTGTTAAATTATTGATAACATAAGATAGGAAATTCTAAGTTTATATATGACTTTTTATTTACGAGTTGAAGCGGACGTAAAGCGACTGGTTGCCCACATAATAAAACATAGTCAATGTTGCCAATTTTTTGCTCATCTTAGCTACTTGTCTAGTGAAACAACCTGGCATATCTACAAGTGAATCATTGGACAAATTGAAAATGGTAGGGTTGTGTGCACCCCAGTAAAGCCCCTAGTTTTGGTTTCTTTTAAATAAGGAGCTGGTTATCTATTTCTCACTCTGTGAGCTCACTACCTGCTAGTTAAGGTATCTCATCTATGGACCCTCTATGTCTCAAAATTAGGAATGATAATACTATATAGTTCTATCTTGCTGAGCCTTAGTGAATCACAACACAGCATTGACAGAGCAAAAACTCATATCCCTCATACCTAACTACAAAAAAGCATATAATGACATGGTTGCAAATCATTGCTTTTAAATTGAAACCGTCAATTAATATAAGCAGTTGCATAGTTAAGACATTTCTAACAAATACAAAATGGAAGACTTGCATATAGTTACCATGTGGTTGGCTGACATGTATGTATGTAATATGATTATGTATCTATGCATTGAACCTATGAACTGACTGTCTCAGTGAAAAACACTGCTTGATTGAGTGCTTGATGATTAATATAATTGATAATATTTGCAGTTATGTGAAAGTCGTGTGTCAGTTAATGTGAATAGTGTAGTGATTCTGCTTTTTTTTTCTTTCAAATATTTTCAGGTGTGGACCTAACATATCTAAGTTAATAAATATTTTGTAAGATGCCAAAATCTAAAGAATTTATTTCATCTTCTGATGACTCGGCTTCAGATGATGATACTGAGGTTAGTATGCTTTTATTTTTCAGTAGATCCTCATACGTTGTAAATCATGAATTGAGGAATTCTTTTATGTTTCTTTGAAACCCAGTATTGTCCTAAAATTCAAATGAATAGAAAACAGTAACGGAAAATAATAATATGTAAACAAAACCAAATAATTCACATGATAGGTTACAGTACCTGGTATTAGTGTACTTTGCTTCCATCTGATAAAGGCTTATAATAGGTAGAAACGGGTACCTCTCAAAATGTATACTTAGTTGATAATTCTTAGATTAATAATTTTTACATGCCTAGGTTTATAATTTTTATACGCCCACATTTTCATGTGGACGTATATTGTCGTCGCTCTGTCTGTCCATCCACAATATGTTTGTGGACACTCTACAGGTTACAATTTTTATCCAATTTTGACGAATCTTGAAATATAGGTCTATCTCCCAAAGATCACGGTTCCTTTCGGTATTGGACCATAACTTCATGGATTATGGCCCCTGATTGTACTAAAAATCACGTTTTTAGCTTGTGGATACTCTAGAGGTCACAATTTTCATATGATTTTAACGAAACTTTAAATACATGTTTATAACCCAAAGATCTTGGTTACTTTTGATATTTGTGCATATCGGATCGTAACTTCCTGAATTATCGCCCCTGATTGTACGAATAATCGCGTTTTAGCTTGTGATCCCTATAGAGGTCACAATTATTATCCGATTTAGAAAACTGTTTGAATATATCACCGTTACACTGTAATGTTAGTTGAATTCGAATTTCGTGAAAATCGGACCAAAACTGCTGCACAAAATGGCCACCCCTGATACCCAAATAGTGTAAACATATGGTGTATCAAGGACCCACTAGAGCTCCCAATTTTGATCCGATTTTATGCATATCAGATTGTAACTTCCAGAATTATGGCCCTTGACGAAAAATCACGTTTTTAGGTTGTGGTCCCTCTAGAGGTCACAATTTTTATCCGATTTAAAAAACTGTGCGAATATATCACCGTTACACTCTGATGATGGTTGAGTTCGAATTTCATGAAAATCAGAACAAAACAGCCGAAAAAAATGGCCACCCCACATACGCAAATGGTGTAAAAATATGGACCCACAAAAAGTCTCACTTTGTAATTAATTTTAAAAAACGTTTAAATATATCACAATTTTTATACGCCCACATTGAAATGTGGTCGTATATTGTCGTCACCCCGTCCGTCCGTCCGTCCGGCTTGTGGACGCTCTAGAGGCTAAAGTTAATATCTGATTGACTTTAAATTTATATACAGTGTTTAAGGTCATGAGACAAAGAAGCCTATTGGTTTTCAGCGATTTCCGATAATTACTGCCAGAGTTATGGCCCTTGATCACTTCAAAAAATGTTGTGGACGCTCTAGAGGCCAAAGTTAATATCCGATTGACTTTAAATTTATACACAGTGTTTAAGGTCATGAGACGAAGAAGCCTATTAATTTTCAGCGATTTCCGATAATTACTGCCAGAGTTATGGCCCTTGATCACTTTGAAAATCTTGTGGACGCTCTAGATGCTAAAGTTAATATTCGATTGACTTTAAATTTATACACAGTGTTTAAGGTCATGAGACAAAGAAGCCTATTGGTTTTCAGCGATTTCTGATAATTACTGCCAGAGTTATGGCCCTTGATTTTCAATGATTTCCGCTCTAAAGGCTAAAGTTATCATCCGATTGACTTCAGATTGATACACAGAGTTTAAGATCTTGAGACGAACAAGTATATTGATTTTCAATGAATTTTTATGACTTGAACAAATCCATGATATTAAAAGTTTTGTATACAAAACGTTAGCATGGGGCAGAACTTTATAAAAACCAAAAAAATTCTAATGGTTTTCTGATAATAACTTCATGAGTTGTTGCCCTTAATCAGATTTTAGTGTATTATAAATGTTTCATTACCGAAAAAAGTAAGAATATGCGACAACTCTTGTTGACTGCCCGGACGATTTAGCTGCTGTGGGCGTATGTTTCGTTGCCTGGCAACCTATCTTTATCTAGTTTTAAAAAACGTTTAAATTTATCACCGTTACACCCTAATGACGGTTGAGTTCCAATTTTGTCAAAATCGGACCCAAACTGCCTGACAAAATGGCGGTTCCTCGTATGCAAATAGTTTAAAAGTATGTCATACCAAGGTGGTGGACCCTCTAGAAATCACAATTGTTATCTGATTTTGATGAAACTTAAAATATATGTTTATGTCCCAAAGATCTTGGTTTCTTTCGCTATTTGTGCATATTAAACCGTAACTTCCTGGATAATGGCCCCTGATTGTCTGAAAAATCATGCTTTTTTAGTTTGTGGATTCTCCAGAGGTCACAATTTTTTATCTGATTTTAAAAACTGTTTAAATATATCACTATTCCACCATAATGATGGGGGAAAATCGAAACAAACTTCCCGACAATATGGCTGCTCTTTGTACGCAAAGTGTCTAAAAGTATGTAATATGAAGATCCGATTTTGATGAAACTTAAAATATATCTTTATATCCCAAAGATCTCAGTCGCTTTCGATATTTGTGCATTTCAGACCATAACTTTCTGGATTATGGCCCCTGATTGTACATAAATCGCTTTTGTTTTTAGCTTATTCTCTATCCATCTCTTGCAAAATGTGGGCGTATCTTGCCTGGCAACCACTGGGTTTTTTTTTTATTATGTGACACTGTTTGATTTGGGAAAAATTATAATTGTCTATTTGAAGGCATAGGATCTTCTGAATTGTTTTGTTATTAATGTTATAATGGCAATCTGTATTTAGTCTAAATATTTTGTCCATAGATAAAGCCAGTGTTTATAATATTGCTGATTGTGTGTTAAAGTGTTAATAGTTATGAAAATCCATCAATGGTAGCTTTTGTTAGAAAACATTTTGATCGATATATTATTCAAATCGATGAATGCTAACTTATAAATAGTATTGCCATTATTATACGCCCACATTTTCATGTGGACGTATATTGTTGTCGTCCCTGTTTGTCCGGACGTCTGGTTTAATTTTACATTGGTTTCAATTGATTTTACTCCACTATCTGTATAATAACTTTGCTGTCTTTTTCATACAAGCCAATCCTTCTTTATGAATGTTTTTTTATACTTTTATAAAAATTACTAAAAAAGAAAACAAAAAAAAACCACCCAGTTTTCCTAAAGTAGCAATATTGCTTTAAATTAAGGAAAAATTACCGGGACAAGGAGATCAACAATGGGTATTAGGCCATTTATTTGCTATTTCTTCCACATACTTAGCAATTGAGATAAGATATATGGGGGTTGTCTGGCATTTGTGAGTCTTAAGAATTTAATTTAAATAATTAATTGACTTTGGTTAATATGGTAGTTTAATATGGTAGTTTATCAATTGAGTAGGATTTCAGAGCACAGTGAGCACTGTATTTATATAACTGCTGTAAACAAGAGTGTTTTGTGTATGTACTTCTTTATATTATCAATAAAGTGTAACTCATACGGTCGTGTTGTCAATGTACTTCCAGGCTGTGTAACATACTGATTGAAGAAGAAGAAAATCTGTGAATAAAATAAAAACTAAATCATGACTCGAGGTATTCATACACCATTACCTACTCCACCTCCTGGCCGGCAGACAACCAGAACAAGAGATAGAAATAAATTTGAAGCCCTACCCTCACTGAATGTAGCTGCCATAACATCTTTTAAAACCACACCCTTTGTAACAGCCAAAGATATCCGAATAATACGACCTGTTACTGGTTTGTGTTGTGATTGTTTACCAATAAGTAAAAAAGAATTACTACCCGATTTGGTGAAAGAAAATGGAGTTTGTAACATACTGAATGTCAAACCGTATCTTAGAAATGCGGGATGGCTTCAAAAAAGATTTCCTGTCACAGCTTACTGTTTACAAAAGCGGGCTTATCATCAGTATCCAGATATATCTATGTCAGTGTTTGTTAATAATAGATTATTAGAGGCTATACAAAAAACATCCATTGCTTGGTATTCCCAAAGCTATAAAGTTGGTGGTAAAGATATTCAAGAGATTCAAAAATCCATCGTGCTTACTGCCAAGAAAACGCTACAAAGAATGAAAGCTTGTATATCTTCATCGCTCATCAACTTTACTGGCTGGTTCCTCCTCAGTTTTTTATCCACATTCCTAAACAATATTCTGGTTCACAGAGGACAGATGAGCATGATACGTAGTGCTACAGAGAAAAAAATACCCATGATATACCTACCATTACATCGAAGTCATCTTGACTATATCCTTATAACTTTTATACTGTGTCATTATGAACTCCGTGCCCCATTCGTGGCAGCCGGGGATAATTTAGACATTCCTTTCTTTAATAGTTTAATGCGTGGCCTTGGAGGATTTTTTATCAGACGAAGATTAGATAAAAAGTCTGGTGAGAAGGATATAGTGTATAGAACGCTACTACACACCTATCTGGAGGAATTGTTGAAACATAATGAGGGTATGGAATTCTTTATCGAAGGTGGGCGCTCTAGATCAGGAAAAACCAATTTACCAAAGGGTGGTCTACTGTCTATTATTACTGAATCATGTTCCAAAGGTCTGATACCAGATGCTTACATAGTTCCTGTTAGTATCAGCTATGACAAAATTATTGATGGTAATTTCTACCGAGAACAAATGGGTTTACCAAAAATAACTGAAAACTTTTGGCGTGCCATGAAAGGAATATTTAATGTTTTGATTGGCGACTATGGTAGTGTGAGAGTTGATTTTTGCCAGCCGTTTTCTATGAAAGAATTTATAGCCCGCCATCAAGTAACAAATAAAGTAGATGAAAATGTGCTGGTTTTAGTGGATTCCTCACCCGAAATTGCACCTGTTAAAGTGGCATCCTATCCGTGTTTACGACAAGCACCATGTTCTACCACAGATGAAGATAGACTAATCGTTCAATATCTAGCAGAACACGTCTTACACACAGCTATCACATCTACAAGTTTAATGTCTACCAATCTTGTATGTTTTCTACTTTTGACAAAACATCGTTCTGGTACAAGAATATCCGAGATAACTAATAGTCTTGAACAGTTAGTAAGAGAAATCCGACAAGTTGGCAGAGACATTGGATTCTGCGGAGATATGAGAGATGTCGTTCATAGTGCCTTATCCTTACTAGGAACCAAGTTAATTCTAGTGGAACCTAATCCTGCAGATGAGGAAGACTTGTGCCTTAAACCTAATTTGAAATTACCCTATGTATTTGAATTGATGTATTATGGTAATGCAGTATTATATGTCTATCTATTAGAGAGTGTGGTAACTGTAGCAGTTATGTATCTTACTAAAAGTAATTTTGCATGTTCTGAAGCCCAGGAAAGTGAGGAAACAACGAAAGAAGAAATAATATTTACATCGGAAGAAATTTGTAGACTGTTACAACAAGAATTCATATTTGTACCACCTTGTAAAAACCTGAAGAAGGAATTATCTGAGGTGATCGAGTCCTTTAAAATGAGAGAAATATTATACCAAGATGAGCAGTATGAAAACAAACAGTATGATTATCATGAAAAGCAGTGGAGTAAATCACTGTCAGATTCTCTATCATGGGAAGATGACTATGATGATGAGGATGCTATGGGTGTACAAGAAGAAAAATATAAAGTCAACATTAACAGAAAGCACATTCGTGACAGATTGAGGTTTCTCCTGTCAATAATAGCGCCAACATTAGAATCATATCTTACTACAGCTACCTATATAAACTTATATCTCAAAACCGAAACAGCAGAAGAGGATTTCATGTTACGATTAAATAGTTTCTCCAAGTCACTGGTATCAGACCACAAATTGATCTATAATGAAAGCTGCGCAATGGACAGTCTGAAGACTTGTGTGAAATCTTTTCAAAAGTTAGGCATTCTAGACTCCTGTACCGCTGGTAACTTGCGTATTGTAGGGTTAAGTGAAATATTCAATGTTAAAGATAGGTTAATGCATTATATTAGACTTTTAGAAGTGATTAAAACAATTAGTTGAAAATTTCAAGACTTAAAGCTTAAAGATACATTATGACAGGTTAGATAAAGGGCTGGCAGTTCTCACTATAATATACTATTCAAAAAAAGTAGGGGATATTTGATTTTTAAGTGTTATTAAAGTCACCTAATGAAACTGACGAAGAAACAAATGACAAAATGAAATGAAGTTCACATTCATCGATTTATTCCAAATGATCGTTAGACTAAGTAAGGCACAGACTGACCATTATAAGGGTAAAATGATACCCGGGGTCAAACAGCAAAGTTACCACAGCATCACAACCAAGTCAGTAACGGGTAAATCCTCCTCTGTTTGCCAAACAAGCATTGATCCGACGTGGCATATTCCTAATGAGACGTCTAAGGTCATTTTGGTCCAGATTGTCCCATTCCTGTTGCAACGCAGCAGCAAGTTCTTGGACATTGGCAGGACGCTGTTGACGTTGACGTAACCTCTGTCCAAGCATGTCCCAGACATGCTCGATGGGGGAGAGGTCGGGACTCAGTGCTGGCCAAGGTAATGTGGTGATGTTCTGTTGTTGGAGGTAACCTGTAACGATCCTGGCCCTGTGACATCTTGCGTTGTCATCCTGGAAGATGAAACGGCGGCCATGACGTCGTGCGAACGGCACAACATGGACTGCCAAGATGTTGTCCCGGTAGTGCTGGCCTGTAACACGCCCTGCAACAACATGTAAAGCCGTTCTTCCAGCAACAGTGATGCTTCCCCACACCATAACAGAACCACCCCCAAATCGATCATGTCTGATGACGTTAACGTCTTGGAAGCGCTCGTTTCGACGACGCCACACCCTCCTACGTCTGTCCAAAAAATCCACAGTGAACCTTGACTCATCTGAAAACATCACATTGCTCCAGCGTCGATTATCCCAGTGTTGACGATCCCTACACCAACGACGTCTTGCCTGAATGTGATGATCTCTCAAACAAGGGATCACGCGAGGACGTCGGGCGCGAAGGTGACCCCTATGCAGTCGATTCCGAATCGTCTGGCCACTCACTCTCACACCAGTGTCTGTTTGATCTGATTTGCTGTGATGACACGATTTCTCAAGGCCAAGGTACGGATAAATCGATCATGGGCTTGAGTTGTCGCCCTTGGTCGACCTGAGCGTGGTCTGTCCTGTACAGATTGTGTATCACGGTATCTGGACCATAGCCTGCTTATGACAGACTGAGAAACATTCATCGTCCGCGCCACAACCGCCTGTGTTGTGCCGATCTGTAGCATGCCAAGGGCACGTAACCTTTCATTTTGGGTAAGCCGACGCATATCAAAATTTGTTTTCTGGTCACTAAAACAATTAAACTGATGTTTCCACCCTGGAATTCAATGCCACAATGACTGTAACATTCAAAGTCAGAGTCGTGCAAATCTTGGGTTGGACCCCCATGATGATCCCAAGCATCACCTGCATTCCATGCAGTAGCTATTGGTGCGTTTGGGCGTCACATGTAACTGGAAATGTTTCTTCTGTTAGGTTCTATAGTGACTTTTTTCGTAGTCATTTGCATATTTTAGTATTATGCCCCCAAAATCAAATATCCCCTACTTTTTTTGAATAGTATAGTTAAAAACTAGATAATGTAAAGGAAATTCATGGAAAGTTTCAGTCAAAATTGATCCACTTTGAACCAAGAATTTAGTGATTGCATTTTCGGCCTAGCCCCGATCATCATTACTAAAGTTGGTGCGATGAAAAACATATTCTCGATTATCCATTTCACGATTTAATCATGAATGAAAGTTGAGCAGCAAATCGGATCCTAATCCAGTAAATATTGCAGGCTAGCAATGACATCGAGAGTTGTTTATGGTGTGGATAAGTTAATTAATGTCTAATTAATAATTTAGATAACATTTCAAGCTTAAAGAAAGACCTGCAATAGGCAGATTTAGCTTTTGCATAATGTGTTTAAAAGTCGGGGGCTATCGAATTGGATATTTGTGTTCTTTCATCCTTCTATCCAGACACATGCATTGAAACACAGTAACTTTATTTGTAATGAATGGATTTTGATAAAACTTTAAATATTCAATATATCTATAGTCGCTCGCATAAGTTTGAATATCAATAATATCCATACCTAACTAATCTGGTTGATTCTTTGAAACTTTGAATGATTTTTTTAGAAATATTTATTCATTATGACAGTCGCTCACCTAAGTTTGAACATAAATACCATTCACACATATTTAAAAAGCCTTCTGCAGTCTGATTGGTTGATATTTTATAGACATCTACTGAATGGATTTTTCAAGTTCAAAGATCAATCGCATATTTGATGGGTCTACTGCTATCTGATTGGTTGATTGTTTGAAACTCAGTAACTTAACACCTAGTGAATGGATTTAGATCAAACGTAAACTATGCAATCATTATCACTCACCTTGGTTAAAACATCAATGCTTAGCCTGCTGAAATGTCTTTAGTAGATTCTTTGAAATACAATGATTACGCTTACTGCAATGTGATTGGTATAATTTGAAATGCAATAACTGTGTTTTTGATTGACTGATTTTTCTATATAACTTGAATTAAACATTCATTATATAAATCTTGTATATAGATTTGAATATCAGTGCTATCTGTGCCTGGTTAATTAGCCTACTGCAATTGGATTGACCAATATCAAAAACTATAAATGTAATGTTTTAAGGATATTTTGTTTTATCACCCAATAATATCGCTTGTGTGATATATTTCATAATCTACTGCGATATCTCCTTAGGAGATATCGCTTTACATAAATTTGATTGGTCAGTTGAAAAGGAACTACTTTTTTTTATTTTCAAAGAACAGTTCATTTCTTATTATTTTATTAAAATGAACTATTGTTATTCAGTTGACCTTGATGGAAACACTGGGCCAATATAAAGGACTATGCAATGGTTGAATTGCTGTCAAAAAATGATGTATCACTACGCCGTAATGTTCAGTAAAAGTGAAATCTACAGCAAACAATAGATATTTATCTATTTGTGTATTTAAGAAGGGATTGGGTGATAAATAAGATCTCCAACTCGTCTTTTTTGATATCAAAAAATATCAACACTCTTTGATAAAGTAAAAAAAAACTCGGCAGAGCCTCGTTTTTATACGCCCACATTGAAATGTGGTCGTATATTGTCGTCGCCCCCGTCCGGCCGTCCCGAGTCCACAAGCAATTGTGGACGCTCTAGAGGGTAAAGTTAATATCCGATTCACTTTAAATTTATACACAGTGTTTAAGGTCTTGAGACGAAGAATCCTATTGATTTTCAGCGATTTCCGATAATTACTACCAGAGTTATGGTCCTTGATTACTTCAAAAAATCTTGTGGACGCTCTAGAGGCCAAAGTTAATATCCGAATGATCTTAAATTTATACACAGTGTTTAAGGTCATGAGACGAAGAAGCCTATTGATTTTTAGCAATTTCCGATAATTACTGCCAGAGTTATGGCCCTTGATCACTTCAAAAAATCTTGTGGACGCTCTAAAGGCCAAAGTTAATATCCGATTGACTTGAAATTCATACACAGTGTTTATGGTCATGCGACGAAGAAGCCTATTGATTTTTAGCAATTTCCAATTATTACTGCCAGAGTTATGGCCCTTGATCACTTTGAAAAATCTTGTGGACACTCTAGAGGCCAAAGTTAATATCCGATTGACTTTAAATTTATACACAGTGTTTAAGCTCATGAGACGAAGAAGCCTATAGATTTTCAGCAATTTCCAATAATTACTGCCAGAGTTATGGCCCTTGATCACTTCAAAAAATCTTGTGGACGCTCTAGAGGCCAAAGTTATCATCCGATTGACTTCAGATTGATACACAGAGTTTAAGATCTTGAGACGAACAAGTATATTGATTTTCAATGAATTTTTATGACTTGAACAAATCCATGATATTAAAAGTTTTGTATATCCGATTGGCTTTATATTCATACACAGTATTTAAGGTCATGAGACGAAGAAGCCTATTGATTTTTAGCAATTCCTGATAATTACTGCCAGAGTTATTGCCCTTGATCACTTTGAAAAATCTTGTGGACGCTCTAAAGGCCAAAGTTAATATCCAATTGACTTTAAATTTATACGCAGTGTTTAAGGTCATGAGACGAAGAAGCCTATTGATTTTCAGCGATTTCGGATAATTACTGCCAGAGTTATGGCCCTTAATCACTTTGAAAAATCTTGTGGACGCTCTAGAGGTCAAAGTTAATATCCGATTGACTTTAAATTTATACACAGTGTTTAAGCTTATGAGACGAAGAAGCCTTTTGATTTTCAGCGATTTACGAAATTTACTCCTAGAGTTATGGCCCTTGATCACTTTGAAAAATCTTGTGGCCGCTCAAGAGGCCAAAGTTAATATCCGATTGACTTTAAATTTATAATCAGATTTTAGTGTATTATAAATGTTTCATTACCGAAAATTAAAAAATATGTGACAACTCTTGTTGACTGCCCGGACGATTTAGCTGCTGTGGGCGTATGTTTCGTTGCCTGGCAACCTATCTTTTGTTACTTTATCAACTTGTGTTGATATTTTTTGATATAAAAAAAAACTGGTAGGAGATTCTCTATCTGTTAACTATGAATATATAAGTCTTTAATCAGAGTCTTTACATTAATGCCATCTATAAACAAATAATTAACATATTTTAATCTGATTGATAAACTTTTAATTGCTTGACTACTTGCGTTGTTGCCGTTCATACAAAATAAAAGGGCTATATTATTGTGCTTTAAATTGAACTTATTTGTTGACTTATTTTAAAAATGTTCTTCAATATAAGCATTCTCAGAAAACCATGGAGACTAATTATTTGTTATTGTTTGTTTGATTTATTAATGATTATGTAGTAAATTCTAGAAATAATTCTACATAGTATTTAAAACTTTTCTCTAATGTGGATGTAGTTTAGTAAGGTTGTATCTTCACAGAACTTACCAGTAAATGAGAGAAATTTGATTAGTATATTAAAGATACTTTCCTGCGTACAAACTGTGTCATTTTATGATATATTTGAACTAAAAACATATTCAGACTAATTAATTTATCAAAAATTTGCCTCAAATCCTTCTCAAAAATTTGTATATGCAGGGAGATACCCCAAGCTATAAAAAATCTGTTTTTAGAAGCCATCGTTATCACCTAACTTGCTTGAGGGAGGGTGCATTTTTCAGAATGTATTTGTCATTACTTGCTACTGTCCATTTACCATACATATTGCGGTTATACATTTACACCCTTCAATGTTCCAAAATCACTTAACCATTCAATCAAGAAATAACAACCGCTCCCCGAGTCAAGCTAGCATACAATAAGCTGCCGGACAAGCCGTCAGGTTGCCAGTTAGTGATGCTCTGACATTTTTGTCAAGTGCTTATCCCATGTGTGTTTTTTGGGTAATCCAGTATTTTTCTAGTAAGATTGGGCATCTATACTTTACAGTTGCAATGCAAGAACAATAGCAGTGGGTCCATAGTTTTAATGCAAATCTTTTGATAGTAGAACGCCCATCAAAGGGCTAAATTAATGACTTGAATTTCTGGGTTAGGTGAACTACCACTCTCCAGGCAAATTTGTCCAAGACATGTCATGTTAGTCTTTTTCAGGCCAGGTTGTCACTTGTCAGGTGTGGCACTTGTGGCGTTGACAAGTGTGCATCTATTCAGATGACACCAAAACATAAAGTCTACCCATGTACACATTGGTGGGCACCAACATTGCCGTTGACAGTTTGAATTCAAAGTGTAGTCAGAATCGTCAGGTGTCCGTGGCAAAATTCTCCCTTTTGCATTCCACACATAACCATGCCATAGAAATAAAAATTACCATCATTTATGTTTGACTCAAAATAACTTGATTGTAAATTCCATTCCATTCCTTTCCTGCACAGGAGTATTATTGTGTCGTAAAATGGAACCCCAAAAAATTATCTGCAATCTTACATGTACCTTTTGTCAGAATGGGCACTAATATGGTCAATCTTGTTTTGGTTTTTTTTGCATTATTGTTCCTACTAAGCTTTTCTCAACATTGACAGAATAGCTGTGTTCTCATAGTCTTGAAAAACAAATGTTAATCAACAATATGTTTGTGCCATTCTTTCAATTAAATAAATTGAGTTTGTGTGTTTTCTGATGCTGGCCTCAAAATCCTGTTGTAGAAAAGGAAAGCCAAGAAACAGAAGGTTGAGAAAAAACCTGAAAAAAAGGAAGAAAGGAAACCTGAAAAAAAGGAAGAAAAGAAACCAGAAAAGAAAGGAGCATCTAATTCAGGTGGAGATGATATGTTTCAGGTGAGTTTATTTTTAGTATTTATATATTGTCCCCCGCAGGGGACTATTAAAATGGGTCTGTCCGTCACACTTTTTGGGACACAATAACTCTCCTTCTAATTGAGCTAGAATGTTCAAACTTGGTGTAGGTGTTTATTAGGTCAATGCCTTAATGGAGTTCGAAGATGAGCATTTTCTGCTTAGGGTAAGCAGAGATAAGCAATTTGATTGGTTGATGCTTTGGGACACGATAACTTTAGTTATAATTAAGTGAGAGTGAGGAAACTTGGTGTATAGTTTTATTACATCAATACCATGACCAAGTTCGATAATGAGCATTTTCTGCTCAGGGTAAGCAGAGCATTAAGCAATTTGATTGGCTGAGACTTTGGAACACAATAACTCTTCTCCTAACTAAGGTAGAATGTTCAAACTTGATGTCGGCGTTCATTAGATGAAAGCCTTGATGGAGTTTGGTGATAAACATTGTCTGCTTACGGTAAGCAGAGATAAGCAATCTGATTGGTTGATGCTTTGGGGCACGATAATTCCACCCCAAACCATTATGCTTGGACTAATGCTGGCCACGTCGACGCCATATTCTGGTCCTGCCATCTGCAGTTGATACGCAATACCGACTCTTATCTGTGAACAGAATAGTTCTCCATGCTTGTGTCACCAGTTCCGGTGTTGTTGGGCAAACTGTAGACGTTCATGTCGATGGCGAGGGGTGAGGATCGGCCCACGGAAAGGTGTACGTCAATGGATGTTTTCTCTGGTGAGACGTCGGTGCACTATATCAGTACTGATGGGTCTTTCGTGTGTTCCCACTGTCTGACATCCTGTCTCAGATGCAAGTGTGAAGGACATCTGCACAAAAACAAGCTGTCGCACAGCATGGCGGTCTTGACGCCTTGTTTTTGTGGTAACGCTTGGTCTACCAGTACGGGGTCGATCATTCGTGGTGTTGGTGGCCCGAAAGCGTTGAAGCCCGTAGATGGTCCGAACATTGACCTGGAGGTGATTGGCAACAGCTTGGGCAGTGTGGCCAGCGTCAAGTCTTCCAAGCGCCTAGTTCCTCAAAGCTGTCGTGAGTAGTGGCATGCTGCTGACGTTGTAGTGTGAATGATTCAACCAGGTATGGGGGTGCATTTAATAGGACTGGTCCCGGTGAACAGAAGGTGCAGCATGAGTTATATGAAAATCATGGAGAACACATTACCATCTCAGAAGTCAGGTTGCGTTTTTGAGAACATTTCCTGGGTTCAATTCTGTTTGAGAAGGATCCTTATTGCTCACGTAAAGTTGGAGATGTGGTCACAAATATACAATAAAACATTTGGCAAGTTTTATGCAATGTGTCTATTCAGAGTAGCATACCAACCTGACGTTTCTTTTGCTGCTTAGTATATTATATACAGTTATTTAGAATGAGATATAATGAATGATATTGTAAATACATGTATTTACAGTTACCTAGAATGAGATATAATGTTACATACAGTTATCTAGAATGAGATAAAATTATATTGTAAATATTTACAATTATCTAGAATAAGATAAAATAATATTACACACAGTTATCTAGAATGAGATATGATAATATTACATACAGTTATCTAGAATGAGATATAATGATGATATATGTATTTACAGTTATCTAGAATGAGATATGCTACAGTAAGTGAGTTTCGTGGTAAAATTATGGTTGGTATAAGAGAATATTATGAAGCAGATGGTGATCTTAGACCAGGAAAAAAAGGTTTGTTGCAGTGTTTGCATCTGACTAATTTAATTCATTTCAATGGTTAAGTGTACAAGCCTAGTAGAGAATTTTGCTGAACGATGACTTTTTCACTTACTCTTCATCTAATTCCAACTGCTAAGGGTTCTTTCAAGTGTACCTTGGTTTCTCCTACCGACTGACTGATCGGCTGACGGATCGAAAGACGAGTACTCTTTCAGCGCAGTGACTTTACTTAGTAAGAAGTTTAGAAATGATGGGGAGAGTAATGATAATGCCAATTCCAGCTGTTTGGTGTGTTGAAGTATATTAAGACTATAAATAAAGTCATCAAAGGGCCAAGGTGTATAATATTCTTGACACTGTCATAAACCTTTCTTACACGCACTACGGTCTTAAGCCGCAATCAGCCACTAGTCCTTTCTATTTTTATTTGATGTAGTGTTTGTTTTATTTCAGGAATATCTTTAACAATGGAACAGTGGAATGCATTGAAAGATCATATGGATGATATTGAAGATGCCATAAAAAAGTTATCATAGATATTTCTACTTTTATCCCAGGAATGATACTGCCTATTGTTTTTTCTTTAATCATTTAATCATTTTGTTATATGCCCACATTTTCATATATTGTCGTTGCCCTGTCCGTTCCGGATGTCCATTCACATTATGTTTGTGGACACTCTTCAAATTAAATTTGATCTGATTATGACGAATCTTTAAATATAGGGTTGTATCCCAAAGATCTTGGTTCCTTTCGATATTCACGCACATTAACTTCCTGGATTATGGCCCCTGATTGTACAAAAAATTTTTTTAACTTGTGGACCTTCACAATTTGTATTCGATTTTAAAAACCGTTCTATAGGCGGTTGAGTTTGAATCTCAGGTCTGACAAAATAGCCACTTTTCGTACGCAAATAGCGTAAAAGTATGTAATACCAAGATAGTGGACCCTCTACAGGTCACAATTTTTATCCGATTAGATTAAACTTAAAATATATGGTTATATCCCAAAGATCTCAGTTTCTGTCGATTTTGTGGATAAAGGACCGTAGCGTTGTGTATTATGGCCTCTGAAAAATCATGTTTTATCTGATTTCAGAAAATGTTCAAATATATCACCTTAAGTGTGGTTGAGTTGGAATTTTGTAAAAATCGAATGGTAACTGCTTGACAAAATGGTCACTCCCCTTTACCCAAATAGTGTTTTGGACCCTCTACCGATCACAATATTTATGAAACTTAAAAGATATGCTTATATCTGAAAGATCTCGGTCCCTTTTGGTATTCGCGCATGTCAGACTGTAACTTCCTGGATTATGGCCCCTGATTGTACCAAAAATCACATTTTTAGCCAATGAATCCTCTAGAGGTCCCAATTTTTATTTGATTTTAAAAACATTTATATATATCAGTGTTCCACTTGAATTACAGTTGAGTTTGAATTTTGGGAATAATGTTAAAGCAAGGTTGTAGACCCTCTAGAGGTCACAATTTTTTTCCGATTTTGATGAAACTTAAAACTTAAGATCTCGGTTCCTTTTGATATTGACGCAGGTTGGACAGTAATATCTAGGATTATGGCCCCTTATTGTAAGAAAATCATTTTTTTTTGGCTTGTTCTTTGTCCATCTCTTGCATGGCAACTGCTTGTTAATATTTCAATTTAAATTGAAAATTTCCTGTCTTTTTTTTAAAATTTAGTCTATAAGCAAGAATTTATTTAATTTTTGCTGATAATAATTTGATCCTTTTGTTGCAATTTTGTGATCGCTTTTATGTATCATACTGTAGAATTAAAGACCGTAGATCATTCCAGGGAATATGAAACCATTTCAATCTAAATGGAAATGCCGAATGTGTATATATTAATATAGGAAGCGGTCCATGCACCAAATTACAAGTTGGCTTCAAATCCACTTTCCCGTAAAAAATATATCTGTGATGACAATACTCACCTAAAATGTGACCAGCTCTGCCTAAACAAGACACATGTCGCAGGTCCATTATTTCATATATACCGTAGTAGTTAACAGAATATTTGCCTTCAAACAACTTTTTCTTACAACATCAGATATATATATATATATTTGCTGTTTTGATTGCAATTAAATTATTTCGGAAAATTAATGTTCTGACGTTATTACCAACTTCAAAGTTAAATATCTTGGCCATTGTGATATGGTGAATGCGAAAGTCACACTCACATACCAATTTTAAGGCTGTTGAGCATAGAATTAAAATTTATGTATTTTGATTTTTTGACCCTTGCTTGTGGCCTTGTCTCATTTATACAGAACCATTCACAATTGTACTTCCATATTACAGTTGTTATAGTATCATTCTGGTGTTTAACACCATTTCATTTTCTAACTAATCTTTGTTAATTTAGGTTTGTATGTAAGTTATTATAATCAAAGAACAAGTTTGATCTGTTATTTAATTATGTTTATAATCATCAACCATGTTGTCATTACTGCTTATTAGTTAAATCACTGGAGAAAATCATTAATATCTTATACATAATTAGCTCAGTGTAGTTTTTATATGTCCACATGTTGTCAGAGAAATACACATTTGGAACTTGTACATCACTTGGTTTTGGTTACCCTTGATTAACAGGTTGGTCAAGATGACCTTGTGCTGTAGTGATAACCAAAACCAAGGTGTAAATGAGCTTACCAAATGGACTAGATATTCCAATCAAGGATTTTTATACACAAGTGTTAAGCTCTCTTATACAGTTGGAGAATTGGTTAAGTTTATACTAAACCTTGGAATTTCTGACAGTTGGACAAGAAGGGAATTGTCTGTGAAAAAATTATTGCATACATAATTTTAAAATGCTGGATTCAATGCATGGACCAAGATCGTTGAACACCGAACTGTACTACCAGATGTCCTCTTCCACGATTGTCTCCCGAGTTATGGGCAGAAAATAACATTGCTCAATTCTTATATTCACTTTGGAGGAATGGTATATTCAACATTTAAATGCTTCATGTTCCGGTACCATGTTTTGCATTTAAACTCTTCACAAATGCCGGTATATCAAGAGGATTTGAAGTTTAAGAATACAAAAAACAATTTTAAAATAATTCTTAACAAATCTAGAGATAGAATTTATTTGACATAAATTATGACCTTTCTTGGAGACTAAAATACTTTAGATAAGTTACATGTGTATTTTAAACTTATTTAATTCTCTTTTTGTAGTTTATAAATATACAATTTAATTGTAATCAACATGTATTCTGGTATCACAGATTTTTCTAGTATCTCAAAAGAATACTTATTTTATTTTTATGCTAGTATAAATACTGAATATAAATGTTTACATAATTTAATATACAATTCTATTACCAAATTTAGGAATTTGTCAAAATTAAATACTGTAAAATTGGATTTAAATTATATAAATGAAGTCTTCATTAGCCCAGCCTGTGCAGAAAAGTAGGACGTTAACCCCATTTCATTTCTTAAATCCATGTCTATGCATTTATTTCAAGATATACTCCTTCGATGTTCAACCTATTTACACATTCTTTGTTTCATGAATAAATCCAAATTACTTGCGAAAAGTATACTTATTGGTGAAAACAAAATATCTTATGACCTAGCAATATGTGAAGAGCTACTACACTACACAATCACCTATATCTTCACATGCTCATAACAAGTGACCTTCCATCAGTATAAGCTGTCATCAGAGAAATCCAGATTTTATTCATTATGAGCATGAAATATACTGCTTAATACAGGTTTTCAGTTTGTAATAGATGATGTGCATGTAATTATTAATCTCAAGAAACAGGATAGAGTTCAGAGAATGGATAGATTATTATTTCTATAAAGACTGGGGCAGTTATTGTGAAAATCTTGATGAACTCCTGATTATTTCAAATTTTCAATCATGTGAGTAAACATTCCATACACATAAAACACAATTTTTCAAGGCTATATACCAATATAATGGTATTAAAAGTGGAAGAGGAATACTAAAGATGGGAATGGATTAGTACATCTATAAATTAGTATTAGTGGTTCCCAAAATATACAGAACTATCTCCAATAAATACTCAACAATAATATAACCAGTATACGATAAATATATATAAATTTACATTCTCTCAATAATCCAAAATCCATTGATTTTATTATGATCTACGTCAATGAAGAGATCAGTTCACTTATTTACAATATAAACTGTTTTATTGTGTGACAGTCTCAACAGTTTATATGTATCTTAATATTCATCTTGTGAAGAATTACATCCATATTACGGGTATATGTCGCAATAAATTAGTTTTTTGACACAAATTAAACAACCCTGGTATATTATGAAACTAATTTGATATTATATAAAACAGGATTTGGTTCAAATACAGTTGATCTGATGTGTTATTTCGATTAATGCTGAGACAAGCTGTATATGATTAAATTTTTGAAATGGAAGATTGAGCAGATGGCTTGTGTATTAACAACAGTGGAACACAAAATCAGTTATATCTTAACACTGGATTTATCTATGTATGTATACAAAACCCAATGAAATCAAAAATCTAGGTTTAACCCAAATTAAAGTGGTCTGGTCATTACGAGGATAAAATCAAAATAATATGAACAGTTCAATGATTATTTAATTAAATTGCACTGTAGGAAAATGATTGATAGATAACTAAAATATCTGAATCACTTGTAATTAAAACATCAACTAAACAATATAATCAAAATATCAATTGAATCATTTCTAATTATGCTTAATTAAAATTATGAGGTAACAAGCTATTAAAAACCTGGATATAAATGTCTTATAAAAAAAAAGATTTTGATAAAAAATGGTGTTGTAATATATGATTGTATACTTCCAATGCACTTATCTGCCAGATGTGTGTTCATAACCCCCATCACACATCGACATTTATTCTCTCATTCTAAATACATGATCATGGGATGCAGTCATTTGTATTTATCAATATAAGAGGGTGTGCATATGACATCAAATTGAGACATTTCGTGTGGTTCATTTACTCTACAGCATCTGTATAATCATAGTCTATCATACTATGCTGTAAATAACTAGACAGAGGCATATACACAAATGAATTCATCTGACCCTGATTGGTGGGATTGGGCGTGAAGGGGAAAGATGATGTTAAATATGTTGAATCTAAGAACGTGGGTGATTTGAGTCCATCGTTTCGAAATATTAGTTCACTTTTGGGTCGTTTTTGAGACTGTTTTTTCTGCAATTTTAACATTGTATGATGAAGGTCAATTATTTCTTCTACTAAAAGACATTGCTGAAGGTACTGGGAAGGATTACCTCCCCCTATTATTTCGGCTGGGGAATTCCAGCGTAGATAACATTGTTTCCATAATTTAATAACTGCAGATGTGTAAGATGGATGTAATACTTCAACATTAACATAAAACAACTGTTTATCATCATCTCTATATAATTCAGTTAGTTTCTTAGCATACAATTTATCTCGAAGCACAAGAGCTGTTTCCTTTCGGGTTCCATTTTTTATTTCCTGTGCTATTTTCAAGTTTTTAATATTGTATAGAGGGTTGTTGAACAATAAGAGGTCATCATCACTGAACTGCATATTCCACTTCCAAACGGACGGTAAATTGACTTGTTTCAATTTTCTGCCTTCTTTAAGAAACTTCTTCTGTTCGTGACAACTATCAAAGAGGAATGTTTTGAAGATACCAAGATGAACACTGTCCCATAATGTGGTTAAGTATGTTTCTGTGAAAGCAAAGCAAGATGGAAATTGTTCCATTAACTGCCAGACACAATCTAAAAACATTAAAAACACCGGAGACTGAAAAAGAAAAATATGACATGTATATAAATTGTATCGTAATTAATTAACAGTATAAAAAGTTAATGCCATATTGTTAAAGATATATTATGAGAGATTAGATAAAGAGCTGGCAGTTCTCACTATAATAGTTAAAAACTAGATAATGTAAACGGAATTTGCTGAAAATTTCAGTCAAATTGATCCACACTGAACCAAGAATTTAGCGATTGAAATTTCAGCCTAGCCCCGATCATCATTACTAAAGATCATCATTACTAAAGTCGGTACAATAAAAAAACATAGTACAAATTATCCATTTCATGATTTAATCATGAATGAAAGTTGAACAGCAAATCAGAATCCTAATCCAGTAAATATCGCAGGCTAGCGATGACATCGAGAGGGGATTATAGTCTGGAAAAGTTAATTAATGTCCAATTAATAATTTAGATAACTTTTCAGGCTTAAAGAAAGACCTGCAATAGGCAGATTTAGCTCTTGCATAATTTATGTTTAACATGTTGTTGGAGGGGGTGTGTTTTGACAAAAGAGACTATTCTTTGTTAATTCATGTTTATTTGAACTTCAATGTTAATAAAAGAGAGAGAGAGAGAGAAATGAGGTTTAACTTCCACTCAACACAAACCAGGTCATTTTGAGACTAACATGGTTCAATTTTATTTCAATAATTCGCTTGAGTGTGGGGGTCTTTAGCAGTGGGAGGAAACACCAGAGCACCCGGAGAAAACCCACGAGGCCAATGTTAATAAAGCGATGGGAGACACAGTGGTTGAGTGAGTAAGGTGCTGACTCACTAATCAGATTCTGGGTTCAAATCTGCCGTTGGCTGAGAAAGTTCCTGGGATTTTCCAGTCGGGGTTTCTGCTGGTCAGTGGTTCAGGACATTGGTGTACACACAAAGAACCCCTGACAATTGAAATGATGTATGCCCAACAGGTGAAGAAAAGTAGGGGATTAAAGCCCATTTCATTTCACTTGATGCAAGTAATGATTTACATTTAACTGGCAGGTGTAAATAGTATAATATATCAATATTATCCAACTATTTTGTCTCTTGAAAGTAGATTATAACATTTTTTCCAAATCCAACAGAAGAGGGTTTAAAATAAAACACTTTGATTTTCAAAAATAATCACTGGAATTTCATGTGATGAAAATGAAGATCACTCTGTGGGCTGATACTGATTATTGACCAAAAATAGACTAGAAACAAAGCTTTCAGCCAATCACATCAACAGTAGTCATTTTCGAGTCATGTGAGCCACTTCTAATGAGCAAAACAATCCTAGCTAGCTGTAAAAATATTGTGATATATAAATATATTAAATCTAGTAAATACCTGCTCTGCTTCTGTTGCAGCAATCAGATTGTGTCGTTTCTGAAAGGGATGACCTAATGCTATCCATTCTCGTTGTATAAGTTGTTGAAAACCTGTTATTGTTCTATAATATGGATCCAGACAAATCTGTACTAGACTACATATAATACAAGATATATCATAACTTTGTTCTTCTGTAAAAATAAAAAAAGAAAGCAATGCAATATCTAAAAAATTATTGAAATACATCTATATACATGTATTACAGAAAACATATGAAATAATTATGATATAAAAGAAACATTTAAATTCTGAGGAAGAAAATTCGAGTCTTAGCAGGTGATTGTCGGAGGCTACAATCTAGAGCTCTGATTTTTCAGGCAATAATAACATATATTTAGGCAGTAATCAGAGATTTCATGGAGCAAAGTACTATTCTCAGTCAATTTTCTGGCAAAAATATTCCAGTCCTACACGAAACTAATGCCAAAATTCTAAAAGTAAAAGGACCTTGGCATCAACAGTTCCTTAGTAGCTGAAAGATGTCTGCCCATGAGATTTCATGTATAAAATTCAATTCTTACTGACCCTTTAAAACTACATCTTTTTTGCCATTTACCATTAATTTCTTGACATCATCTGTTGTCTGTAGACATTTACATATTGACTGTAACCATTGAGTACTGTCTAAATTACTATACCATGATAAATCATTGGTAACAAATTCTTTTATAGATACTGAAAAAATAAAACAGAAAGGTGGTCCTAGGCATTATTTTCCTTACTCTTAAACAAACCAGGAGCCACGATGACTCGGTGAGTAAGGCACTGGTTTGTTAACCAGTTCAGGGTCAGCTGAGAAAGTGCCTTAGGATTTTCCAGCATGGTTTCCCCATGTCGGTGGTGCAGGGTGAAGGGCATGGCAAGGAACAGCATCTAGTCGTTCAGAAGGGACAGAAAAACAAGGTGCTCAGTACACATTGATATGCACGTAAAAAAAAACCTTGACAGAATTTGAAATAGAGTAGGCTCTTGCTCGGCTATCCGGGCAAAATTTCACACTGCATGATGTATGAGTGTCTTCATTAGCCCATTTCATTTCATTTCTTTTTGAATTATAGCTAATAATCAAAATATTAACAGTCTGGGGTTACTCCCGCTTAAATATTAAACAGTTTCTTCAAAGTATTAGATATATTCACCAACACATATATTTTATATCATCTTTTCAAAAATAACATGACACATATCTATATTTTAAGTGTAAAATAAATTTTACCTGTCATGCAGAGTTCTCTTAACTTTTCATAACTTTGTTGAATTTCTTTTATTGTAGGGCAACATTTAGTTAGATCTATAACTTCTGGTTCTATTGAGTTGCCACAAGTCTGTTTTATTGCACTTAACATTCTATAATAAAACAGAATATATCAAAATAATGGCCCACTATTATACTAAGATACATTCGTTTTAAAATTTGGGGATAACCTTCCATGAAGTACCTCCATTCGTATCAGAAGACATACATGATCTTTTTGTATCAATATCAACAATTCAACTTTGTACCATAAAGAGATCTATTTACAGACCTAAATAACACAGGGTTTCCATATTTACTTTCCCTCTTTCATTTTATTTAAATATTTATTATTACCCTATTATTCATAGAAAATAATCCCCAAGCAATCAAACTGACACAATGCTTGTATTAAAGCTTGAAAGTTTAAATCCAGGTTGGCCTTTATCAACTAGTGAAGACATAACTGTTTATACATTCTGTAACTCATCTATTACTTGATGATTACATGTATTTATTACGCTTTATTTTTCATGATTATTTCTGATCACACCAACAGCATTACTATGACCCACTCTTGCTTACACTTACCAGTGATTCTTCCACCCATCTTTTATCAGAGTTTTATTTGTGAAAAGTCTTGGAATTTATTATTATTTTAAGTGGGTCATCCACTACAAATGTTTAATGGACTAAACATTAATTAATTATACACTGGATTAAAAACAATGATAATAATGCAAAAACACTTACTTTACTTCGAATATTTTAAATTCTGATTCTTGTTGTACTTGTGATATTCTTGATAAACTAATACCATCGGGTAAAGAGCAAGACCACACCTAAATATAAAACCAGCGATTACCAGGCAAGATACGTCCACATTTTGTAAGAGATGGATAAAGAACAAGCTAAAAACAAAAGCGATTTTTCATAAAATCAGGGGATATAATCCAGAAAGTTAATGTCTGAAATGCGCAAATATCAAAAGGGACTGAGATCTTTGGGATATAAAGAAATATTTCAAGTTTCATCAAAATTGGATAGAAATTGTGACCTCTAGAGGGTCCACAACCTTCATATTACGTACTTTTACACAATTTGCATACGAAGAGCGGCCATTTTGTCGTGCAGTTTCATTTCGATTTTCCAAAAATACGAATTCAACCTTCATCATGGTGGAATGGTGATATGTTAAAACGGTTTTTAAAATCGGATAAAAAATTGTGACCTCTAGAGGAACCACAAGCTAAAAAACAAGATTTTTTGTACAATTAAGGGCCATAATACAGGGAATATGCACGAATATCAATAGGAACCAAGATCTTTGGGTTATAAACATGTATTTCACGTTTCATCAAAATCAGATCAAAATTGTGACCTATTGAGGGGCCACAACCTCGATAGACCATATTTTACACTATTTGCGTATATAAGAGGGGCGGCCATTTTATCCGGTAGTTTTGGTCTGATTTTCACGAAATTCGAACTCAACCGACAATTCGGTGTGACGGTGATATACTGGAACAAATTTTTAAATAGGATAATAATTTTGACCTCTAGAGAGACCACAAGCTAAAAATGCGATTTTTTGTACAATCAGGGACAATAATTCAGGAAGTTACGATCCGATATGCAGAAAGAGCGAAAGGAACCAAGATCTTTGGGTTATAAACATGCATTTCAAGTTTCATCAAAATCAGATGAAAATTGTGACCTCTAGATAGTCCACATGCTAAAAACGTGATTTTTTTTATACAATCGGGGGCCATATTCCATGAAATTATGGTCCGATACATGTCAATATTGAAAGGAACCAAGATCTTTGGGAGATAGACCTGTATTTCAAGTTTCGTCAAAATTGGTTAAAAATTGTGACCTGTAGAATGTCCAAAAACAAATTGTGGACAGACGGACGGACAGGGGCGATGGCATAATATAATACATCCACATGAAAATGTGGGCGTATAACAATCAATTCTCAGAATATGCTCAAAAAGTTCAATATATTGCTATAGTCACAATTGGCCCACAGACATTTTTGATTCCTTAGTTGTAGTAGGCCTATAATATTATAATCCAGAAAGTCAGATGCCCTTCACCGCATGTACTGATAGATTTATAAATCTTAATTTAACTTAGGTCTGCACAATGCAGGTATAACTACACACATGTAATACCAAGAGCTTTGGCCCTGTTAAAGTTACAATTTCATATTTTCTTTAGTCAAAACATAATTATTTCTATGTCTTTTGCTCAGTAGATTGTCAACTCACTATTATACAATCATAGGTTATCTTTCTCACACTTAAAAATCTTCACACCGGAAATAATAACACAATTACCTCCCTTGTTTTCCTATTCCCCACCATGGAATACATGTAGCTATCTTCAAATGTTTGAATTTGAAGTTGAAAATGATATTTTTGCCAATTTCTCAACTGGCAATAGTGAATTATAGGATTAATAGGATTATTCTTTAACAAGGTAGGACAGTTTATAGATACCATCTATTTTAGGGTTTTATTTTAATACATTTTAAAAATATAACTTAAAAATATGAAATTGTAACTTTAATGATGTTGTAGAAATTGTGCTTTAAATGGATAGTGTGTTTTACATTGCAATCTGACAATCCCTGTATTATCCTGCTTGTCTTTTCAGATAATTCCACATTATTTGATATTAATTATAAGAAATGCATGTTTTATAAATGTATATTTACCAGTAAGCGTCCACTAGGAAACTGACCAGCTGCTTGTAATAGATCACTATTTAATAACTGTCCTGGTACAACAAAATACTCTGGTAAACTAAAACACAGAAAATACAACTATCAAAGTTAAACTGACATGTAGGCCAAAAATAAACTTATTCTATATGTCAATCATTTGAAATGTTGAGTGGGGAGGAGGACACTCAACACAAACTGAGTCATTTCAGGACTAACATAATTATATATTTATTTCAGTAAATCACTTGAGTGCAGGTGTCTTAGCAATGTAGGGGAACCAGAGATCCCCTTAGGCTAGACAGTTGCCAATATTTTCTTGTCTGAAGTCCATGCATTAGACCACTCGCTATACCTGTTAAAGCTGTTTGATACTGATATGCTTAATTAGATATGGTGACATGCAATTTAATATTTGATCCACCAATAGCTACATGTATACCTAACCTGACCTCGAATTGTTTGTTACATGTGCAATACAGCTAATATCAGTAATCAATTCTACCTTGTACTTAGATTATAATTTTTATTAACATCAGTGACTCTCCATCCTTTACAGCTCTGTCGAATCATTTCATTTTCCCAGTCTTTGTAACAATTATATTCTGGAAATGTATCTTCACTACCACCTTTTATAATAAAATAAAGAATATATGTATAATTTAATTACATTTACCAGATCTGACTATGTTCCATTTATTCTTGCATAAAATAAGTTTGTTTTTTTCCTTTAAAAATGTTAATTGTCTTTAAAGATACCTTTCCGCGTACATACTGATTGAATTAATGATATATTTGGACTAAAAACATATTCAATCTAATCAATCGATCAAAAATTTGCTTCAAATTCCTCCCAAAACCTTGTATTCATGAGGAAATACCCCTAGCTATAAAAAATTTATTAAAAGAAGTCATGTTTGTGTCACGTAACTTGGCTGTTGCAGTACCAAGTAACAGTTGCAAAAGCCGGAGGAGAATTCATTGCATATAATAAAAGACAATGTTGTCTTTAAAGCGCTGTCCATTTATTATAAATATCAAAGTCTAAGTAAATTCTCTGATTATCCCCTGCCAACGTCTTTTTCTGTGGTTTTTATCTCAAAAACTGTTGTACATTTAAGTCTCTCACTTTTTCTGCGTCCGCTCACCATCAAGTTCATCAACACATACGGCAACAGCTCAGACAATCTTCACGTTCAACCTCTGAGGTCACTTGAGCCAACGGCCCTTAATCGTTAGGCTGCCAGTTAGTGACACCTTCTCATTTTTTGTCCTGTGCGTACTCCACAGGTATTTTTCAAGGAATTCAGTATTCTTCTAGTAAGATTGGGTGTCTCTACTTTCCATATATACCAAAATTGCCATACTTTTATTGAAAATAACCACCCAATAAATATTTTTGTGGGAAAGTATCTTTAAGGTAATTAATAGCAAACAGAGAAAAATAAAAAAAAATAAAAAGTTTAAAAAAAAAAAAAAATAAAATACCTTCACCAACCCACCTTCCCAATGTAATTCAATGTCAAGTTAAAATGATCAGAACCTGGATTGATTTGAATAGAGTTTGAATTAACATGTTTTTTAACATGTACTCTATATGGACAATATTTAACTTTTATTCTTGTATGCTGTCCATAATAAAGTTTTAGTAGTAACTTCTACAAAACTATATTTCAAGTATGTATAATAATCTGGCTATTTATCAAGTTATGTTGTATAGTATGTATTCACCCTTAAATAGTCATATTGTATAGTCATCATGAACAGATATAGTAGTAGGAAGGAAATACCTTTATTTCCTGGTCTATTCAATTTATTACTCACCTAACACAGTATTATCATAATAATAACCACATGTATTATTCAATTTATTACTCACCAAACATAGTATTATCATAATAACCACGTATTATAAAAAAATACAGTGTAATAATAATTATAGATTTAATCTACATGTTCATTAAAATGACAACCACTTATTAAACATGAATAAATGTCAATAGATGTGCCGATAAATTCCTCTATTCCCACTAACTACTTGTTTTGTGATGCAAACAGACTACAAACAGATTACCGAGTTTTTCAAGTGTATTATATACTGTAACTGACCTTGTTCTTGAAAGCAATCTCCAAAGTCATAGGCGAATAGTAAGTCTGCTCGAGTAGGAAATGTGTGATGTACAATAGCATTCACTATCTACAAAATATAATTTCATATACACATGTACCACAAAATATTTCTCGGCGTCAGAGGAGGGCTGGCTGAAAATTTCTAGGCCTGAAAAGGATAGATCAGTTGGGTTGAAACAAACTTTTGCCACCAACAAATACAATCATTGAATGAATCATAGACATAAGAACTGGAACTGTAGTGTTATTCTTGTGAACCTACCCATTTAAATCAGCAGAAATGGACAAAACTGGCTACAATGCAGTCATAAGTACCTGCAACTGAAAGGACTAACCCTAACACAGATACATGCCGACATGGTGACCATGGTCTCCAATTTAGGGGATGATACCCCTTCCTGACTGACATCCAGGCCTTGCAACACTGTTGGCCAAAGTGTGTACACCTCGAAGGGGACTATGTAGAAATATAAATGGAAAGCATTGAATATGTACAGGTCTTTCACATATAAGCTTACATGTAGAACTTTTCAGCCAGTCCTCGTATGAGTTTGAAAATGGGGTGTAACATCCACACAACATAAACTATGTCATTTCGAAATAAACACATGTTACAATTTTATTCTAATAATTGGCTTGTGCGTAAGGGTCTTTGGTAGTGGGAGCAAAGTGCAGTACCCAGAGAAAACCCACAAGGTCAGACAGGCAAGCCTATTCCTTGTCACGTACAAATATGCGATCAAAACCATGCCACCTGATTCAATGACAGACCTTATGATCTAATGTGTATGTTATTTTACCATTTGTTACTGAATTATTTCCTTTAAATTATAATGACATTAATGGTATAGTTATATCAGATAATTGTCAATATTTTGGATCAAACAGATTTTATTGTGAACATAAAACTCTTAGCCAACTTGGTCACATGCCTAGCTTCCTTCTTGATTTCTTTACATGTAACAAATTTTCTTATACATGTACTTATTGACAACAATTTTCTTATTCTTAAAATCATTGTCAATATTACCAAAACATTGGCAATAATGTTCTACTTACTGCTTTTCCTTCTTCTTTATTTGTAAATTTAAATCCAAAAGTGTGAATCTGAAAATCCTGAAATACATTGTATAATGATGAAATCATATTTTGTGTATTAACCAAAGTTTCCATTATTAAAACAGGAACTAATTTTTTTTATTTCCTTTGGTTTATATTATAGTTATAAGAGTTTTTGTTTACCTTACAATAAAGTTCTAGATATTTTGTCTGACCAGATACAATATTCCCAGATGTCATTTTTTTCTTTTTAGAACCAGACATACCTTTTTAAAGATATAAATAAACAAATTACAATAATGTTCATCTGGATAATTCTCTTAATGATGCATTATGTAAGAGCTAAATCTGCTTATTGCAGGACTTTTTCTGGCTTCAAATGTTATGTAAATTATTATTTCGACATTTATTCACATGCCAGACCCAAAATCAACCCTCTAAACCATCGAGTGGCTGAGATACATGTATTAAGTGGATTAGAAAATGTTGAGACGTTTATTATTGTAGCAATGGTACTTGACAATCAAGATTATTTACACAGTTTCATGTCAAAGCTTCATATAATATGTACTTTCATAACTTTGCTCAGAATAAAGTAATTTGACTGAAATTTTTAATATATTCATTTCTCATTACCTCTATTTGAACTATTACAGTGAGCAACCGAGAGCTGTTAGCTCTTCATCTAAATCTTACATAATGCATCTTTAATCCATGATAAAAAAATATCCAAACTTCTTTATATTGTCATTGTTATGTAACCTGTGACACTGACACACATAAGAATAGGAGTTTTTAGATTACTGTGACTAAAATATGTCACAATGGGTGTGTAGCTTGTTAAGTGAGGATGGTCATAAAGACAACCTATCATGTTAACTCATCTAATTACAGAAGTTTCTCTATTGTCATGCCTTACAGGGATCTTAGAGATGAGTGTTTGACATCATTGCTAAACATTTTCATAACTTTACAATTAGTTTCAATGTATATGATAAAAGTTCAATAAAAAACATCATTTATTAATGAATTGATCAATTTGTTTGTAATTTTTTCCAGAATACAGATATCTGAAAATATTTCCCATTCTTGCAGTCTAAAATGTTGCTTATTTTATAATTCATGTAAAACAGCCTTATTATAATTCTAGTGATACCGCAGTACAGATTGGTTTACCATATATATAAGACACCATGATGTACTTACACTGATAGATATTACTGATATTAGTTAGAGGTATATCATGTTCATCTATTAACTTATTTCTTTGACGTTTTATTGCTGATTTAGAAGGCTAAAAATAAAAATAAATTAATTAATCATACAACTATACATAGATCAATCATTTCATGTCAAAAATGAAATAAACATACTGATCTAATACATGTGTTATTATGTTAATATATTTCTCATTTTTACCCATTTTAATATTTAAAGCTGCAACATGCAAGAATAAAGGTTAAATATAAAGTTCAAGGTCATACACAATCAAAAGTACTTTTATTTAAAATCATATTGGTCGAAAAATTACTAATTTGATCAACTCCAACTGTACTGTATGATCATTTTAAGTTTACATTGTTTTTTTACTGATTTTAAACTGCCATCTTTATATCTCTTAGTGAAATATAGCAATAATAACTGTGCCATATTCGTTGTATAAACCCAACCCATTCTACACGATAGTCTTTAACATAATAACAACAGTCTTTATGAAAAATACACGAATGATGTCGCTTATTGGGCTTTGTGTATTCCTATACTGTCTTTTCTCTGAGCGGTTCTGAGCAGTTATCATGCATTGTCTATATATTCATACACCTGATTTAATAGTGTACTGTGGACTTGTTTCAAGAGACAGAGGTTTGGAAAAAGTAGCACTAACTTGTCACAACTATAAATATATTTATATGTTTTCATATGTAAATGAAGATTCTGCACCACATTGTTATAATCAAACATCTATATCTTACCACTTCCTCATAAGATGATTTATCGGCGGTCACAAAAGAAACTTTAAAATTAGTCACAAAAAGATGGCCGGAGGTTCCTTGTTTTTTATTCATAAAAGGGTCAAATTTCAAAACAGATTTAGCAAAGCTAATTATCTTCTCTCCTGAAATATAAACAGAACTTTATTATATATTGCATAATCATGTAAAGCATATTTAATGAAAGAAATAAGATGTATTTTACATGCTACATGTATGTAGACCAGGGCTGTATGTAGGATTTTAAAAGTGGGGGTGCAGCAGAGTGGTGGGGCGCCATAGCCTCCACGTATATGATATAAGAAAGTTTCGATCAGGGTAAACAAACCCATTGGCGTGTGGGTGTCCTTAAGAGCATCACTGTGAGATCATAATCAAGCGTATTAATTTATAATTGAAAGATTGTCAAATAATTTTTGTTTTTTTGGATGGGGTGGGGGGCGCAATTTCTCTGGGTGCCTTATTTTTCTGGGGGTGCAATGTACCATCTTGCACCCCCGCTAAATACGGCCCTGATGTAGACACTGGACATTATAAATGCATTATCCATTTCAAATTATTGATTTACATACATGTGTATTGAAAGCCAAAGATCTTACAACTGATTAAATATTAATTAAACTAGCAATGTGACAGAAGGTCAACAAAAAATGTCAATATTATTTACTTTAAATTTAAACAAATCTAAATACTGAAAGGTATAACTAAATATTAAAAAGAAAACTGTTGCTTAGATACACTGTAATGTCATGGCTTAAATATTGTAAGATATAAACAAATAAAATGTTGACAGTCACATAAACGATGGTGATGTGAAATAAATAGAAACTTTTGCAAATATTAAATACATGTAACCATCAATTGATCGGTTTAAACAACTTTAAACCAATACAAGTCAACATTTGAGTAAGAAGGGTTGGCTACTTTTGGTTTGGATCTAAATTATTTTTGAATATTGTACCTGTACCTTTAAGTTTTGTCAAGATCTTTCATTATGTATGAATGCTATCTTTATAGTTTTCAAAGACTGTATATAGGACTGTTGTAACAAATACTATAAGGACTGTTGTAAAACACGTATTTGCCATGCAAGATACACCCACATTTTGCAAGAGATCAGAGAACAAGCTAAAAGAGCAATTTTTTTAACAATCAGGGGCCATAATCCAGGTTGTTACAGTCCGACAACAGACAACATTAAAAGGATCCAAGATCTTTGGGATATAAAAACATATATTAAGTTTCATCAAAACCGGAAAAAAAGTTGTGACTTCTACAGGGACCACAAGCTAAAATTGTGATTTTTTTAACAATCAGGGGCCATAATCCAGGAAGTTAATTTCAGATATGCGTGAATAACGAAAGGAACTGTGATCTTTGGGATATAAACATACATTTTAAGTTTCAGCAAAACTGGATCAAAACTGTGACCTCTAGAAGGGTCCACAACATTGATATTCCATACGTTTACACTATTTGTGTACAGGGAGCGGCCATTTTGTCAGGCAGTTTTGACTTGATTTTCATGAAATTCAAACTCAAGCGTTATTAGGCTGTAACTGGGATAAATTCAAATGGGTTTTTTTTTAAATTGGATAAAAATTGTGACTCTAAGCTAGCCAGCGGCTGCCAGGCAAGATACGCCCACATTTTGCAAGAGATGGATAGGGAACAAGCGAAACAAAAAGTGATTTTTCGTACAATCAAGGGCCATAATTCAGGAAGTTACCATTTGATATCGACAGGAACCAAGATCATTGTGTTATAAAAATATATTTAAAGTTTCATTAAAATCGGATCAAAATTGTGACTTCTGGAGGATCCACAACCTTGACATACCATATATTTACACTATTTACGTATGAGGGGTGGTCACTTTGTCCGGCAGTTTTGGGCCCATTTGCTCAAAATTTGAACTCAGCCATCATTAGGGTGTAACAGTGACATATTCAAACGTTTTTTTCAATGGGATAAAAATTGTGACCTGTAGAGGGACCACGAGCTAAAAATGTGATTTTTCGTACAATTAAGGGCTATAATTCAGGAAGTTACAATCTGAATATCAAAAGGAACCAAGATCTTTGGGTTATAAAGATGTATTTCAAGTTTCATCAAAATTGGATCAAAATTGTGGCCTCTAGAGGGTCCACAACCTTGATATACCATATATTTATACTATTTGCATACGAGGGGCAGTTTTGGTCTGATTTTCACGAAATTCGAACTCAACCATCATCAGGGTGTAACGATGATATATTGAAATGTTTTTGTAAATCAGATAAAAATTGTGACCTCTAGAAGAACCACAAGCTAAAATCACGATTTTTTGTACAATCAGGGGCCATAATTCAGTAAGTTATGATCAGATATGCGTATATATGGATAGAACCAAGATCTTACAGTTAAAAACATACATTTCAAGTTTCATCAAAATCGGAAGAAAATTGTGACCTCTAGGGTGTCCACAAGCTAAAAACGTGATTTTTCGTACAATCCATGAAGTTATGGTCCGATACCCAATGTCGAAAGTAACCGAGATCTTTGGGGGATTAGACATAGATTTTAAGTTTCATCAAAATAGAATAAAAATTGTGAACTGTAGAGTGTCCACAAACAAATTGTGGATGGATGGACAGGGGTGAGGACAATATACATGTACGTTCACACAAAAATGTGGACGTATAAAAATACAATTTTTCGTACAATCAAAGGTCTTAAAATACAGATGTGACGTCACCCTTTGATGTTGGCGTACCATTATTTCAAATAATCGTACGGGCAACTTGCCAATCGTACCTTGTCAAATATTAGACTCGAGTGACGTATTTCACTGTAAACGCACGTGCGGAGTGTCTGTATTTTAAGATGTTTAATGGTCTCGAGCTGAGACATTGCGTAATATATTGTAAAAACACTCGGACCTGACGGTCCTCCTGTTGTTACAATATATTACTTAATGTCTCGCTCTCGACCATTAAACAATACATAATCCAGGAAGTTACGGTCCGATATGCACGAATATCGAAAGGAACTGAGATCTTTTTGTTATCAACATACATTTCAAGTTTCATCAAAATCAGATAAAAATGTGATTTTTTGTACAATCAGGGGCATAATCCATGAAGTTACGATCCAATACATGCCAATATCAAAATGAACTGAGGTCTTTGGGAGATAAACCTATATTTCAATTTTCATCAAAATCAGATTAAAATTGTAACCTGTAGAGGATCCACAAACAAATGTGAACAGACACACGGACGGACAGGGCCAAAGACAATATACATGTCATGTACGTGCACATGAAACTGTGGTGTTATATAAAAATACTGTAAATCGTTAACAAACCTGGTAACAAATTAGGTTCTAACTCCTTATCAAAAAACTTGGATGCATTTTGTTCAACTTCTTCCTACAAAATAAATAGTCTTTACACATTAAATATATTATATTCAATTTGTATTTCAATGTAACAGTACACATTTAAAACCAACTGGTTGATTAATATGATTTAATATCAATAGAGGTTGGGGGAGTAAAATCATTGAATATTTCGGAGCAAAATAGAAATACAGTACATAATTATATGCGTAAGGATGTGCAAACAAGCTATCAAATTTGATCTAATCTTTGAAAGTGATTCACTATCATTTTTCTAAATGTGCATGTATGTGTTATGAATTTAGTATTCCCAAAACCACACAGAGACTATTTTCATTCTCTTCTGATTTTCATCACACTATCATGTATTGGAGTGTACAAGACTTTTTAGATTTATCAGAGTGTAGCATATTATTAACATGCATATCTTATTAGTTGGCAAATTTCATATCTGCATAATAAACCATAATTATAAATCATTACACTGTGTTAGAAAATCTGAATACAAACAAATTATGACCAAGAAATATCTATGTACATGTACATGTAGAACATAATATGTCTACCCCTATTAACAAATTACTAGGAAATTCCTATCTTTAAATAAAGCTGAAACAATATGGAATCGTTTAAATTTCAAAATGTTTACCAAAAAACTAATTACTACAAACAACAAAGTACTACTGTATTTGTGAAATTCTATTTGCAGCAAATTATTGGACTGTGGCCAAGATTGTTTTCACATTGACAGGAATCAATAGTTTCCATAAGTCCTCTTTAACCAAGGAATCTTGCCTAGATTTAATGAAACTAATGGAAGTACATCTAGTAAATTTGAGATGATAGAAAGATAGTGAAGGTTGTATATGTCATAACAATATGTTATTTCCTGTTATTATACTACTTATTCACCACATGCTATACCGCATTGTTCATATCATACACCTACATGACCGTTTGATAAATATAACTCATATTTAGATTATACACAACAACCATTAAAGCAACTTTTTCATTAAACAAGTAAAATAGTGTTATTAAGTCATTTAATGGGTCATGTAAAAATATACTATATTATAATTAATATGTATACCGTACTGTATACTGAATAAACTCCCACATAAATATTATGACTTACATGTAATCAACACTAAAAAAAACACTCAACATTCATACTGATTATTTGACATTTACTTAAGAAAACAAAACTAAAATTTCAAAGGTACATGTAGATAATCTTCCGACTTGGATTCAATGTTAATTCAGGGTGGAAAAAATACCATAGAAATGATTCGAGAATTAATCATTTCTAAAGGTTTGAGATTTGTAGCATATTTCCTTATAGCGAAACCACAAATTAGTACAAGAAAGAACACTTTAAAAGTATGACATTAAATCCCATTTAAAAAAGCATTAAAGATTTAGATAAAGAGCTGGCCGTTCTTGGCAATCTTGATATAACAATTCATTTCTTATTTTAGCATAGGTACTTGACAATCGAGACTTGAGCCTGGATTCTCCATATTTATATTAAATTATTAAATGGTGATGGTGTTGCAGTCAATTCAAAATCACAACTATCCAATGGTATAGCGAGTTCCTTATGCGCTTTCAAAATACAGATGTCATTCTTTGATGTTGGCCTACCATTATTTCAAATAATGGTACTGACAATGTGCCAAGCATACATTATTTATACTACAAATATGTGCTGGATAGTGTCTGTATTTTAAGCTGGTGTCCTGCAAGACTATAATATATAGATATAGCCCTCGGGCTATCATCCTCGTGCAATATTAATATATTACTTAATGTTTTGCCCTCGACCATTAACCACACGCAATGTGAATAAATGTCTAAATAATAGTTTATATAACATTTGAAGTCAAAATAAAGACCGACAATAGGCAGATTCAGCTCTTACATACATGTAATGCAAATTTAAGATACATTGGTTAAGAGTTTAATAAAGAGTTGGCCATTCTTGCTATAATAATTCAAAAATCGATGATAAAAAAAGAAATTATTGAAAATTTCAGTCAAAATTACTTTATTCTGAACGGAGTTGTCACTGTTGGAAGTTTGGACGGCCATTTCTTGATTTAATTTTAAATGGAGTTGATTTTGAGTTTGTCATGTAAATACAGGTCTAATTAATAATTTCTATAACATCTTAAGCCTAAATAAAGTCTTGCAATAGTATGTTTAATTTCATAATGACCAATACACAATTGTATACATTTACCATACCTCATGTATACATTGAATCAATAAGTATTATACATGTAAAAGCAACATTTACTAACATAATTCAACAGGCCAAAAGTGAGACTGATGTCCCCCGCCAAATTGAAAAAGTAATAAGATGACACATCTCCCAAACATTGACACAAAAAATTCATTGTTGAACTTAGTCAAGGTATTGATGTAATGAAACTATAGGAGATGTGCATTATCTAACTTACTTTTGTTACCCTGTCATGATATTGATGTAATGATATACGCCAAGTTTCACCATTCTCACTCAATTAAGATCAAAGTTGTCAAGCTTCAAAGTCTCGACCAATCAACTGCTCATCATCGAACTCAGACAAGGTATTCGAACTTAGTCTTGTCAATAATATACACTAAGTTTCACCTTTCTCACCCAATTAGAATCAAAGTTGTCGCCCTCCAAAGTCTTGACCAATCAAATTGCTCATCATCGAAGTTATTCATGGTATTGATGTAATGAAACTGTACTCTGGGTTTGATGTAATGAAACTATACACCAAATTTCACCACTTTCACTCAATTTGGATCAAAGTTATCATGTCCCAAACATCGATGCAGAAAATGTTCATTATTGAACTCAGTCATGGTACTGATGTAATGAAACTACAGGAAATGTAGTATAGGAAATGTGCGTTATGGAACTTATAAGTCAAGGTATTGATGTAATGATATACACCAAGTTTCACCATTCTTACTTAAATAGAATCAAAGTTGTCAAGCTCCAAAGTCTTGACCAATCAAATTGCTTATCACTCTGCTTAACCTGATCCGAAAATGCTCATTATAGAACTTAAACCCTGTTTACATTACAAATTTTATGCGTGCCAGGCACGGTACCAGGTACGGCACAGTGTAAACGGGTCAAACATAAGCGGGTCAAACATAAGCGTGCCTTACTGAGTACCGTGCCAATTTGGCCCACTGAAGTGAGGTGGTCTTGGCACGGTGCCTGGCACGACACAGTTAACTTTTCGTAGTGTAAACACTTTTCAGTCTGAGAACGGTTCTCAGTACGGATTACTGTGTAAGCGCCAAATGAACTTTGACCTTTTTTCCCCGCGGACTTTGACAGTTCTTTCATCAGTTCTGTCAAATTGGCTGCCCAAACTAAATCAGAGAGAGAGAAATGGGGTGTAACATCCACTAGGTCAAGCGCCATCATTGTTTTCATTCGGGTAATATGCATAGGGACTGAAATTAATTTTTCTGCGAAGAGTTCCACATTTGGAGTGCCTTGCACGCATTCCAAAACTGGTTATTTCAGAGTAATGTAAACAGATCAATTTCTTGAAATTTATCGTGGCCTGGTACCGTGCTGAGAACGGCACACTTATTGCGGCCAAGTGTAAATGGGACTTTAGTCAAGGTATGGATAAATGAAACTATACACCAAGTTTCATCACTCTGACTTAATTAGCCAATTTTATCTTGCCCAAAGCATCAACCAATCAAACTGCGTCACTCTGCTTAGGCTCATCACCGAACTCAGTCAAGGCATTCACCGAATAAACACCTATCCCAAGTTAGAAGCAGAGTTATTGTGCCCCAAAAAAGTGTGACAGACATACAGACCCATTTTAATAGTCTCCTGCTTTCTTCGAAAGGTGGTGGACAATAAACATAAGCAATAGATGACCTTTCAAAGAAAAAAAACATTCTAAAATTCATTGGTCCCAGATGTTAGTTCAATATCTAACTTGTTGAAATACATCAATTGTTGACTCAATTCAATACATAGGAATGGAGTGAGTCTTCTATGTATGTATGTCTTGACAACACATTATTTTGGTCATTTTGAAATAAAATATATCTAAGCTTTGTAATATTATGTTAAGAGTAATCAGTTCCAGTATATTACATGTATTTATCTATACATACATGTACATGTATGTTATTGTTTATTATATTTAAAAATATTTCAGTTTGTGCTTACACCGCAAATTAGTTTGTGAATAATCAGTTTAACTGGATAAAGATATTTTGGAAGGTTGTAAAAAATACAACAACAGAAATTATAAGCTTATAGAAACAGGACAATGTCAATTGTCAATCAAAATCAAGTCTTGTATTGGCTTTTTTCAACTACTGAAATCAGTGAGACAATTATATAAGAAATAATTGTCATCGACAAATGTAAGTAGACAGTGTGCCATTGATTTCCCAAATTTTTGGAGACGTAAACAAAGAGCATTTTATGATGGGCACTTGATCAAACACAAATCAAATATGGTGCAGGTACATGTAATAATGACACAGCTAAAAAGTTCTTATTATTAGTAGTAGCAGTTTTAATTTCTACAAAACAATTTATCATTTAATATGTTGCTTTTAGTTGTCTTGTTCATTACATTAGATCTTATACTTATAACTTATAGTTTGATTTCAGTATCTAATGAATGCACCTTTTCATTTTCGCTTCATTTATGTGCATTAATTACTTACATTAAATAGTAATTATCATTTATTAATATGTACATTTATGTAATGAATACACATCGTATAATTTTAATTAAATAATGTCTACAACTGATTTATTTTGGTTGTGACTTTTTGTCCTATCTTTCCAATTGTGGGCTATTTTTACTGTGCCATTATTGCCTAAATTCATCAAATATACCAGACAAAAATATCATATTATACAATTTACTGACAATTTATGAGTACACACTACATGTATATTTTAAAAGCATGGCAGATAAATTCACAAACTAGTAACTCGGAGAAGCAAAGATGCACAATACAGTACATGTAAAGCAAGACACAGAAACAATCATGTATCTATGACACAAACAGTCGACATCTGTGGTTCAAAGCCACTGAAAATGAAATATAAGCTTAATGGTAAACAATCAAATTAAAACAAAATGTTATTTCATTTTATGTATTTGGTTTATCACTTCATTAACATCTAAAGGCATGAGATAATAAATTAGACATACATGTATCTCAGTATTCTAAAAATTGGACAACAGTCCCTTGAACAAGTGGCAAGAAAATTCCATTTTCTAATAAAAAAAAACCCATAAAAACATACATACATGTACACACACAGAGACAGGGGGGACGGCATACTGTATGTCAAAATCATGAATGTGCACCTAAAAAAAAGTGCACATTTTGAATCATCTCTTTAGATTAATTTGTTGACATACTTGTGAACATGTAAATGGACAATCCTGGGATCTTAATCAGCTGTTTTTGTCGGCTTTAGCCGCTTGAAGTTTAATCTAGCCGATTAGTAAAACAATGAACCGGCCACTATGGTATCATAAATCAATCTACTTTCGGCTAAATTACAACGGTTTAATTATTACTTGTTAATTAAGTAGTCAATCAACTTGCTTGTCGGCTACAATAACAGTCATACCTTAGTGAGAATCAGCTGATTATTCATAACAGATCCAGGAAGTTGCCTTTGAGGAAATAAGCCATGTGACAATCGAAGGAAGACAATCTCGGCATGGATTGTGCACCTATCGCACACCTTCAACGCTCCGTACGAATTCCAGATGTACCGGTAGATATTAAAATAATAATTATATCACAATTTAATGGTTTCACTGACAAGTTGAATACAATCCTCGGATAGAACACTGAATACACCGAGAAACCGGCATTAATAATATATTATGAATCTCCAATGCCGATGACACGTGACATCGGTTGGAATGCTAGTTTTAGTTTTAAATAGCGTTTACCATTATGAATTTTATTTTATACACATGCTGACAGGGGCTTAATTCTTAAAATGTTGTTTTGTGGTAATTATGTAGTAGAATACGATATTTCTCATAAAAAATTACCAAGAATTATTTTTGTTGAAGTCTGGTTATAAATAAAGAGAATGGAAGCTTAAAATTTTAAAACCCAGTTCCTATCGGAACCTCATTTGACCCAATTCTGGCCAGTTCGTTTCAAAATGGATTAAGAACCCTGGGACAATCACTAATAAGAAAAAGTACCCCCTAATACCTTTGGCAAAGAAAGTCTAAGATTGCTACTCAAAAATAGAAGTTTGTCAATTGATGCTCAATTGTCAAAGGAACAAGAATGCCAAGTTTCATGTTGATCGTACCTGTACTGGCAGAGCCTTAAGCTATTTTTAAAGAACGTCACTCCCAAGATGAGTAGCACTTGGGATCCAGTTCCTGGTCCATAAAGACCAAAAAAAAAAACAAGACTAACAACACATTTAATATCCTGTCTATAGCAGAAATGATTATGTTGAGTTAGAAGTGAACAGTATGTTATTATTCTAAGTTAAGAGAAACTGTATTAGCAGAATATATAATTTAGTTAGAAGTAAGGCATCATTACATACATGCACAGGAGGAGACAAGAGCTAGTCTACACTCAGCCATATACTTACATTACTGACACTGTCTTCATCTATCAAAGTCTCCTCGGACTTGTCAACATATGACTGAAATGTCTGGAATCCCAAATTAACCCAATAAGATTATTATTTTTTTTTTAATAACCATTCAATTCTTATACCCATTAACAGGTATAAAATCAATGCTTGATTGAATAAAATTATCATCAGTTATAAATATCTTAATTTTTGAAACCAACTGAGCCAATCCAAAATGCATGAGGAATTGAAAATAGTGAGTTAAGATTTTTGTTTCAACATAAATATTTTTCTTCAACAAAACAATTTGTCATCTGAGAATAAAGTACAGCTTAAATAAATAGAAGTCATCAGCATTAAAGTAGTGGGAAAGATTAAAGGAGAGTATTCCTTGCTTTTTTAGTATTTTGGTTTTGCTTATAGACAGTGTTGACCCCACTGAGAATTTGAATATTTCTTCAAAATTATCTGTTCAAAATTATCTGTACATGTACATGAGCATGTGTAAAGAGTATATTATGTGGAATTTCTAAAACAAATTTTCTAGAACATTTGACTACATTTTAGGGGACATTTCGTCAGATGTACTTGCCAAGATGTTAACAAATTTAACAAAAAAATTAAATCTTATTAACTGTGAATAATAACACATTCAAAATAACCTTAGTTAAACTCCCCTACAGGTACATGTACATTACATGTAATTACTGACAATCTTAAACACTTGAGATAACTTAAAATACTTCCAGTACATGTATGTGCTAGATTGATATGTTTTATTGCCAAAGTAATATATTGCAATTGAACACTTGAGATAACTTAAAATACTTGCAGTGTGTGTTATTTGATTAATATGTTTTATTGCCAAAGTAATATTGCAAATGAATGCATTATTGTCTATTTTTTAATTGAGAATGGAATTAAAACTGATAAGCTTATTCATAATTACAGGTACCATTACTACCTATGGCGGTATATTAGATTCAAAATTCTAACGTACTATCGTCTAATTTCGAACTTCTGTTTATGTAATTTTTAACTTCTATTCGTGTAGCCTAATTTCTAACTTCTATTCATGTAATTTTTAAATTAAAAGTACATTATGTAAGATTTAGATAAAGGGCTAGCCATTTGCTACATAGTTCGAAAATAGATCATATAAAATGAATAATTTGAAAATTTCATTCAAATTACTCTATTGCAAGCGAAGAAATTGATAGCCTTTGAAGATTTGACAAGACGTGTGCAATAATTTCAACCACCGTACTGGTTGTTCAAAGCTAAGTCCCGCTCCTCTATTTTTAGATTAATTTAAATCAAAATATGTCTGAACCGTTCTAATCTATTTAATATCGGAGAAATCCTATGCCATCATCAATGAAGAAGACATTTTTCGCCTAAATAATAGAAATAAGATGAAATAGAATTAAAATTTACACTAAACAAATTAACAATTAAAGAAGTTGGATTATGCATTGTCTTAATTTTAAAAAATTACATGAATAGAAGTTATAAATTACTTGAATAAAACGAACAGAAGTTAAAAATTATGTGATCAATTATCAAAGTTACAAATTAGACAATAGCACGTTAGAATTTTGAATCTAATATATACCGCCATAAATACCAACCTCAGTAAATAATACTTTTGTAACTGAGAGAGAGAGAGAGAGAGAGAGAGAGAGAGAATGGGGTTTAACGTCCACCTGTCCACCTATCGTAGGTCATAGCACACATACATACAGATATGATAGAAAGGGGTGGGGCTCAAATTTTAATTTCTTCTCCGGGAATTTAGGGTGCAAAATCATTATTTAAGTCCATGCCAATTCATAAATCTCTTTTGCACGTTCTTTAAAATGTACATCCTGTTCTAAAAACTAGCAGGCATCTTTTCAGTGATAACACAACTTTGGATGCCAAAAAAGGACTAACAAAACAACATTCAATCCGCGGAGTTCGGGGCGAAACTGTAAGGCGAGAAAATAGCTTCATTAATGAATGTTTATTATACATACTCGAACACGTATAATTTATCATAAAATTGTTTATAATTTACTCACCGCCTTGCCCTTTTCTTTCATCTCCACGTCAGAGCGGTATAAATAGGATTTGAACCGCCTGGACATTGTCAGTCAGTAACTTAATTCCATTAATTTAACCACAAATATCTCCAACATTCGACATTTCGTCAATAATATCCAGCCGAGATTACAAAGGGGAAATAACTCACAAACATTCGACTTCGTTAACCAGACGGGTGTGTGCGCAGGAACAAGTCGGCAAACTTCGGTTTTTGGTACCTTACATCGTAGAATATGCCGCGGTTTGCCGAATGGGGTAGGAACAATCGAGTTATGTGGGAGAAAGCAGGTTAGATCTAAATATCAAGGCCACCTGCAGATTTTGTCAAGGCCATGAGATGTAAACAGGGCTTGCGCTAACCCTAGAAGACCTAGCCCTAACCCACAATCCTCGGCAACATTCACGTGCCCTAGCCCCTAACCCTGTTTACATCTCGTGACCTTGACGAAATCTGCAGGTTGCCTTAATATTTAGATCTGACCGGAAAAAAGCATAGGTAGATCATAGAGTTATGTTTCTATATCGGGTTAGATTAGATCTGTGTGATAAGGTCAACTTCAAGTTTGGTCAAAGGTCATGAGATGTAAACAGGGCTAAAGCTAATCCCAAGCCTAATCCCGGTCCTAGCTCTAACGCTTACCCTAACCCTAACCTACAATATCGCCAACAATCACGTGGCGCTAGGCGAATAGGTTGCCAATCTGTGTTCGGTTTAAGCAACCTTGAGTTGGCCTTAACAAATAGATCTAGCTATAGGAAAAGGGGCGGACAGAGAACACGTGACATGTCTGGCCGATTTAACAATAACAAAAGCACGTGACGGTTATGTCATGAATGTAATAATGTTTTGGAAAGTCTTTTTAACGTGTTTTTGTTGGTTGCTGATTAATACAGTAAAACCAGGTTAATATACTTAAATTTTGGTCGCAATTGGAGATTCTCTGAAAGAGAGAGGAGACATTGATTACAAATACAATAGCTGTTCTCAAGAAAATGAATATTCCTTCTGACAAGTTCTGTTGTAGCCTGCAATTTAATAATTTGAAAACCATAACACTCATTAATTACTTTCACATTTATTTATAAAGTAATCAAATTAATAGCCATGCACTCTGTATACCAGAGTAGAAAATGCCCATTGTCGATCTGATATAGTCAGCTGTATATTCATGTAAAGGTAATGAAATTATACACCATGTTTCATTACTCCCACTCAATAAGACAATGCTCATAATTAATGCACTCAGTCAAGACATTCAACTTACCAACAGTGGGGTTGGGTGGCTGAATGGTTAACGTCTGCGCTAGGTTCTCAGCAGGTTTTAAAACACATCAAAAACTTTGTCCTGTAGTGCATTTAGCCGTGTTCTGGACATGCAGATCAAGCAAAGCAATGACAATTTAGCGCTCTTGAGCAACCAGTTTGTTGGATATTCAGCGCTTTATAAATAGATTATTATTATTATTATACTTGATGACTGCTGAACTGATGATATAGTTCATTTAAATTTCAGGATTCATTAGAAATTGAAATAACCAGAGTAAATTGAAATAAACAATGAAACAATGTCCCGTTTTTTTATTTTATGTTATCAGTTCAAACAACATTATGCGCACAAAAAAATTTGGGAGGAGATTCCATTGTGTGTGTTTGTAACAGTGATTATTGTGATACTGTAGAACCAAATGGAAATCCTGGAAAAAACTTTTATAATCTGTACCAGTCATCTAAACTTGGACACAGACTTAATTATACAGCTATTCCATTTGAAAAAAATGCAACAACAGAGAGTGAGTAGATGTATTTTAAATCTAGGTGTGTGAGCTATGTATCTTATTAATTGTTTTATTCTACAATTAGACAAAAAGATTTCTCAAGTTTCATTTTGTTGAAAACAAAATCATGAGCCCTAGCTGGATCATAATTGTTGCTGTTATTTTCCAGGAGATAATCCTTTATGATTTTACTCTTAGTCAATTTATATGCCAAGAAATTCAAAGATTTGAATTGATCGTACTTAAAATTTAAATTACATATGGGCACACTATTCCAGACTAAAAGTCAAATATGGACTTTCATACAATACACAATATGTATTTTTAGCATATTGGTCCACAATTTATTAAAATGGATCAATCCTAACTTTCTGTTAATTTTATTGTTATTGAATGCCTGAAGGATAATTAATTTTTATCCCTGAACATCCAGCTGAAAATTGTATCAACTAAATCTAAGTTTTTTCTTTTCATTACATAAATTACTTTGGAAAGAACATTTTTCAGTCCTTATATTTGTGAAAGTGAAATAAGGAAAATGATTGTTGGCTTTCTGGCATGTTCCGTTTTACAACATCCAGACTTGCTTGACTGATCTGCAATTCCTGGACTTATAGCTACATTATCTCCCTTTAACACAGACACATGAAAGATAGCGTCAACTCAGAGGTTGTGACACAAACACACTCAAATCAAACATAGCGACCACCAAGGAACCATGATATTGAACAAACCTCGAACTTTGCAACTCGATTATCACAGATAGACATTTTAGCATGAAAGCGCGAAACTTTATATTCCTGATGATCAAGGAATCTGATAGGCTCCCCAGCTGGGTCAGTAGCCAATCAAAATTAGTGCCAAAATATGCAGGGTATTACGTGAAGGGCTTAATAGGATGTACAGAGTTAAAGTCCAAGAAAAAAGGTTCATAATCTGGATCAACTGGTATAGTTGTTCTTGAATGAGTCAGACGATTGGTCTTTGGTCTTAAAGGACAAGTTGGGTTGGATTGCCGAACGGTTAGAACGTGTGCGCTTTATCATAAGGTCTGTCACTAAGTCAAATGGCGTGGTTTCGATTTTTTGGTTGTACGTGACAAGGACTAGGGTTGCCTGTCCAACTTCATGGGTTTTTTCCGGATCCTCCGATTTCTTCCCACTGCTAAAGACCCCTAAGCGAATTATCGAAATAAAATTGAACCATGTGTTAGTCCCGAGATGACCTAGTTTGTGTCGTGTGGACGTTAAACCCCATTTCTCTCTCTCTCTCTCTGTAATCTAATTTGTAATTTTGTAATAAGTCATATTTCTGTGACTCTAATGTATAAAAAACATTTTAAGCAAGAGCTCTCAAAATGGCCTACAATTAATATTTTAAGTCTGTCCTATATCAATGGTAATAAGTATAAATCATGAACATTCAACTTTTCTTTTCAGATATATTTTATATCAACATTAATGTTACATATCAAAGTATACTGGGGTTTGGTGGAGCATTTACAGATGCTGCTGGTATTAATATACTGAGTTTACCTGAAGATGTTCAAGAGAAATTAATTCAATCTTATTATTCACCTGATGGTAGGTATAGTTAGGCTCACAGCATTTTGGATCCTATCACATCATTTTGTATTCTATGATTCTTTTCATTTTTAGTGGCAATTAAATTCTAAAATCTGTACAATTTGTTCATTTACAGTATGTTTAAAAATAGATTGAGCAAGTTAATTTGTAAGTTATAATTGATAAAGTTATTGTACTTGTTTTAAACAGTTTTTCAATATACATAGACAAGCAAAGCTTCTGTTAGATGTCACATTTTATTGCCTGGCAACCTATGTTCTTTTAATTTACAGGTATTGAATACACAATAGGAAGAATTCCAATGGCTAGTTGTGATTTTTCAACTCATCCCTACTCTTATGATGATTCACCAATGGATTTTAGTTTATCTAATTTTTCATTAGCAATGGAGGACTTGAAATACAAGGTATGTTATTTTATGGTAGTGCCAGCGAATGGACAATGGAAGTGATCCCTATGATCTCTATTCGTTCTGATGGTAGGTAAAATCTTTGGCATACATACTGTTGAGCACCTAAAAGAACTCTTGATAGCTGGATTTCAGTGAAGATTCTTCATAATTGCCATCATCTGGGCGAAATTATCCTTTCTAGAATTTTATTGCCAGAGTGACAAATATGTTAGTTTAAAAATGACCTAAGTATTGAGTTGACTGGTCTTGAAACTCCATTCCTCTCTGTTCCTTTCCATGTAATGTTGTCACACATCTGCAGAAAGACTATAAGAGCTGAATTACCAGTTAGCTTGACAAGTAATATATTTCATTACTATATTTTTTATCTCTAATGTATTTCATTGTTCTAACCTTTCATGCAGAAATCATATGTATTCAAACTTCCCAGAGATTTAGCTTGAAGCTCACTTGAAATTTATTATTGATTTACAGTTGATGATGGGTCTGTTCGCATTATATGTTAGAGAGAGAGAGAGAGAGAAATGGGGTTTAACGTCCACTCGACACAAACTAGGTCATTTCGGGACTAACATATGGTTCAATTTTATTTCCATAATTCGCTTGCGCGTAGTGGTCTTTAGCAGTGGGAGGAAACCGGAGGACCCGGAGTAAACCCACGAGGTTGGACAGGCGACCCTACTCCTTGTCACATACAACCGGGGAATCGAAACCACGCCAGTTGACTCAATGACAGACTTCATGATACAGCGTGCACGTGCTAACCCCCTGTATGTTAGAACCGATAACATTGTTCTCATGATAATTTCTTTTTTGACTTTATGTCTTAGATACCGATAATACAAAAAGCCTTATCCATAAGCAGTCGTGAAATTTCCATATTTGGTAGTCCATGGAGTGCTCCAGCCTGGATGAAAACTAACAACAATATGACTGGAAGAGGCTCTCTAATTGGACAACCTGGTGGAAAATATTTTAAAACTTGGGCCAATTATTTTATAAAGTTAGTATCTATAATTATACAATTTTTTAAATGAAATGCATTCTGTTTATACATCATACTTGCAGGGATGGAATAGGAAATGAAATGAAATGAAATGGGATTTAACGTCCTACTGTTCTGCTCCTAAACTGGGCTAATGAAGACGGGCATACGCCATACAGTGTGCTATGAGAGAAATTTTGCCCGAGCAGCGGCATTAAGTCCTACTCTTATATCAAATTCCAACTGCTAAGGGATCTTTTACGTGCATGGCAATATGTACATGGACCTCGGTTTTTCATCCCATCCGAACGACTAGACAGCTGTCCTTGTCAGGCCCTCCGCCCTGCATCACCGACAAGGGGAAACCACACTGGATGGAATAGGAAGTTTGATGCACTTATTGTTTATGCCATAATGTAGCAATATGTATATAGTACGCTACTCTCACCCTATATTTCCGAACTTGACTTGAATGAACAACCAGTATTTTTTAAAACTTTTTTCTTCAGATTTCTTGATGCATATAAAAGTCATAATATCAGCCTTTGGGGTCTGACTGCTCAAAATGAACCAACTGATGGTGAGATTTATAAGTTTCCATTTCAAGCTATGGGATGGACAGCAGAAATGCAAAGAGATTTTATTATTCAAGACTTGGGGCCTGCTTTACATAATAATGGATACCAAGATATACAATTAATGATTATGGATGACCAGAGATTAGTTTTACCAGAATGGACATCAGTGGTAAGTTAAACCAGTTCTGCTATATGATACTTTTAAATCAGTGTGATCAAATGTGTTCATCTGTGAAACAAGGAAATGAAATGGGATTTAACATTATAGTTTTCTGCACCAACCGTGCTAATGAATAAATGCATATGAAATGCAGTGATCTACAAAAGAAAGTAAGTCTAGTCACTGGGACTATGGCCTACTCTTATTTTGAATTCCAACTGTCAGGGGTTGTTTTATGTGCACACCAGCGTGTACAAGGCGACCTCGTTTTTTTGTGCCATCCGAACAACTAGACAGGCCCTCTGTAAGGCATAAATGACATTGGGAAAACATGCTGAAAAATCCTGAGGAACTTTCTCGGCCAGCACCGGGGAACAAACTAAGGACCTCCTAGTTAGCAAGCCAGCGTTATACTTACTGAGCCACTACGGCACCCTGTGAAGCAAGAGATGACAGGAAAGCAGACTATAGACAAGACAAGTATTACACTATTAGTTGCAGAATAACTGGAAAATGACAAACATATTTGTACTCAGGTATTAAATCTATTCACCCATATAAAATAATACTGAAGTATTGATTGACAATTTAGATGTAACATAACATTCAAGGATATTATTAAATTTAGAAGTATTATTAACCAATTATGTTTTAAATTAGATTCTTTCAGATAAAACTGCAAGTCAGTACATAGCTGGTACTGCAATACATTGGTATACTGATAAGATCATCCCCTCTGGACTTCTTACATATGCACATGACAAATATCCTGACAAATTTATTTTTGCCACAGAAGCATGTAATGGAGATTTACCCTGGGAGAAACATGTAGATTTAGGAAGTTGGGAAAGAGCAGAGTCGTACAGCCATTATATTTTACAGGTCATATAATGCCCTCCAACACACTTGCTATGGATTGCACATTCAGCATCACCATATCCCCAAATCCCTTTATTGCAACAGCCAATCATCATTTCTTCCTTCAAAACACCATTTAATATGCCCTAAGCCATTTCTTATACTCAACTTTTCAGGTCTTGAGTAGTGAAAAAGCTATAAAATATATTCAAGGTGTGGGCTTACATTGGTATTATGATTTTATCACACCAGCATCTGTCCTTGATATCTTCCATGCCAAATTTCCTAGCACATTCCTGCTTTCCACTGAAGCTTGTGTTGGTTCCATGCCTTGGCAGAGAAAAGTTATTTTAGGCAGCTGGGACCGAGCTGAAAAATACTGCCATTCAATAATAGAGGTACCTGTTTCAATATCTTGATAATATATATATTGGTAATAGAATATCACAAACATCCAACGGGCAAATTTTGTAAAATCAAGTAATAACATGTGGACAATTCAGATAAAATAGATTTTTTTATAACTGGACAGTTGACTCCACTTAAAACAATCAATAACAATTGATGTAGTTCTGTTTTTGTGTCCTATATGTACTGATACTAGTTTTACTTTCATGACCTTTAAAGTGGCTGATCATCATTTAAGGGAATTTGAATCCCTTGGAAACTACCATATTGTGAACGTTCAATTTCTTAAAGGAAATTCAGTACTAAAATGATTCAACTCAGTTCATTATTTACAAAGATTTTTGAAAGATATGATTAATTCAACATAATTGAGAATTTCGCAACATTCGCCCAGCGCCATCCATAAGTTTTGGGTAAATTATTTTGAAGGGCCTCATTTTAATCAAGCCGTGAGATAATTTTGAAATTTTCTTTTTGGTTATTTATTAAATATTAATTAATCAATTTGAGTCCTCAATACTCCAAAACCAGGATTGGCAAATGGCAACTTTATCAACTATAAATACACCTTCTGACAACCATTAACAATAAACAGAGTTAAGCTTTACTTGACCAATTTAAAATATGTATTACCAAATTTGCTGACCATGTGATGTTTCACAATTGATTTCAAACTCTTCATCGAAAATAATAATCTGGTTTCAAAATCAGTTGGAATGATATTTATCTGAGTCATAAAGACACACTGTAAACATAAATCATGAAATAGTTGCTTAAGTTACCTCAATTATCAAGACACTGGCAAGTGGTGGAACTACATTATTGGGACCAACAACTTAGTCTGTGTAACCTCTGTTATCTTCTGGTTGTTCCATGGCAGAAGAAAAAAAGAGATTAATTCAAAACCCTATAATCCTCTGGTTCCGTGGCAACTTAATTCTACAATCAGTTAAAGATACATTATGTAAGATTTAGATAAAGAGCTAGCCATTCTTGCTATAGTAGTTCGAAAATAGATAATGTAAAATGAATAATTTGAAAATTTCATTCAAATTACTCTATTGCGAGCGAAGAGTTGGTTATGGCCTGGATAAATTAAACATGCATTATGCAAGAGCTAAATCTGCCTATTGCAGGTCTTTCTTTAGGCCTGAAATGTTTTCTAAAGTATTAATTAGACATTAATTAACTGATCCAGGCCTTAATCAACTCTCGATGGCATCAGATTTCTCCGATATTAAATAGATTAGATTGGTTCAGCAATACTTTGAATTAATCAAATATGGAGCACCGAGACTTAGCTTCGATCAACCAGTACGGTGGTTGAAATTATTGCACACGTCTGTCAAACCTTCAAAGGCTAATATCTTCGCTTGCAATAGAGTAATTTGAATGAAATTTTCAAATTAATCATTTTACATCATCTACTTTCCAACTATCATAGCAAGAATGGCTAGTTCTTTATCTAAATCTTACATAATGTATCTTTAATTAATGTCTAATTAATAATTTAGAAAACATTTCAGGCCTAAAGAAAGACCTGCAATAGGCAGATTTAGCTCTTGCATAATGTATGTTTAATTAAAATATTCTTTTTGACATAGAATACAAATCATCAGTTCATAATAGATAATTTCAAGCTATGGTGCATTCTCAAAATAATAGAAATATAATGCAACTTTTCAGGATTTAAATCATTGGGTTACTGGCTGGACAGACTGGAATATAGCCTTAGATATGCAGGGTGGACCAAACTGGGTATCTAATTTTGTTGATAGCCCTATAATTGTGAATGCTGATAAAAGAGAATTTTATAAACAACCCATGTTTTATGCACTTGGGCATTTTAGGTTGGTGCTTGATATCTGTGTGTTTTATAATCTTGTTTTTACTTTCATAAATAAAACTGTTTATTAAAGTCTCTGATCGTCATTTGAGGTATTTTTTAATCCCTTTTAAACTACAACTTTGCAAAAGTTAAACCTCTAAAAGGAATATCAGTCCAAAATTTATTTCGATTCCGCTCTGAATTTACAAAGACATAATGAACTGAAAAATTTCCAACATTCAGTTAAGTCTCTTAATCTATCACAATGATTCTCAACCAGTATATGCCACGGCACACAGGTGTGTAGCGAGATCTTCCTAAGTGTGCCATAAAATTTTGAACGACACACTCAGAAAATGAGAAAAACCATGTGATTCCAAATGAGTATTCACTGGTGTTTACTGGTAGGTTGATAGCTGTGTTTTTCTTTATCTAGTTTGAGTTACTCTATGTGTCTATGACTAGTCTTTGTCTACAGTTGTATGCCGTCTATGACTTGCTGTGTTTTTATTTTACAAAATTGAAATATTTTTCATATATATATTTAGCCAGGTGTGCCGCTAGTTTTTCACGTGTTTTAAGGTGTGCCGTTGGCAAAAAAGGTTGAGAACCACTGATCTATCATCATAATAACCATAACTTTATATATCAATTCCATTTCAGTAAATTTGTGTTACCTGGCTCTAAAAGAGTTGATATTAAACAAAATGGAATATCAAGTTTAGAACTGGCTGCCTTTATTTTACCAGATTCTTCAAAAGTTGTTGTAGTTTTAAATAGGTGAGTTTATGAACAATGCTTGATTTATATAAACTTGTTAAGTCCCTAAGCTATATCAATAAGCTTGTAAACCTGAAACATAGAAAAGTTGGACTTACTTTAATTAATTACATAATTTTAAAAGCCATTTTAAAAACTACAGTGTATTAAAAAGTCCTAAAAGCAAGAAAAAAACCCAAAACATCTGAAATTTTGTGATGTCTTAAAGCTACAACTTGATTAGCTTATGTCTATGTCTGGCACTGTTTATTTGTCTCATATTTGGTATGGATTCTGTATGACCGTAACAGTGATTTAGCTGTCCACTTAATATGTTAACGTGTTAATGATAGTCTTAAATTTTCTGTATTATTAAAAGGTAAGTTTATTGATTCGAAATTATCAACTAAATACATGGACTAAAATGCCTAGATAATTAATAATTATGACAGCTCACATTTATGTCACTGTACTCTTGAAATAACAAATACAGATTGAAAGTAACATGACCGGGATTCATTAAGATTTTTGACTTCAATCAGTGCAAGCAAAATTTAATTTAATGGTTTTTGCATATTTTTAGTTTTTGTTTAAACTTCAAAGTGATGTAATTGTATAATGTATTACAAATGGATTTATTTTGTCTTATAGAAGTGATAAAGAAGAAACATTTAGTATAAATGACCCAGCAGTGGGTTTTATTAATGCCCAAATACCAGCTCATGCTATACAGACATATATTTGGTGGAACAATCAAAGTTAAAGTCATATTTTTTTGCATGTAAATTTGTGCAAAATGTTTCATATAAATCCTAGATAAGAGTTATTTCCCCATTTGTATAGGTGACCGATCTTGTTTTTTTAGAATTTCTTTATTAATAAGAAAAGTGTTTCAGAAATAAAATTATAATTACACTTTGTATGTATTGAAGAGATTGTGATTTTGAATGAAATAATAAGATTTTTAATTTTAAATACCTCGAATGAATTGTGTATATTTTGTAAAAGCAGTTATTTCAAAATATTCTTTAGAAATGTGAAACAAACTCTATGATACATACTTAGCTGTGATCAGTAAATGATTGAAAAAAAGCAGGGTATCTTACACTCACTAAAATACCTCATACAACTTCTCATTGGGGTTTTTGAATTCTAATAGTTATTAAATTTTGGTGCATTTATGTATGTACTATACATAATCCAGTAAAATAGCTTAGATGATTTATAAGGCTACGAATACATTATTTATATGAATATTTCCATGATGTCTTTATTTTTATAAACAATAAATTTGTTATTTATATTTTTATAAACCACTATTGTGATTTTATTATAGCCCACATTGCAATGTTGATTGTCGTCACGTTCATCCACCGTTCTGTGGGGGCTAAAGTTATGATCTGATTGATTTTACAATTTATGCACAGTGTTTAAGTTCACAAGACCAAGAATCAGACTTTCGGTAATTGCTGCCAATTACCCACAAAAGAGTAAATATGGGACGACTTCAGAGATGTCATAACTGCTGTGGACATAATTTTGTTGCCTGGCTTCCTATCTTTGGTAAATTCTCTGATCGCCATTCGAGGGATGTAAATCCCTTGTAAACAACGATACTGTGAAAGTTAAAAGCAAATAGTTGAAAAATGGTTCAGTTCCGTGCAGTATTTACAAAGAAATGATAGATTAATAATCTGTCAACATTCGGCATCCTCTAGCACCAAGGGTATTTTGTCAGACCCTACTTATGACCCATGCATGTTGAATTTTTCAAAATTTTTATATAAGGCGTGTTAAGATGAAATTTGTATCATCAATTAATTGAAATATTCTAAAATAGTACAATTTGTTGACCAGAATAAAGATTGGGACATATTATTCAGTTACAACAAGAGTGGTATTGAGCCTTTAAGAGGAGTTTTTACGAGAAACCGATTAGGGCTAATCGATTTGCATTTCCTTTCCAAACACATTTACAGCAAAAATTAGCCTAATCGGTTTCACCTAATTGTCGTATTTACCACGACGATTTGCCAAATCGATTATGCAAATCTTCCAACTTGCTCGCCTGCCGGATTGACGATTCGATTTCCAAGATGGCGTCCCCAACAAGGGACACGACGTGCCCGACGTTAGATCATTTTCTTTTGAATTTCACGTTAAAATATGAATATGATGGACATTCCTAATAAAAATACGGGGCATTTGGGGACAGTCAATTGGTACAACTTTTCGTTTTTATTTTTAGGCGGTGTCGCCAAGAACATAATAAAGAAAAGTGAATTTTTTTAACATTTTTCCTCAATTCCTCAGTCTTCAGCCATCTTGCGAGGCAACTCATCGCGTTTACGAGAACCGATTCGAATACCAACGAGATAGGTAATCGAAACCGATTTGTTTTCTCGTAAAAACGCCTGTGGTAAATACGACAATTAGGTGAAACCGATTAGGCTATTTTTTGCCGTAGGCTAAATGTGTTTGAAAAGGAATTGCAAATCGATAAGCCATAATCAGTTTCTCGTAAAAAAACGCCTAAGGTGTAGGCTACTACGGTGTAGGGTCGCCTGTCCAACCTCGTATGGGTTTTCTTCTTGTCCTCCGGTTTCCTCCCACTGCTAAAGACCCCTACGCGCAAGAGAATTATTGAAATAAAATTGATCCACATGTTAGTCCCGAAATGACCTAGTTTTTGTCGAGTGGACGTTAACCCCCCCCCCCCACACACACACACACACCTTTCTCTCTCTCTAGGCCTACGCCATTAAGACGGTTATCTTCTCAGTATTTTAGACGTTTGTCTTACCAGGAATAACACATCCTCGGTATACCCAGCGTACTCATTCCGTTCTACTCCACTATACCCTGGGTTAATCTATGGGGGAGACACGTTTTCAAGTTATCCGCCCTTGATGATTGTGCTATTTTTATCGACCAATCCCATAAATTGTTATTTGAAAAAGGAAGTTGGCAAAGGGAAGTAACTCTCATCGGACAATGTTAGGCGTTGGCCTATTCTAAATGCGTAATTATTAACAACCAATTAAATATTATGTTAATGAAGACCAGTCGTTCATATAATAATGTAGGGTCAATAGTTTTATTTAGAATAGTTCGTTCCTTCCCGGAATTTTATGTCCACGTGATATCGTAAACAAGAAATTGCCAAGTATAAGTTCAAAAATAATAAACATAACAGAATGACATATTTCAGACAAAGAACGAATAGTAATAATAATTACAAAGTCAAACATACAGACGTCATACATATTTGAAATCAACAACACATACTACAGATTTTGATAATACAATTAAATATAAATAAATTATAAATATATACATTATTTACATAAATCATTCAGTAAATGGACATGAATATGGTTATCTACCCTTATAAAAACGAAGGCGAAACGATTGGTTTGTAAACTGTTTTCTGATTGGTTCGTAGAGTGTAGCTACATTCTAGACCAGGGCAGATAATTTGAAATCGTGGAAACCCTATGGATTAACCCAGGGTATAGTGGAGTAGAACGGAATGAGTACACTGGGTAACCGAGAATGGGAACAACAATGTATCAGTTGGTTTTTACATTTTATATATATATCAAGCACTGGTTACATAAGATACAAGCATAGATTACAATAAAGTCATTCTCTCAACCCCGTTCCACCCAGAGAAATTGCTACATCTTCTCCCTCTGGAATTTTGCGGCTGTCTCTACGGAACTCGCATGGTATCTGCCGGGAACCCAATGATAACTCCTCTTAAAGGCCTTGCAGGGTCTCTTTTATAGGACCCATTTGCACATCACGCACAGATCAGACTATACATCACCCTAAACCTGTACAATTACTGATGTGATTGGATGGTAAGCCAAATGATGCAAAAGTAATTTTCCAAAACGAGTGGCCTGGTGATGTCTTGTCTTTCACACAGATCCAGCTATTTTTTTTGCTTTTTTAAAATCTTTTTATGTGTCAATCCATCACTCATTCGATTTGGATTTTTTTAAACTAAATGTTTACCGTAGATTAACTAGTGAAAAATTAGATATTGTCACTATGCTCCCACCACGACCTCGCTAGGCGGATATGGTATATGTTCCATACGTGCGTAGTTCCTTACCCGAGGAATTGGCAGCATGGGCGTGGTGACCCATAAATTTGCATTAGGAACAAGATCCCGTTCAGGCCCCCAAACAACAATATTTATATGTGTGTGCGGGGGGCGGGGGGGGGGGGTGGCTGTCCCTCCCAGTACCACCGGGTAATATTGGGCTGTGTGGAACATGCTAGAATCGATTCGTAGCATATCTTACCCACGGTAGGCTATATGTTTGACACTGATTGAGCATTATGATTATAATGTTGAAAACCGCATTGAAACCGCATGATTTTTTGCCATTTGGGAGGGGGCGTAAAAACTCCAAACTTGGTAGCTACCACATGTCATGAAATTAAATTAAACCCAAGATCCTGAATCATCAGATGATTTGTGTATGCGTTGTCTTTACAAGAGATCAAATTCGTTGAAACGTTCTCTAAAGTAACGTTGGTGAAAAGGACGCTTTGTTGAAATACAACCAATGGACTATATATTAGGATACGCTCAGTTCAGAAGAATTACCCCAAATTTCCCTGCATAATATATACAAAGCCGCCCCGACCTTCAGACCGCAAGTTATTCCGGGCATAGAATATACCCCCAAAGATCAAAGAGATTTACCGTTACAGGTTTATAAAACCCCCCTAATTTCTGCACGTCTTAGATTAACCGTGATGTTAATTTCCATCCCAAATATGGAATATTAAACCTCTTTATTTCTCAAGACCAGAGGGGGAAACATTACCTTATTTGGTCTACCAACCATAGGTCAATAAACCGATATAATTTGATGGATATATTTTGACAATGGTTATGATTTTCCTAAATATCACTGTTTTTATGTATAAATATATATTCACGTTCATTAAGTACGTGTGATTTGACTCTATAGACAGGGTGAAGCAACAATTTTTCAAAGAACCAATATTGTCTCAAGGACCAAAGTGCTACACCCATCGACCTGCTTGGTCCCTCGATCCGCCCCTGATTGCTTGGTGTATCCGGGATCAGGTTTTGTATTAATTTAATGCATATACAGCGCTGTTCATAAATCCGCAACTAAATCGAATTATCTATTCGTGTAAGACAACTGGAACCTTTTTTATCTGAACCTAATTTATCGCTAAGCTATTGAGTCCCCTATATTTTTCAATACAACTTCCTAGGCCTATCTAAATGTTGCCCTGAAAGGCTACGAAGTCATTGTTATATATGTCCACATTGTTGTGTAGATAGATTTTATCTGCTTTTGATGAAACTTAAAATAGACGTTTTTATAACCCAATAATACATTCTACAGTAGATATGGCTTGACATCAGTTGCTCTTATTTTTTGAAAAAAATTTCACAAGTTGTTTTCCTTTATTTTGTTAATGTAGAATGGTAATGAACTGCTCTTTTCATTTTCTTTGTTTTATTTGTTTCGTTTGAATTTGATTTATCTGTTTAGTTTTTGATTGTTTAATTTTTGTTAATGAAGCTGATTCTTTTAAACTTCGTTTTTTATTTTTGAACTCTACTTGGTGTAGGTGTTCATCAGGTAATACCTCGACTGAGTTCAATATAGAGATTAGCCGGTTGATTTGTTGGATATAAACCTTTGAATAATAGCGCCTAACAGGCAGCTGTGTTTAATTATGTTCTCCTGATTTTGATTGTTTCTGTGTGTTTGAAGTATATGTTTGTGATATGCGCTTAGAAACACTTCACGTGTAATGAAGCGCTATATAAATCGAACAATAATAATATACGTGTAGTACAGTTTGACTGGTAATGTGGCCTAGTTTGGGGAAATGAGTGGATATCAAGGTGAAGGGCACCGATCCAACGTTTCCACAACAAGTGTTTATCCGTCAGTTATTATCTAACATCGGATCCATTCGAGACTTACTGTGTTTTACATTTTTTTTAATTTCGAGAATTGAAAATATGCAAGTATAAATTAAATGTTATAGTCTGCTCTCTTTTAATACAGACGCACTCTCTTATAAACTGACAACATTTATAACTGTTATACCAGCGTCATCGTTAAGGGTCGAAATTCTATTTCTACTGCTTTTATCCTGTTGCTCCATCTTTAAATATAACGTATCATCGAACATATCCACGCCCTTGTTACGTTTTTTAACGTACAATGAAATTAGGAACAAAATTAGCACTATAGTAAAACAACAACCAGCTACAACGAGCGCATATTTTTCACCTTTAGAAAGTTGTTCTTCATTCAGATGATTTGTCTCGTTTTTGTTTGAAACTGTACTAGAGAGCGGTTCGCCCATTGGTGTTGAAGATACACTTGTGGATAATGAGGGCATTGGCGATGGCGTTGATTTTGGAACTGATTCAGTGGATTTCACGAAAAGACTGTACATTGGAACTGATGACGTATTTGTATTTGCTAATGTTGATACGGGCATTGGTGACTTGGTGGATCGGGGAACCTTTTCTGTCGATTTCACCATCATAGTGTACATAGAAATCGATGACGTATTTTTTATTCTTGGCGTTGATACTGAAATTTTTGGCTGTGATACATCAACTTTGGTCGTGAGAGGAACGGCATTGGTATTAGCACTGACAGTCGTAGGAGGGATTACTGACGTTGGCGGGACTGAAATACATTTAAAAATGAATATTTGTTTTTCTAGAATTACAGTTTCATTTCAAGAAAACAAAACTATCAATAACAGAACGATTTATGCAAACAAATTTGCATTAGGGCTTTAGTTTAGTGATGCTGGGTGAAGGGGAATGGGGTTTAACGTCCGTGCTAAAAAAAAAAGCGTCCATGGTGTTGGAACACCAACAAGGAAAAAATGTTCTGCTTCTTGCTCACAGTCCAATTGTTGGATTGTTATCACTGAGTCAAGTGCCGTGCTTTCGATACGTGGCAAGGAGTAGGGTCGCCTGTCCACCCTCGTGGGTTTTCTCCGGGTACTCTGGTTTCCACCCACTGCTAAAGACGTCCCGTGTAAAAGATCCCCTGACAGTTATAAGAGTAAGTCATAGTGCCGCTGTCCGGGCACAATTTCCCTCATAGCACACTGTATGGCGTATGCCCGTCTTCATTATCCCAGTTCGGCAGAACAGCAGAACGTTAAATCCCATTTCATTTCATTTCATTTCATTTCATTTCCTTTTCAAATTTGTATTCGAGAGGGACTACCCCAGCTATAAAAAAAAATCTATTAAAAGAAGACTTGGCTGATGCGGCGGTACCTAGCAACGGGTGCGAAGCCGGGGGAGAATTCATTGCACATATTTATCATAAATATCGAAGCATAATTATTTCTCGGATTATCCACTGCCCACGTCTTTTTCCGTGGATTTTATCTCATAAACTGTTGTACGTTTAAGCTCATAATCAAGTTTATCAACATATAAATCAAGCGCTCACTAACGCTGAGAGATCAGACAATCTTCGCGTGTAACCTTTGACGTCACTCGAGCAGACATCCCTAATCGTCGGATTGCCGGTTACGGAAACCTTTACATTTTTGTCCTGTATGCGCTCCATGGGTATTTTTCAGGGAATCCAGTATTTTTCTAGTAAGATTAGATGTTTCTACTTTCCATATATACCAAAATTTCCATACTTTTATTGGAAATAAATACTTTTGCGGGAAAGTATCTTTAAGGACAATGTTTGTGTCCACCAGTATTACATGGTGAAACACATTCCAAACACAATTTTAATATATTTTTTACTACGATTGATTCATAACAACGATTTTCAAAATCTGAAAGTGACGTAATAAGTTCTATATGTTATGTAAAATTGGTGGACACCTACATTATCCTCTATTGGCTTTAATAACATATTTTACCTCGGGTTTCACAAATACTTCCGGTGAAAGTTGGTGGACAAAAACAAACAAATGATGCGAGACTCTCGACACATTGACCATGGTTTAAACACCGATTAGAAGAACAGTTTGGTTTTTCTGTAATCAACAAAATAAGTATGTGCAATATTCAAAATGGTCTCAATGACAACAGTAAAGTAACTGAACTGGAAATACACAGGACGCAATTCTGTGGAATACAACTACTGTTAACAACCAGTGGAACAAACAGTTGTTGTATTATATAGAATTGTGTCATGTGCACATTATATTTTCCAAGAATTTCTAATTATTTTGGTATGCATTATGTAAGATTCAGATAAAATGCTTGCTGTTTTTGTTATAATAATAGTTCAAAAATAGATAATGAAAAATGAATATATTGAAAATTTCATTCAAATTACCCTGATATTTTTTTATAAACAATATTTATTCAGAAACCGAGGGGATTGGGGAACAGGCAAAGCCTATATAAACCCCTCTCCCTGATATATACCTGGCAGGTGAGGCATGGGATCGAACCCCACGGAAGTTGATTTGATAATAGATCTTATGTTAGACCCCGCCCCCTGGAAAATATGAGACAATAACAAATAAATATGTATTACTTGTAGGCCTAGTTGTCTATTAGTCTGTTTTACCTGTACATTTAGTCCGGAAATGACCTAGTTTGTGTCTCTCTCTCACTCACCTTTACATGGTTCGGTCAAGATATCCATATTATCTATAGCTAAATAGCCCTGATTATCTGATGATATTTCTCCTTCTAACAACAGTTGGATCTATAAAAAAACCACAAGATAAATTATATATAAGCCCTTTACATCCTTCCTAATTAACCTAATTAACATCACAGAATGCCCACCTTTCTCTTTATGTGTAAACTACAGCAAGATCTGACATCATATTTTAGAATTTAAGATAAATAGTCTATTTGCCTGTTTCATCGTGTCTTGTTATTAATATCATAATCAGGCCCGTAGCCAGCGGGGGGCATAGCTCTAAAATACCTACTGTAGACTGTGCCGGGTGTACCCCCCCCCCCCCCCTAAAAACTTCACTGCCCCTCCGCAGCCGGCAAGCTGGCTTGATTATAATATCCCGTCACTTTTTTTTTACATGTGCATTATAGTCTAAGGTCTAACAGCATCTTAAAGAAGTTAGTATTCGGTTGACCTGACTTGACCTAACCTTGTATAGAGCCAGTGAACAGAAAGAAAAGAAATCTAATTATAATTTTGTTTTTCACATATTATACTTACATTTTTACTGTGGAGTTCTTGTGGTATATTTATTTCCAGTTGATCCCATTTTGAGACTGGGTGGTCGTAAAGCGTCCATGAAGGTAATATAGGATGTTGATTATCGGATGTTAAAATATATATACTGAGTGTGTTGTTTTGTGTTGAGTTTGTTTGGTATCTCAACAAGAAACATTTGTAAGAATTAGCATCTATAGGTGGTGATAGTAAACGAGCCTTTGTATTTAGTCGAGATTGATTAAAACTAAAATATAGATATCGACCTGCAAATAATAAAAGTATGAATGAGATACCAAAACAAATTTGCCTAGGTATTGTTGGACCAGGACCTCATCTTCTTGTACTTCCTGGGGCCGACGCTCTTCTTAAAAAGCCAATTTAAGTACCATCGGGCCCGTATCTACAGGGGGCGCGGGGGGGGGGGGGGCATGCCCCCCCCCCCCGCGTGAAATGCTCGCCCGCCCCCCCCCCCCCGCTCAGAAATTGCTAACAATCATTAAAGTATACACAGTTCCTTATATTAACCTAAAAAAAAACTACGCTTCCCTAAGCAGGAGGAGGTATAATTCAGGCGACTATGCGCATAATCCCATGGTATCTCATTACTTTATAAACCATTTTTTTGGTACTGATCTAAAATAGTTTTAAATAAATTTAAAAAATCACGATTTTTTTTTGTTTGAATACTTATTTTAAAATGCTTATTAGACGCCTAGGTAACTACATAGCATGATGATTACAACAGTCTGTTAGAATGACTTTTCCGAAAATTTCCTCAAAATGTTCGCCCCCCTACCGAAAGGTAATGCCCCCCGCTTAATGGTGTCTAGATACGGGCCCGAGTACCATCGACATTGGAACTTGGTATTCCGGATCCTTGGATAAAGGTTTTTGATAAGAAGTCACAATTCCTAGATGGTGTCGATGACATCGGTTCCTGGTCCATATATAGTTCCTTGAGGAACGTTCATCCAGATTTTCCGGTGTGGTTCCCCCTTGTCAGTGATGCAGGACGAAGGACCTGACAAGGACAGCTGTCTAGTCGTTCGGATGGGACGAAAAACTGAGGTCCCGTGTACACATTGGCGTGCACGTAAAAGATCCCTTGACAGTTGGAATTCGATATAAGAGTAGGCCGCAGTACCGCTGTCCGGGCAAAATTTCCCTCATAGCACACTGTATGTCGTATGCCCGTCTTCATTGGCCCAGGTAGGAGCAGAACAGTAGGACGTTAAACTCCATTTCATTTCCTTTAGGAACGGTCTCTGATCGTACGCTGTCCATAAACCGTTCCTATCCGTCCATATATAATTGCAATATGAAAATAACGCTCTTCCCCACCTCTGTTCTAGGGCTATTTTGAAATCCTTACCTTCTATTTTTCACCATGAATCTTTATTTTTCGCCAAAAGGAATCATTTCTCGCCATACCTGACACAAATTTACAATAATTCAACACTATTTTTAAGTAAATTTTGAGATAAAAAACCCCCAAAACATGCAATCTGCGCATGTGCGAGTCTCGTAATGGCTGACCAGTTTAAACATACTTTGTGTATGATTTTAATCACAAAATTCTACTTGGAAATAGTGGGAATTATTATAAATTATTATAAATGTGTCGAGAAATGATTCATTTTGGCGAACAAAGAAGAATCACGGTGAAAAATAGTTGGTAAGGATTCCAAAATAGCCCTAGAACAGAGGTGGGGAAGAGGGGTATTTTCATATTGCAGCTACATGTATAATATATTATAGCGAAGGATAGGAACGGTGAATTGAAAAAAAGTGTTTTATTCACTAGTCATATCGTTTGTATACAGAACTATAGGACCACTCCCTTATGTGCAGAAGTAATTATACTGCCCCAAAGCCAATTATGATATACCCACTTCGGATTGACCCTGAAGGGTCGTATTTCAATGCAAACGAAAATTTCTATATCTAAATGGGACTGCCACACACAGATGACTTCATGGAGGAACATGTCTAACTACACCTCTCCGTGATATACACCGAATTTTTGTCGAAGTGAAACACGTACATCTCTAGGATTGTAAATTACAATGATCTTCAAGGAAATGTTTTAAAATAGGTTTACCGGTTCCTGTAGTGAAGTCGGTTGTAGGTCCATTCTCACTTGTGCCAACAATCCACTCGTCTACATTATTGTGCGATTGATTGAAATGGCATAAGTTCGAGTCAAAGTCACAGAATATGGGTCTTAACTGTGGATGTTTGCCTGAAAATGTAAGATGATTTTCATTGTAGTTTAAAAATATCAGCTCATGGTTCTGTATAAAGTAGGTTTACTAACATAAATAAGTCATGCAATAAACATTTATACTTATGTCAATTATTCTGCTTAATTGGATTCGTATTAATTTAGGTTGTCAAGTACAGAAACATACACCAACCAGCAGGAAAACAAGTTCACTGACACTAATATATGCCATAACATAAACATTTAAAATGAGTAATATGGGCCTGGTTGCTCCCCACACATCTTAATTACACAGAGCACTTATTGGTCATTAACATATGGATCAGCAATTACAATAACATTTAAAATTCCCAGTTCTAATATGTCAGTTATTATCAACCCATCACCAAGCTCTACTCTGGCTTATATATACTTGGTCAAAATTAGTCCTAATCATACCAAGTGACAATGTATTGGCATCAACTACAACGAATAGAGGATGGACAGGCTAGCGCTGAATTTGTATGCACATCAAAGGTAACTTAAATATTCTAACATGCCTTACGACCCTGCGAGGAAAAGTAGCGTTCGCCCCGCATCTATAATAATGCAGTGTTAACAGGTGGATTTTGGCATTGCTCTAACTTCTTCCCAAATTTTGTAGGTTTGAAAACTTTCTACAACAAATGGAGCATCACGCGGGAAAACCATCAAAGTAGAAACAAGGTTATATAAAATCATCAACCTTTTAAATCACCACGAAAGGTTTCACTGCACATCCTTCTAACACGGGTTGTTTTCTTCATGTCCTTATCCATCTATGCTTGGCCAATAGCATGAATGTGATCCATCCATTGAAATCTTCAGATACACATACATGGTCTGACTCCATAAGCGAACAGTTAGACAGCCAGTTACCATGATGTACACAATAAATGGCTGCTGTTTTGTTCAAACTAACATTCGTTATAGTCGAAGGCGAAGCAGAAAGAACAGTGTAATGTTCATTAAAAGGTCAAAAATACAATCGATTCCATTGTGTTTGACAGTTTTGTTAGACGATACGTTTAAAATTATATGTCCCTATAGATAGCCAGTGTTATAAGATAGAGTGAGTTTGTTCAATTTCAACACTTTAGACAGAAAATGAGCTGTAGGATAATCTGGGGAGCCTTATATTTACATAAAATATATATATTAAAAACTTACAATTTCCCTTTGTTATTTGAATATTATCGACACCAAGAAAGTAGAATCCATTTACTCGTTCTGAGATAAATGCTAACTATACAACAAGATAAGAAAACTGATTGATTATATCAACTTTGACTTCGAATACCAAAGCGCTTTAATGCTTGAATTACAGAACATGCTTTGACAGACAGGAAATCCCTATTAACACAGTTATAAAATACATGCAGCAGACACGGAATAATTATATTTAATATCAACACTGGATTTGTTGTTGGTCAGTTCATATAATGCCAAATGGTTACATGTCCTATAATAATAACGTCCTATTTTTCTCGACTTATGAAAACGGACACACGCCATGCAGTGTGGTCACTCGGCAAACCTCAACAGATTCCAGTACCCTACATCTTATCTCGGCTGTATGACAAAGTCCGCCATTAGAACTACTTTCAAGTTCCCGGATTACAATGGCGTTGTCCATGACGCCTAATGACGTGATTGATGACGACGTATTTGAAGAATGTTTTATCTTACAAAATTTTCAAAGTTTTAAGCTGTTTTTCTTTCAAGTTTATCCGATTTTCTTTAGACAAGGACAAATTTGCACTGAAAATTCTACACACTCTTCGAACGACGCAATTTTGAGAACTTCTTTCTAAACGCGTGCAAGTTTCCCTTATAAGTAAACCGGTGCCGCATCGCAAATGTATAGGCGTAGGTACATATCACTTACTGTCATACAGCCGAGGCTAGATGTAGGGTACCGGAATCTGCCGAGGTTTGCCGAGTGGCAGTGTGGAATGTGGGAAATTTTGTCCGGATAGCCGCGCTAAGGCTACTCTTATTCCAAGAGTCAAGGGATCTTTTAAATACATGCCAATATGTACACGGGATCTCGATTTTTCGTCCCATCCGAATTACTGTAGGCATTGCACCTTGACAGGCCCTCCATCCTTCACTAATGAATGACAAGGGGAAACCACGCCGGAAAGTTCAGCGGAACTTCCTCGGCCAACACCGGTGCGACTCCGAGATTACCTTGTTTGTTAGCTAACGCTTTATTCACTGAGCCAAAAGAAGACATAGAGAGATGAGAGAAGAAGAGGTATTATACCTTTTGATTATTAAGTGGACACACGTCATCTATCTTAGATTGCTGCCATGTTGTGGTTGAGTTACTTGTTAGTGTCTTTAATTCGGTGTATTGTCCATTATCTAATAGATTAACAGACAGTGTCATAGCAGGCGTTGACAAAATGTATTCAAAACTTATATTCAAACAACCACATCCATCGGTGTCCAGTGTTGGTGATATCAGAGCTGCCTTTTCGCCATTCTTGGAACCAAGTACATTAGTTTTAAAATAAACATAATGACCTACGGAGATAAAATTCACATATTAATGACAATGCATAATACAACTGACGCAATGATGAGAGGGGGATTTAAACAAATCAAACAGTGTGAGGTGTATGATCAGAAGGCACTAACAAAATGTCAGATCAATTAGGTTAGGCGAACACTTCATCTCGAGGGTACACTGTAAAAAATATCCATTTTTTATGTGGCCGAATTCCGTAATTTAACACCTTTTTTCTGTTAATCGATGGATTTTTTGGAGAACTTGTGTTAATAGTGTGAATTATTTCTTCAAATTACGTATTTTATGTATTTCTGTGGATTATTCAGTATTAGACAGGAAATTTCCGTGAAATTTAGGGATAAAATGTTTTATTCCCTTCTATAATGGACTTAATTCTGTTATTTTACGGAATAAACGGTGGAATGACAAGGAAGTTCCGTGAAATTTAGGGATAAAATGTTTTATTCCGTTCTGTAAGGGACTTAATTCTGTTATTTTACGGGATAAACGGTGCAACGATAAGTAATAGTATACATATATAATCATTCCTAATAATCATCATGTTATAGTATTCATTTCAATTTATTAACCATAATATGAAGAATCATATTTTGTAACGTTTGGTATATTAATTGACGTGTATATCTAATTTCCATTATTTATAAGATCTATAAAGTGTATTGTTATTCATCATACGGAAATCAGATTGTAAGTATTTTCATAGATATGTAAAAATATGTTTTAATGCTGCGTGTGTTAAGGTTGTAAAATCTGGTAATCAAGCACACTTAAATCCGGATAGTGCAACCGGTTGGCCAGTGTAAGTCGGTTTGTCTCTATGGCAGAGTCAACATACCTGCGAATTGATAATACCGAAATTTACACCTGAAAGCCTCCAACCACTGACGAGTAGCGGTTTGTGATACCTTGCTCTCGATTCTTATATATATTAGCGAAAAGAGGTTACGTTTAAAGATTATCTGCGATATCACTTCGGTGGAAGCGGACGTTAAATAAAGCTAATTCACGCACGCGTATAAAGTCAATGGTTAATTCAATGAAATTTTTATCACCTTCATGGTCAGGATTTTTTTTTCTGTATTTGAAAATGGAATTTATGTTAATTGAGATAATTTCTGTAAATTACAGGAAAAACAAATACGGATAAAATTTTCCTGGTAATTTTTGTTTCCGGAATTTTTTACGTTTTTTCACGGAAATTTTTGTTACAGTGTAGGAGGAATGATATCTAGTTCCATCTGTCATCTGGTCGTTGTGAATTACAAAGGAAAGTCGAAGAAAACTTTGATTTCTGGTATTAATTAATGTACACCTAACCAGCAAAACCTTAAATAGGTAGACAAAACATATTACAAACCGTCTCCTTTAGGAATTCCTCGGAAGGTTTTGCTGTCCGAATGTACATGTAACTCCCATATGACGTTGCTACCATTAATACTAAGAGAAGTATAATCACACATTGTTGGATTAAAATCACACGATCCCTTCTCTAGTGTAATAGTTTGTTTAGTGGGCGTGGTTGTGGGTTTCTGAAAATTAGATACAAATATTAATGAAAAAGACCCCGATATAATTTGGTACATTATCCGTGTCCTGTATACTATCTGACGCTCGGTGATACTTTTCTGAGAAATACATACTTTCCAGGCTGTGTAAGGGGATTTCATTTTTTGACAACGGATTCTTCTATCTCTCAATAATTGTCCA